TCCACCTTCGCCGCTTCTACTGCATCTTGTTACTTTTTGCTCTAAAGACGGGACCGACCACCGTTTTACCAAAGTGCTTTGGAAGGAGAAAAAATTGACTTTCTTAAACATTTATGCACGTTACATACGCAGTCAGTTTATAGTTAGTGTAGAGATACCAACTAAAATTAACCAGAGAACGCAGACACACACACACACAGACACACATTCTGAGGCCTGATGGAACCAATTAGCAGACGTTATCATGGCCTGGAGACGTCACAAGCTGTTCAGACACCCCCTGTCTCCCCTCCCTCCCCCCAGGGGTCTGTGTGTGTGTGTGTGTGTGTGTGTGTGTGTGTGTGTGTCATTGCACATACATCACTGCTTAAATATTTACAGTCCTCTGTGTTTTATAGTTTATATTACTGACCTACATTCATCACTGTGTGTGTGTGTGTGTGTGTGTGTGTGTGTGTGTGTGTGTGTGTGTGTGTGTGATGTCATGGCTCAATGTCAGTGACCTCAGCTACAGGAACATCTCCATATAAGGCTGTGGACACACAAAGCTGTGTGTGTGTGTGTGTGTGTGTGTGGCCGTCATGTTTTAAATGCAACACATTTTTCATGGAGTTTCAATCCAATGGATTTTCTAAGGTCTTTGTTTAATGTAGTCAGGACAGTTGTATGTATGTCTGTCTGTATGTGTGAAATAATCGTTTCCTCCACTTCTCGGTAATGTCAGGCGGCGCGCCCACCTCCTCCATGTCTGCACACATACATACCCGACTCTGAGATGAAAGTCCTCTATCTGATCATGCTGATCTGTGATCAGTAGATGTGAACACAGCAGGGATCAGCTGTCTCTTTACATACCACAGATAACTCATCAAGTGAGTTCAGCGCTCTAATCTGTGAATATGTTTGTTATCTTGTGGAGCTCCATCAGTAGAGAAACAAACCCTTACAGACGTGTAATCTTCTGTTTATTCGTATCTGCCTCCAATGTATCTGCGTTTTGTCAGTTGCTTTTACCGAAATGATGCATTTTGGATTTTCAACATTTTCGACATGTTTTGCAACATGTTGACTCCATTTATTATTTTATTTTGTAGTATTGGTATTAGTTGTAGTATAGTGTAGTATAGTTGTACTATAGTATTTGTATTACGCTCTGTTTCTACTACAAAAATCTGGATTGAAAAATGAAAAAACAGTATTGTGAACATCTAAAGAAAAGTACCTTGACTTCTAAACTCTACTGAAGGGAATTCAACAAATTAACTACATTAAATAAACCTAAAATCTCACTTAAAAACCACAGAAGTTTTCAACAATTTCTTCCTGCCCCTAAAAGTAATACGTTTTTAATGGCTTCAACATGACATCTTGAGTTAATTTCTGTTTTTTCTCTGGATTTGAGTTTCAGTATCACATCACGCCGATGCGTTGCCAACCTGTGTTTGTATATCCGTTGTCGTGACGACTGCACAAACATTGCTAAATTATTTCATGGAGGCTAAAATGCTGTATGTTGAGTTGTTTTCTAGGTGTTGTAAAGCTCCATCCTCTACGCCTATAAAAACAGACACATCTGTTTCAAACGGTAAAACTGACTCTTCCGAAAGAACGGAAGACACTTTGTCACATCCTCCCTGGTCTGAATAAGGACTGACTGATCAAATGTCTCGCCTCAAGTCAAAGACTTGACAACGTACGCATGTTGGCAGTTTATTAGGTTCACCTAAAACTAATGCAGCCCAATAGTCGAGTCAATTGTATTTATATATCCTAATATCATAGATTCTGCCCTGAGGGGTTTTAGTAATAACACATGGGTCCTGAACTTCCTCTCTTTGTTAATGTAGTAATGTTCAGTGTTTACCGTTATATTGTCAGCATGTAATTTGATGTGAAATTAACTGTGTTGTACTGACTGACTGAGACGATTCAAAATGCTCAGTTTGGTGGATGGAAAGGTTGATTTATTCTGAACGGATAGATTCGAGACTGAGATCAAATTTCAACTGTAACTGTAGGAAAAAAACAAGGAAACGAAAGAGAACAGAGGAAGTGACATCGCTGTTTCTGAATCTGTAACAAACTTATAAAGCACAAGACAAGACTCGTAACGCGTAACTGGTCCTATTGGCAGCGCCTTTAAGCGCTTTACTGTGAAAAAGCACAGAAAGAAAGAAAGAAAGAAGGGGAGTTCACGTTTTGATCTGCTTCACATCTTCTGTCCTCCCGTCGACTGACTGTCTGCCGTGACCTCTGACCTCCTGATTGCTGGCCGAGCGGAGGTTCACGGTGACATCAATGGAACCTGCTGGTGGCTAAAGGAATGCTAGCAGTGCTCGCAGGAGCACTTAAGGCCCTCAGTACTCGTTATACATCACGGCAACTGATGAAATCAGCTTGACTCTGTGAATCAGACTCTGTGCCTCACATCCGCTTTTCTCAACAACCGCTTACCCTCCGCGAGCTGCACACCTGGCGGGTGCACAGCGGAGGAGCCGGGGGAGTGCAGCGCTCTGTCGGAAGTCGGCGGATGAGCGGTGACAGAAACACCCTTCCAAACATGCAGGAAACATGGATGTTTTTTTAACGTTAGGGTGTGTGGGGGAGGGGAGGAACAGTAGCTGGTGAGACTCCAGCGTGGTTACTGCAGGGTCATTAACAGGAAATACCAACAAACACACTGAGTGGACGGGTGTGTGTGTGTGTGTAGCATTGTGTTCCTGTCCGCCCTCCCCATGACTGCTCCTCAACCGTATTTCTGTCTGGAGCTATTTATATACTTTTTTTTGCTTTGGTGACTTCCTGTGAAAAGTTCTGCAGATACTCTAAATAAACTTGAAGAAGTTTCTAAAACGTTCTGCCTCTTTTATTTTCTTTGTGCCCCTCGATCTGGTTTATTTATCGATGGCCGGTTGTGGTTGGAGGCCTGGAATGAATCACAGAGCTGTTTGAGTTCATCCTCCACTGAACTTTATCTGAACACAGTTATTACCAGCTGCTCACGGCTTCAAACTACTTATAAACCCATCGTTTACTGAGTACAGTAACACTCGATTTACACTGTTTGGATCGCACAAAGAAGTTCTGTGTAAATATTCCCTAAAAATAAATCCTAACGACCGCCAGATCGGTTGACTACCTGCAGACACAGAAGAACAGATATATACATATATATATATATATATATATATATATATATATATATATATATATATATATATATATATATATATATATAAACGGAGGCCGTTTTCGGCTTTTATCTGTTGTCATGTCTTCTATCATTTGAATGCTGAGCTCTGTGGGGAGTTTGTTGTCGTCTAGGTAACCGGCAAACAAAAAAACCCCAATCCTGATAGCATCTCCATGAGGCTGAACCATAATCTATGAGGCGTTATCTGTGATTCTTGGTTATTTGAGCTAAATGCTCATGCTGGCATAATCATTTATTGCAAAAGCTGATATAGTGATGCTTTAAAAGAAAAGCATGCTTAACAAATTCAACATTTTTCTTAGTTAGTTACACAACTAATTCATCGCTGTAAAACGTCATGATGTTTGTGAATCCCAGAGGATGAAGCCTAATGACCTTTAAACAGAAATACATTTTGGTGTGACCAAATGTTCCATATATAGTTATGGTTCCCAGGCGATGTGTCCTAGCGGCTCGGTCGATGTGACTTTTCAGGAGGAGCCATCATGAGCTTCATGGTTCGGAGTGTCTCGAAAACAAATGCTTCTTCCCCAGAGACCCTGCGGGGCTTTTTCCAAGTTTGTTTCATGACTGAATACCTCAGAAGTAATGACATCCTCATCACCCTCAGCTGCAGTCTACTTGGTATTTTTATGGTCATTTGCTAAAGAGAAAGAGATGGTAAATTCTGCGAATAGGCTGACATTAGTATTTAGCTGAATCATTGCCCAACAGCTTCACAGAGGTGCTGGAGTAGCTATAATCACTGCATCTTCACGCATGCACTGCGTCAACACAACCAGGGGGATTTATACACTTACCCAGTGAACCAGTGGTTTGATGAAGGCTTCTTTGCATAAAGACCACCGATGTTTTGCGCAGCGCTAATGTGGCCCTGAACCCTGCAATAATTATACGTTGTACTACAAGCAGGGTGACTTCAGCTGAGCAGGATTACAGACCACATGGCAGCCGTGACGTCTCACGGAGTGTAAATCAACTTTAAATGGACTCCAAGTCCCCTCTAAAAACGGTTTAGTGTCCTGCTCAGATCTTTTACTATAATCTCTTATACAGAACTGCTGCATTCAACCTGTTTACAAATTAAACTTTTGGGCTTCAAAAAGAACCAAAGGTAGGATACTTACTATGAAAAATTGCTTTTTTTCTGGGTGATATTTTTTAGCCAAAAGCAGGAAAATAATAATAAAATAAACAAAATCATCACAAAAAACTAAATCAAAAACACACATTAGTTTGATGTTGCAACTTGAACGAGGGGTCAATACTGAGTTTGACCCACGACCTAAGAATATATCACAGTTTCTCAGTTGATTACATTTTGTCTTATTAGACTGCAAAGGGATTTAAGTTATCAATATGTGGACCAGTAACCAGTTTCCCTCCTAAATGTAGAGGTATAATGTGAATGATGAGCAGCATATTCCACCACTGTGTTCCTGTTACATCTGAAGCAAAGTATACCGTAAATAGTCTCTATGGCCTTTATAGTCCATACAGCCTGTTTACTATATAGACTGTGTCACGTGTTGGTGCGCGTGCTGTGATGTATTTAGACAGCAGAATCCCGATTAGAGCGCGTTTACTTCATTCGTACTGTAGCGATAACTGAATGAAACACCCCGACCCCCCCCACACACACACACACACACACACACACACACACACACACACACACACGCCCCCGCGCGGCTGAGCGGACATTGCGGCGGGGGAGGAGAGGAAACACCGTTACACGCGCGCGCCCACGCGCGCAGAGGGAGGGAGGGAGGGAGGGAGGGTCTCCGCGCGCTCAATTCTCAGTTTCATTCACTTCACTGAAACTCAGATGAACTTTAGTTTGGGACTTTTTTTTTCTGTTTTTTTGTTCTTCGGTTTTCTTTCGCGAGGCTTTTCTCCTGCAGCACGAGGAGCAACAGGAGAAGAGGAAGATTTAACCGAGAGGACTTGGAGCACACTGCGGCTCTCTGGGAACATCTGCTGCCCGGAGGTATCCCTCAACATCTGCCAACAGGCTGACCCGGGATATCTGCCGTCTGACTCGGGATAGCGGTACAGTGAACTCACAGCAAACGATGAGCGTTAGTTGGTTAGTGAGTAATGGACGGGCACAAAACGAGGGGCTGATGAGGACATTTCAGATGAAAAGTCATTGATTAGTCAAGATTAATCTGTAAATGAAGGCTAATAATAAGAGTGAGGAAGGACATTTTGGTTAAGAGAACCACAATATAAACATGTTCAAATTCAAGTCATGAAATCAAACCGTTGTTAATTAAAAATGCAGTGACAGGACCAGCACAAGACGTTTGGGGAACTTCTGCCATGATGTCTTTATCCAACCGATTTTATTATATGTAATCTACTTAGATATAAGTAATAATGTACTTGTTATAATAGAATAAACAAACGTGTTAAAGCATAACTTCTACACACTACTGCCCCTTGATTTGTGTCTACATGACTAACAGTGAATTTGTGTGTGTCACCATTAACCGGACTGCGATGTAATCGCTGAGGGAAACTCCTCAAAGTCAATGTGAATCCACTAAAAGTACTTCTTGTCAGATTGTACATCGATTTTACAGGCCTGACAGCAATAAGGACCAAACAGATACATTTTGTTTTATATATCTTTCACTTGATCGGGTCTGTTTCTTATTGTATGTATAATATTTAGCCATGCCATTTAAAATCTGACAACGCTACTTCAACACAACAAACTTGCCAACACTGCTCACCAACTCCAATGTTTCAAGCTTTTTCTTCCGGCTAAACGTCACATGAGATCTCGCTGTCCCTGCAGTCTGTCCTCCATCATGCAGCCCGCTGCGTGCCGCAGCCTGATCCTGTTTAAGATCCTGCTCCTGGTTCAGGTCCTGGTCCTGGTTCAGGTCCTGCACCATCCTGCTGCAGGGTACAATCTGGATATGGAACACAGTCTGGAGTTCAGCGGCCCACCCTCGTCCATGTTTGGATACTCGGTCGTGCTGCATCGCCATGGAGCCCATAGCTGGTATCTACCCTTGAACTTATATTGATCTATTGATAGTAGATGTTTGTTGTCTATTCATATTTTTCGTAATCCTCTATTGGTCTTCTATTGATCGCCTGTTGATCTGCTTGTTGATCTTCGTTCGTTCTGCCATTGACCCTCCTTTGATCGTCTGTTGAGCCTTTGTTGATCTGCTTGAGCTCAGTATATTGAGATCCATGTGATTATGTTAACAATGCTCTATTGGCCGCCACCCTCACAGAAGGACTTTGTCTGCGTGTGTCGGTGTGTGTGCATGCTAATTAGTCGGCATTTGTCGATGAGGGCGTCCTTTGATTCTTCACACACAGATGTCATTGAGACACTGAGCAGACAAAGTCAGATCCTGTGTCTCTCCCTCTCAGGTTGGTGGTTGGAGCCCCGGTGGCAAACTCGTCCTCTAGTCCGTCGGTTCAATCTCCAGGAGCCCTTTACCGCTGCAACATCACCGCTGAGTCCCGCCCCTGCCACCCCATGCACGCCGGTGTGTTTCTGTGTCTGTTTGTGTGCAGTTAACTTCTTACCTGCATTTGAAACTTTAGCCTGTTCCTCAGTTGATGTGAGAAAAAGATGATGAGCTTTATCGAAACATTTCCTATACTACAAAGCAATGCATACAATAGTAAGAAACACACAACACACACACACACTGAGATCCAGTCTGAACATGACTATGTACAGTGTTATAATGCGGTTAGATGAAATCCAGCGTTGTGATTGGTTGAGGGTGAGCGATAATGTACAGGAACGGTTCACATAGACCCGAGAGTTCCGTATCACTGCGCACTCAAAGTAACAGGTTAGATTTTGCAAGACCGTTAGCTGACATTCAGTTTTTAGCTCGGTGGCGATCGGTGAAAAAACACTGGAAATCCCACAAATGATCAGTTTGGGGCAATGCGAGTTTTCGCAACCAGACAATTAAGGTGGACGTCACCAGCAGTGTGAATGAATGAGATGGTTGCGGGACCCGATGCTGTTTACTAGACTACTGAAATGCGATACACAACGTTTGGTGGCGACAACTATTTTGTGCTGAAAGGCAGCTATTCACCTATTTATAATTTTGCTGGAAACAGTATTATAAAAGCAATAATGTAACTGCTCCGCGTCGGGCCTAATAACACCCTCCACACTGTTACATTGTTGTTGTAAAGTACAGCCTCTCGTACCTTATTGCTTTATTAGACTCACGTCTACCATGTTAATACTCAGCTTTAACAGTGAAACACTCGTTAAGAATGGATGTATAAAACTGTTAAATCAATTTGTGTGTGTGTGTGTGTGTGTGTGTGTTTCTGTGTGCACAGATGTTCGTTACTGTGGAAAGACGTGCGACGCAGAGAGTGATCACCAGTGGTTAGGTGTTAGTCTGTCCAGACAACCTGGAGTCGACGGGGGATATATCCTGGTAACACTTTCTTTCTCTAACTCACACATACACACACACACACACACACACCTCAGCACATCAAGCTGATAGGGATGAAATCAATTTGTTACTGTATATGTTTTGATGATATTTTTGTGATTTATCTGATGTGATGCATTAGAAGTTAAATTATGCAAAAATTAGAGGCTTTGAAATTCACCGTCCACATAGGAGACCAATTTAATAAAAACATTTTTAATAATTTTTGTTTTACAAATAGTCAATATTTGTGTTTTTGTGCTTTTGAAACGTGGATTACATACACGTAATATTTGTAAACTACAGTTTTTTTCAATGGCTAACAAGCATTGTTCACTACTGAAACCACACTTTCAAACTTACACAACACACATCCTGCATTACCAAGATTAATTTTGGCCCAACGGTTAATCTAACCTCCAAAACGCACCCAGCAACAACAAAACACTTCATGTGTCAAAATAAGCTCATTCCACCGTCACTGGCAACAAATTCTCATTCATAACACACTAAAAAACACTAGCAACAGGGAGCATTCGATACGATACGTGAACATACACATGCTTTAATAGATTTTATATTGTAATATATTTATCCTTTATTATAATATGGGTTGCCGTAACCGTTTGGGGGTTGCTTAACAACGCCCCCGAACTGTTACATTATTGGATGATAAAGTACAGCCTCTCTTACCTTATTGCTTTTATATAATACATTTATTATGATACATTTGTATTTGATATTTATAATAGTTACGATATGGTAGTTATATCATATTCTGAATATTGTTTTATATATATATATATATATATATATATATATATATATATATATATATTCATTGATATACTCGAATGTTTGAATAAGATGTCCTTATTATGTTAAACTGTTAAATAAATGACCTGAATAAATGTTAAATATATAACTACAAAGTAATAATGCGTCTTTGATACCCTTTTTTTTGCATTCAATCATACTGGGATGTTTACTGAAACTGATTGGCTGGCCTTGTGTGTGTGTGTGTGTGTGTGTGTGTGTGTGTGTGCAGGCATGTGCTCACCGCTGGAAGAACGTCTTCTACTCAAAGAAAGACGGTCAGAACAACAAGCTGCCAAACGGAGTTTGTTATCGCTACGGAAACGACCTGAAACACGCCCAGTCCATCATACCCTGCTACAGAGGTACACTAGCACTTTACCAAACGATTCACACTCCCCAAATGCACTGTGACCACATTAACAGACACCCAGTTGATGGAGACGTGTTTTGGATTTTGAGATGATGTCTAGAGCTCACGTCTTTTGTTTGAGTGTGTGTGATTTGTTCACCTTCACCTCTTGACACGTCTGTTACAGACCATCAGAGGAAGTTCGGTGAGGATTATGGGTCGTGTCAGGCGGGCATTTCCAACTTCCTGACAGAGGTCAGTAGGTCTTCCTCATTCTCTTGAAATGTAGCAGTTCATCGAGGAAAAAAAATAAAAGAGAACTAAAACTATCATATCCTATGTCAAAGATGAAAAGCCGCAACTCCTTTTCTGAAGCAACAGATATGACGGAAAAATTATTTTGACATGCAGTACCAGTGAAAAGTCTGCACACACTTCCTCCTTGAATTGAATAAGAAAATGAGTCCAAACCTTTGACTGGTGTTACAGAGAGAAGATTTCTGTCCTCTTTTAGAGATGCGTGTCACATTATTTAATGCCTGTCTCTTAATCAGGATCTGATCATCATGGGGGCCCCGGGGACGTCCTATTGGACAGGTTCAGTTCTGGTCTTTAACACGTCCAGCGGGCAGATGTCAGTGTACCTGGACGACGAAGCCGGAGCCGTCAGCTTTGGAAGCTACCTAGGTAACAGATACACCTGCTACCGTGCCCCTCTGTACCTACTGTATCCTCTGCTACAGAACGATGCTGCTGCTGGCAATGTTGTTCCTACCCGCCAGCAAACACTTTACACTCTTACACAATCCAACAAAGGTTATACGTATCAGTCCGTCGCACCTACGGATCATCTCTGACTCCCGGTCTCAACAACATGAGATTTTGTTTTTATGTCCATCTCTTATGATTGAATTCATGCTACACAGATTACTTTTACTTACACCATGCACCATATTGTTGTTGTTGTTGTTAAATGGCATTCTCTGTTATCGAAAAGGTGTGTAGATGACCAACAGCCACGTTTATTTTGATCAGAATTACATCATTAGTTCAGAAGAGGGTTAACTGCAGAGAGACACACTGAGAAACATGTTGTTCTCTCAACAGGAAGCTGAACAGAGAGGTGTGATATGTGTGAAACATTTTCACTCCGGGTTTCAGAAAATATGTTATCGCTGATCCGGATGAGAGCATGTTGTCTTCAGTTAGTGGGTTAGTTTGCGTCAGTGTGTGTGCTCAGCAGTTTACCTCAAATGCAGAAGCTCAGTGGCAGTGGTTGTTCAATATTCTTTTTGGGTTTTGCATAGACTGAAATTCTCTCTCCTCAACTGTAACCGCTACATGTGAAACCCAAACCTAAAACCCTCATTCAACAAGTGTCATTTCTTAGTTTCAAAATATACAGACTTATATACTCATAATAATGAAAGGCAGATAATTCATTGAGTCATTTCTTTTGCCTTGCTGTGGGCCCACAATTGAAAAAAGACCAAAACATTTAGAAATAGTGGCGTAGTCTTTAAATAAATGAACTTGGTGACTCTCCATCTCTGCAAAAGTCTAAACATGTGATGTTGTTCAGGTTACGCTGTTGGAGCCGGCTCCTTTTCGAGTCCTGGCACTCAGGAGGTGGTGGGTGGGGCTCCGCAATACAACCAGAAGGGCAAGGTGAGACCTCACATATCTGTCTGCCTGTCTGCTTACTAACTGCGCTGAAGGTCTGAATGTTGGCTGTATGTGCAACTTCAAGACAGTCGGTCTCATTCTCGCTTCCACTTGTTAGTGTTGTTGAGTAGTCATTCACTTTTTGTTCACATGACGTAGTATTATATCCTTGCAATGGCAAATGTGTGTCTTTGTGCTGTGCAGGTCTTCATCTTCACCGTGGACGCAAAAATGCTGCAAGTCGTCTCTGAGGTGTCTGGAAAAGAGGTGAGGAGCCACTTAGCATTAGCGTCCTCCATTCAAAACAGATGTATACTTATCCCCTGGTTTGTGTGCGTTCGTTGTGCAGCTGGGATCTTACTTCGGCTCCAGCGTGTGTGCGGTGGATCTGAATGCTGATGGCTTGTCAGATCTGTTGGTCGGCGCTCCCCTGGCAACAGGCGTCACGAGAGAGGAGGGCAGAGTCCATGTGTACATCAACCAGGGGAATGTGAGCGCACACACACTCGCAAACACAGATCCTATTTATTTGACACCTGACATTGGGCTCAGGCTCATATTAATCACATATCTGTTTGAAATACATTTTCGTATACGGATGCCTCCTGGGCGCCTCCCTGGGGAGGTTTAGGGAAGGCTTGGGTCGTCTCATTCCTCACAGAATGAATCTGTCTCAGGCAAAGCTGTTGGAGGCGGAATTTCAGCTGAGTGGCAGTGACGCCTACGCCGCCCGCTTTGGAGAGACCATCGCCGACCTGGGAGACTTAGACGACGACGGTTACCCCGGTAATGAGCACACCTGCACAGCCTGACCTGTCTTATTGTATTTGGAATATATTTGTTCTACTATAAATATTCCCACTAACTGCTGCTGATGATATTACTGCTACGGTTGCGGCTGGGTGTGCAATACTACAATTCCTTTGACAAGTGGTATTATGAATACTACTACAGTTTCTGACACTGCTAACTACCAGTATGATAAATACGTTGCTTTGTTTGATACTGCTAAGTATCAGTGTACTGAAAATGCACAGGAGTGCACATTATTGCTCAAAGGCACCTCAACAATAATAATACTGGAACTCAAACTGTCCTGCAATACTTCTATTACTACTACTGCCACCGCACCGAACAACCAAAAACACATACTGTATTTTACGATACTTACTAAGGGTACATATCCACCTACCGACAACAGTAACTGCCACTTTCTGATAACCAACATCCCAGACTAGCTCAACGCCCCAACAAATACAACCACACGCACACACACAGAACACACTATCTGTGTGTGTGTGTGTGTGGTTGTGAAGGTCGTAGTGTGTTATTACGTTCATTAAAACAGTAATGACAAACTGTAACTGAACCTGCCTTCTAATCTGCCACAGCTAGATAAGTGTGTGTGTGTGTGTGTGTGTGTGTGTGTGTGTGTGTGTGTGTGTGTGTGTGTGTATGTATGTGTGTGTGTGTGTGTGTGTGTGTGTGTTCATGCTCCAGAAAAAGAAAAACAGAAACTGTTTGACTATCTGAACCTCACATTGTCAAAGGCCTCAGGTTAAATATTAAAGGATCACGCTGGTGTTTTCTCACGTCCTGGATACTTTCATCCCGCTTCCCAAAACACACCCGTAAACCTCAGAAGATGTAGACATGAGCAGCCAGATGGGCAATTAACCACTAATTGATTTACAATGCTGTGTGTTTCAAGTCTCTGAAAGTGTTGTCAATAAAGCAACATAAAGCAATACATGGCTACATGGAAGGAGATCATTCAATTTAGATTTTTTAAAAATATATATATATATAAATAAATATATTTTTGATCAAATATATTTATATGGATATTACTTGATATTGTAGGTAACAAATTGGGTAAAGACAGAACAGTCTGTTTGTTTGAAAGATATAATATCAACCATGGAGGTTGGGCTGATTAGAGGAAGCAATAGTCCTCACAAATGCAGTAATATAGACTTGTTTGTCTGGGTGTGTGTTCGTGTGTAGATGTGGCCGTTGGCGCCCCACAGGAAGACGATCTAAAAGGAGCCGTCTACATTTTCAACGGCAGGGAGGAGGGCATCTCGCCAACTCCATCCCAGGTACAAATAATAATGTTAATTATGACAATGCTAATAAAAAAATATGTTTAAAAAAAAGTGCATTAATGTCATGTCATGGTCAGTCATAAGACAGCAGAGGGCCCGTTCCCCTATTACAATGAAAACTGTGTATGTCATGTCAGCTGAGAGAAGATGTCTGCACTTTAAAATGTCTACACGACCTCCCGGTGACTTGTGGGGCGAGCAAACACAAAGAAGAAACAAAGATTGTTTTGTGTACCAAACTGACTGCAAAGTTTGATATGAGGATTTGGGGGGAGACAGGCATTATGAGGAATATCAAAATGAACCAGTATTAACTTGAGTCCAAAGATGACATTTTAATGAACTGTGTTGTTATGTTCTGTGATAACAAACATGTTTTGTGTGTGTGTCTGATTTCAGAGGATTACTGGATCCACTCTGGGTCGTAACCTCAGGATGTTTGGCCAGTCGCTCAGCTCTGGCATTGACATCGATGATAACGGCTACCAAGGTAACCTAAACAGGCATTTCCTCAGTCACGACATCGGTCATTGTTGTACATTTAGATTAAACTCTGTGTCTCTGCAGATGTGGCGGTTGGTGCTTTCCTCTCAGACTCTGCCGTGGTTCTCAGGTAAAACCACATTGAAGCTTTCTGTTTTAAACTGATTTTATTTATCTCCTTTCATACAGGTGTACAGGATGGAAGCTTCCTTATTTTATCTTATTTGCAAGGAAATCTTTGCTTTCAATAGTTGGATCTTGTAGAATAATAAAATCCATACCGTTACTGTGGAACTGTCAGCGGGGAATCAAATGACTTCATTTTAGTCACTATGTCGTAGTAATCTCTCTGAATGTGTGCTGTAGGACCCGTCCGGTGATTCAGGTGAAGGCATCCCTGATTCTGCCCGAGGAAATCGACCAGCAGGTGACCCTGTGCCAGGAACACCAGACTCCAACTGTCTGCTTCAATGTGACCGTCTGCTTCAGTGTCAAGTCAAGACACTTCAAAGGAGCTATAGGTACTCTAAACACAGACACGACCCTACAGAACATTTAAAGGCTAATTGCAGGTACATCAAGTAGACAAATGCTTGCTGTGCCTAGTAGCGGTTGCTAGGGATTATCCAATTGCTGTTTTGGGGAGGGGTTCAGGAAATGTTCAATGATATTAGTACATAAGTGTGTGTGACGTACCTACTTATATTGACTTATTTATAAGACTTTTTACTTATAAGACTTTTCCCTCTCTCTTCAGCTCTTCAATATAATTTGACCTCTGACTTGCTCCACAAGCCATCCTTCCCTCATCGTTTCTATTTCCATGGCAACGGGTCATCCAATAGCACAAGGGGCCGTGTGGTAGCCAAACAAGGCCAGCTCACTTGTACAACCCATGTGGCTCACCAAAGGGTAAAAAACACACACAATTTCTTGGGCATAAAACATGTCACTGAATACCTCTTAATTTGAGTGTAAGCATAACATTGCTTTTTTTATTTCTCCTTTGTCCATGTTTGTTCCTCCTACAGAAAGATGTGAAAGACCTTTTTACTCCAGTCAAGTTTGAGGTGTCTTACAGTCACAGAGAAACAAGCACCCACAGAAGCTCTTCCAAAACGCTTCCTTCCATTAAAACCCATTCTTCAGCAGAGCGCAGGACACCTGAACACTATCACCAACCAGGTACACCAGCTAGCTACAGCTAGTGCTAATGCCAACCAGGTGCAGGCTAACACCAGCTAGCTACAGCTAGTGCTAACGCCAACCAGGTGCAGGCTAACACCAGCTAGCTACAGCTAGTGCTAACGCCAACCAGGTGCAGGCTAACACCAGCTAGCTACAGCTAGTGCTAACGCCAACCAGGTGCAGGCTAACACCAGCTAGCTACAGCTAGTGCTAACGCCAACCAGGTGCAGGCTAACACCAGCTAGCTACAGCTAGTGCTAACGCCAACCAGGTGCAGGCTAACACCAGCTAGCTACAGCTAGTGCTGACGCCAACCAGGTGCAGGCTAACACCAGCTAGCTACCGCTAGTGCTAACGCCAACCAGGTTCAGGCTAACACCAGCTAATAACTACTGCTAACCACAATGCAGTACTGATTAGTAGCCTACTGACGCCTGCTCGTTACAAACAGTGCTAACTTCAACCAGGTGCAGGCTAATGAAGCCAACTAGTTAGCCACCAGCGGTTATTAATGCTGCTGCTTCTGGCAGTATCGAGGTGACATTCATTATTGGCAAAGAGCAATTTGTAAATACTTGGAATTAGTTTATACCAGTTCAAATGGTGTATTATGTGTACAAGCTAAGACAAGACACAAAGACCTTCAGGTTTAAGATTGTTTTGTTCCTGAAGTCTCATTAGCCTACTAATGTTTTATCAAGTGAATATCAGCTCTCTGTTTACTTTTAGCTTGACTTAAACTTCCTCATATGTACACTGCTACTGCTACTACTACTGTGCCCACTGTGCTGTCACTAAATCAGGAATGATATGGAACGTGGATCGATTCGGTTTTAGAACAGCTTTCCCCGTCTGGTCATTGTGTGCATTTCCAGACTGATCTATGTTAAAGGGCAGGAAACAGCTCATCTGATTTCGCCACACACACACACACACTCACACATCAAAAATGACTTCCTGCTAATCCAGATGTGTTTACAGCTGCAGCTCATTAACCAACATCAGTCAGCTCATCCTGAGACGCGCCATGTCCCACTGACTCATAAAAACTGTGCAGGATGGGTTAACATGTAGGAATTTGTGACTGGAGTTATTCGTCAGCACATTAGTCCGCATCTGTAAGGCTTGGCTCAGAGGTTGTAATGTCATCAATAAGGAAATGAGGCCATTTCTTATTATTATCATCGACGCACTTAACAAAACTCAAAGCTTTCTTTTCTCTGCCAGACTTGGTTTGCTCGTTCCTGTTCACTGGTGAACTGTTCGACCAACATGCAGCTGTCTGCTCAACTGGTTCTGCAGCAGTAAGAACACAAAGTGACACACACACACACACACACACACACACACACACACACACACAAAAGGACGTTGTTTGTTAATCATGAAGAAAGGGACGTAAAGAGGAACAGATTTGCTCAACAGCAGGCTTTATATTTTATTATTCCAGTTGGTGCACATAAAATCAGTCAGGACGGTATTCCCCTCACACGAGCTAACACATGATGCTAATTATCCGCGGGCTAATTCAGGAGGATTCATTTAGCAGTAATAGTGATTAGCTGTAAAGATTCTGGTTTGTGTGTTTTTAAACCGCAAAACTGTTTTCATTGTTCATTGTAAGTTGAGCCAAACCGACTGCAGTTTGCTTTTAGGGATACTTGTAGAGGCAATGGTTCAAACTATTGTATTTATAAATGTTAACCTCCAGGTCATTAGTTTGTATAAATGCCCCATGTGTTGGACTTTGTCTCTGTGATGTAATTGGTTGATGCATAGTCCAAATATGTAATTTAGTGATAGCTTTAATTTTATTTGATGATTGGAACATCAATGTTGTTGTTTATCTTGTTGTTGTTTGTCATCAGTCAGCAGCATTACTTTGCCCTCGGCTCCGGACAGACGATCATGTTGAAAACCTCGCTACTGAACTCCGGAGACGATGCCTTCCTGCCGCGACTGACGCTGCGTTTCCCCGACAACATCCACTACATTAAAGTACTGCAGAACGTGAGTCCACGGCATGCGATTTAAAATCCTGGACATTCAAATTCTGGTTGACTCAGCGCCACTCATGGGTACCGCTAGTGAGTATAGTTTGATACCCAAACACTCAACAGAAAAGCAGCTGGTAGAGACAAACAAACTTGTATTGTTTTAATAGAGAAATCAGACAACAAGTTTGGTTTTTATTTCTAATACGTCCAGTTCAAATAAAAATTGTGTAGAAACAAAAAATGATAATAGTAAAAACGATCAACAGTATAAAACATACAAATCTAAGCATTAGAACTCACAACACAAATAACTGTCTGTGTGTGTGTGTGTCTGTGTGTGTGTGTGCGCGCAGGAGGACAATGTTGTCAGCTGTGATGTCACACAGGAAGTCAACACTACGATGGCAGGTGTGGACTGCAGCGTCACCAGCCTTCTCCTCGCTGCCAACGCCAGGGTAACCCTCAGCCTGCCACGCTCGATCAAAATAGTTCAGCTATTTTGGTAGCATGCTACCAAAATAGTTCAGCTATTTTGATAGCATGCTAAAGTCAGCACCAGATTAATCAAATTTCATGGTGATCACGGGCAGTCATGGTGTGGGAACCATGGGTGTATGTAAATTGGTCTCAATAGCTGTTGGGATATTTCAGTCTGGACTAGAGGGGTGGACTGGGACAGATGGACATTGCCGTCTTTAAACGACGCGCCTCAGATCCATTGTGTGTTCATCAGTAGATATTTGCTTCGTTTCCTGTCTTTCACAAATAAATGCTGAAATATCTTGAGTTTCGCCCCCCAAGGCAGCAATTTGAAGGTGGACATTTAAAATGAAAGACAATGATGAAAAAGGAACAAACACACCAGACCAGCGTCTACAGATCAGGAAGGAAAACAAGTATTCATCGCTCATTTCTTGTTTCTTGCAGTTGAATATCAACTTCCTATTGGACGTAAACCAGAACAGCACACCTGGTGAGGTCCCCATTCACGTCAACACTGGAAGGTAAGAACACTTCCCCTCCTCACGTGTCCTCAAACAAAGAAAGTCCTCAAACTCTCTACTTTGCAGCAAGTATAAAAGTAAAATAATTAATTTTATTAAATGTTTTTTCTCTTCAGTGATAACTACGAGAAGGAAGATTATCTCTATGACAACTCGGTCAGCCTCCTCCTTCCTCTCAAATATGGAGTCAACATTAACATTCACGGGTGAGTCACCATGCATTTCTATTATTACCGTTGGAAATTCATACCAGTAACAATGTTTAGCATATTGCTCTTTTCTAAGAGTCACAAAGCGCTTTGCACAACGCAGGGAGTTATTTTGATCTCATGATGAAATAAATCACACTAATTCTAGTCATAAATAATGTGTGATGAATAAAAATAATTAACGAGAAACCAGCTTTCGAAATCGCACCAGCCGCAAAGACAGATTGGGACAGCCGAGTAGATTCTGACCACAACCATCCTCAAGCTCTGCCTTCATTTAGCTGTCAAATCATTGAGTGTTTGAGGTTTTCTGGCAAACATTTTGAGTCCTTTATGAACCCTTTCCGTAAATCACCATTAGATACTGACTTTGACCAAAGGAATTACTCACAAGTCTGCAATGTAAAGTTGTGAACGCGTGGAGGGGCAGAAAAAGAAAACAAAGACGGCCGCACAATATTTCTTTCTGCTTAGTGAGAAGACAGACAGACAGCTGCATGATGCTGAGCTGTTGATTGTGTGTTGCTGTTGATTGTGTGTTGCTGTTAAAGTTACAATTGAATGAGAAAAGCACAACAGACTCTTATCCAGCTGAAGCTGTTGTGCACCGCAGTTGAGAACATTGTTGTTAGTGTGTAACCACTCAGATCAAGCAATCCTCAATCCACTGACTGTTTGTCTGCCGCCTCTTTTGTAGTTTTGTGACTCCCACCTCATTTGTGTTTGGAGATGAAGACACGAATCCGGTCGACTGCTACACAGAGAGATTCAACTACACATACAAGGTATTACTGAACCCTCTTCTGATTGTGAAGAGAGGTCAATGGTACAACACGTCTTTTGAACCGTGTGAAACTATTGTCCCCTTGTCCACCACGCTAACGAGCAACCACTGAATATGACTTTACACTCCTCCTCTACTACAATTCAGACAGGAAACAGATTTGTTTTACTTTTTGCATTTTGCTGATCTTTATCTGGTATTTCTGTGTTTTTGTCTGTATGCAGGTGTTAAACTCCGGCCCCAGCAGGTCTGTAGATACCGTGGTCGACATCACGCTACCCAAGATCCTCACACCAAGCCGGCACAGACTGCTGCAGGTGGTAGACTGGCAGGTACGTCCAGCCACACCGACAGCAGCAGCACAAGCAGCAGTGGCAGAAGTAGAAGTAGCACAGTCAGTATTGAAACAGTTTGAAGTACATTTGTGCTCCGTCGCAAGTTTTCTGAGGGCACATTTCAATTGCTGATGTTAGTTTACAATTTGCTTCTGTCGTTGTCTGTTACCGGAGCCAGAGCAGAGAGCTGAGATGAATCCGGATCGGTTTGGAACGCTACGGCGGGTCATCCATTTCCGTAGCAGTGTTTTTCCTACCATTGAAAATAATAATAATAATAATAATATATATATATAAAATATATATATATATATATATATGTTTTTATAAAGGTTCACGTCCAGAAATGTCTTGAACGCAGTAAAATAGGAGATGGCGAGCAGAGGACAGGGGCAAATACTGGCCATTGTTGGTTGAAAATAGTCACCGTAAATGAAAGTTGTTTACGATATTAATACATATACATTTTCTCTGCAGTCGTCTCATGGTGTGTGTTCGATCAGTGACACGACTGTCTCCGTCCTCGAGGACTGTGAGGTGCCTCGAGCTTCCTTCATCAAACAGCTCATCTTCTTCTTCTCCTTCTCCTCCACGCGCAGAATGGTACACACACCACCAACATAGTCATTTGTGGCGGAGATGATTGAGTTAGTCAACAACAACCATCCAACTGAGTTATAGTGTCTGTACATCAAACTTTCTGTGTGTGTGTGCGCGCAGTTTTGTGGCCGTGGTGATGAGCTGTGTGAGCGGCTAGTGTGTCGCCTCGGTAACCTGGAGGCGGGGAGAGATGCTCTAATCCAACTGGAGATCACACTGAACCCTGCTGTACTACTCCAAGCTCCGGTAACACACACACACACACACACACACAGATTACAGTTTCTCACTTTATCAGCTCATATGTAACTACAGTGGTACTGTGTGTGAATCTGACTTATGCCAAAACACGGGTAAACTACAGTCCGATCCTGAATGCATCCCTTGTGCACTCAGAGGAACAAAGCTGCTGCACTGCCAACCTGCTGCTTTCCCTTCACAGTCTGTGTAGAAATGCTCTTTATAGACAATGACGCGACAAGTGACACAAGAGACACACGGCTTAAATACACTAGGGAGGTGCAGGTGATTGGACACAGGTGGAAACGATCCGACAATCACAGGGGACGACAGGACAAGGCAGGAAGTGAAGTTACCCGGGGACACGAGTGGCAGAAAACTACAAAATAAGACAGGACGTGAACCACACCGTGACAATGATTAAATACCAACAAACACAATTAATATACACATACAAACACTCTCAACATCAAGAAAATAAACTGCAATGACGTATCATGATGAATAATCTCAAATGCATTTTGAGAAACTGAAAAAGTCTCCTGATATGTGTCTCAGGGTCGTCACAGTGTCATGAGGCTTGAGAGCACAGCGACCATGTCGAATCCCACAGGCGGTCTCCACACCGTCCTCATCACGGAGCGACCTGCAGCACAGGTAAAACACACCGACACCCGTCTCAACCAAGACCCAACCACGCCACGTGATGTCTTCAACCCGGAAATGTGTCTCCATTTCTGTAGGTACGTTTGTATTCTAGATGTCTGCGATCATTTACTGTATGCGGTACTTTTACAGGTGGAGGTAGAAGCGCTTTTCTCCCAGAAACCCTCAACAACAGTGAAAGTCTTCATCATTGTCGTCAGTTTAGTTTTAGGTCTGATGATCCTAGCTGCTCTCATCTGGTGTCTTTGGAAGGTAAGTTAAATACATTTGAACTTTTCTGTTGATTACCGTACTGGCAAACAATTTATATCACAATATAATTGTAGTGAAACTGCAGTGTATGGTAATCCAATGTTCAGATAAACTACAGAATATTGCTATATAACATTGAGATAAACTGCAGTAAAATGTGGTATAATATTGTTAATGAACTTTAGTATGTTACAATACAATGTTACACATAAACTGCATAGTATGAGACCAGCATTGTGTTTACCTGTACTCATCGCCTGTCTGTCTACCTTTCTCTGCACACGTCTGTCCACGTCTGTCTACTTGTCTGTCTACCCATCTGTGCACCTGTCTGTCTACCTGTCTGTGTCTCTCAGGCAGGTTTCTTTAAGAGGGAGTTCCAGAAGAAAGAAGAAGAGGAGGAGAAGTTAAAGAGGGACAGCTGGGACTACGTCCCTAAAAACAACCAAAGAGAGAGCTATTCATAACACGGCACATCTCCTCTGACCCCGACCTCTGACCTCTAACTACTAGAAGAAGAAGTTCACATTGTGACCGTGCAACAGTTTCTATGAGAGTTGTGTTGACGGATGGATGGAGCGCTGCTTATGAAAATATGGCATGGCCAATCTTTTTTAAAACAGTAGAACAATACTGCTGCTGAGCGTCATCGGCCAATGAAATCCATCCAGCACGACTCGGCTGTTTTGTCTCCTAGCGAGTCAGTTGGTCATCATAGAGCTGACAGTGAGTGTGTGATGGCTGACAAAATGACTCCAGTGAACGCCTCCTGTGCACTCCTGAATGACCATGACCTTTCAAAACTATTTTGCGCTTCCAAAAATACAGATTAATCCTGCAGCGTTCCAGGATAATTTTTCTTTTTTTTTTTAAACGGAATAGACCTGTCGGAAAGGCCTTTAAGCTCACAGAGCCAAGCATCACCTGTGACAGTTATCGATGACCGCCGCTTTGAAGAGGAAACAAATCAAAGGAGGTGAATTTCTGATGACTTTTGGATCTCATGGGATGGAAGCCCCGGTCCCTGACAGGCTCATAGCTCTCCATAAAAACACGCTATTTTGTCATTGTGCATTTTTGTTTACCTGCTGACCAACATTTTATGCACTGGTAACACACTGAGGGGCGGGATGTGCTTGTATAGGGCTTATACTTATGTTTAAATGGAGCCACAGAGCCCCTTCAGCCTGTGTTAACTTTAAATATCTTTCAGTTGTCCCTCTTGACCCCGGATGGTGAGATTTCGCATCACTTGAATTTAAACTTATGATGAGGAAAAGTAAATGTAATTTAAATTTTTTTCTGCAGGCGTCACGATAACAAAAATCCTCTCTTCAAAAATGACAAATCGCATGTGACGTCAAGTAAGACTTGAATAGTTTCTGCGATTTGGAGATACATTTAACTTATAGACGACTATTTGATATTCTTAAGGATGCTTCATCTAGAACATAAAATCATCAAACATAAATGAACCGCAGTCTCACTGCAACTGATGTCGGACCTCTTTGTTCATGTTAATCCAGATCAGGAGGCAACGGTAAGCCGGCTGCATTCTCTCTACTGACCAGCAGGGGGCGACTCCTCTGGTTACAAAAAGTGGTCAGAAAGAAAAGAAAAGAAAATGAGTCCATGAAGTAGACAGCGCTTTAGGGTAGGTACCTTGTCATTGACAGGTCACTGCCGCGTCCAGAGCCTGATCCGGGGTCAATCCTCTGCACTCCAGATCCAGATGTACTTTCTTGGTCGCGACCTTATTTTGTAAAGCGCCTGAATGTCACCGGGTTCTTTGATGCAGACCTTCTGGGTTTGGACTGAGTTATCGAGTTTCGTCACAGTAAAGGAAGCAGCTTGTCGGGGAACAGAGCCAGCAGAGCCACAGGGTTCAATGACGGAACAGTACTTGAAGAAGTGTTCAAAAGCAGTTTAACCATCTGTATTTTGTGAATGCAGACATTTAAAACAGCTGCCTTCCTCCATTCTGATTATCTATTTAGTACAAATGCACATCACACAGAGATGTTTTTAATATTTTAATAAATCTGTTTGTTTTATGTTTATGTGAAGTTGAAGTCTGCACTGGAGTCTCACTGCTTGTACATGCAATTTTATATTAAATGAAGGGTTTTCTATTTAAACAACGTTTTCTTGTTTTTTTTATCATGATAAAAACAAAAAAAGTAGAAGAGTTTCTAATAGAAAATTTAAAAAGTTTAAAAAATAACTGCTTAAAATATTTGGACATTTTGGTATCATCCAGTTGGGTTCTTCTCATCTGCACCGAAAGCTGCTCAACTATCACCAACAAAAAATAATTAAACAATAAATAAGGATTCTACTGGAAAATACCTCACAGTTTTGATTCAATGAACTGTTGTTATCTTACATGCTTATAGTTTGTATGCAATCTATCTGCAGCACAAGTTGGTGATGAAACAACAATGTAAAAAAACTATTAATATTAAGAAAAGAGCTGGTGATTTAAGTTTAGCAGAATGTGAACATGAAATTATACAAAAAACATGAATCTTGATCCTCAACTAGTATTAACCCTTTTAAAGGACAAGACGTTGTGAGTTAAAAGTATCTCCAAGTTACCTGCTTGGTTATTGAAGCTGCAATAGTAAATAACAATAAAGACTAATAAATGCAACTTTAAAATACATGATGTAAACACAAAGCTCTGTATTTAGTTTTATGTGTGTATTCTACATTCTAAGTTCACGTCGCCTTGGAAACAGTGATGATCTAAAGACACTTTTAAGTCAATTTGGTTCCAATGGTTATGTGTCTCTGTCCCAACACACACACACACACAGACACACACAGACACACACAGACACCCACGCACACACACACACACACACACACACAGACACACACACAGTGCCCTCTGCCTGACTCAGATGCAGCTGCAGGAGCCGGTTGACTCGGCCTCGTCCACCTCCTCCCCGTATAGAGTGATAAGCTGCGGGTGGACCCTGAATGCACCACGTAAGCACACACACATACATGAATGCACTTTGATATGACATAGTGATTATTTAACGTATGTATTTTGATTGTTGGTTGAATTATTAAACCTCTGCAGATCACACACACACGCTATACTCCATTGGCTCCATCGCAAGATGGCTGATGCAGCAGTTTTTACTCTGTTTACTCTGTAGCTTCAATTGGCGATAGACATTTTAACACGTTACAATGGGCACTTTTTGGAAATCAAACACTCACTTCATTAAAATGTTTTTGGGAGGTGAATTACTATTGAAATGAATCATTAGCTGTGCCCCTGTTTCACTACGTCATATTTATTTAATAATGAATGATATCTACAATGCATACCTGATAAGCACTTCGTTAGCAATCTCCACCAGCTCTCCGTCGATGTTCCAGGGGAAGGCGGCTCCCTCTAATTGGATGATGGGCGTGGTTTTGGACTCGGCCTCTTCCTCACTCTCCTCCTCTGAACAGCCAATCAGAGAGCGGGGACAAATCCTCACCGCTGACACAGTGTGCGTCTCCACGAATGAGAAGCTAAACTGCAGACAGACAATCAGACAGACAACGAGGTGATTGTGTGTGTGTGTGTGTGTATATGTGGCTCCCCACAGGTGAAAGGTCATCTGGGGAGGAGAGAAAATCTCTTCATAATCCTGCTAATCATCTTGATCATCTGGAGGAGTGACAGGCATTTCCACTCCCGTCCTTCACGGTCTCAACTGTAACACCACAAAGCCCCAACAGGGAGCAGCAAAGACCAACAGACAGACAGAAGGACAGACTGTCTCACTGTCTGTCTCTCCCGTCCACTTTTTTAGTAAAAATATAAAATGACTATAGTCTATAAATTAACCTACTACATAAATGATAAACATAAATCCGAATTTTAGGCACTTACAATTTGTATTTACATCCTGTGCCACTTTATACTTTTATTCCACCATATTCCTGAGGGAAATATTGTCCACTATGTCAATTTAACTAAACATAAAAACTTTTAAAATGTGATGCACTGCAAGAAGACTATTTTAGCTTCAATGATTCAGGGAATATTTTTCATGCAAAAATGCAAAGCATCGGTCAGCCGTGACATTGTGAACAATGTGAACGTGTCATTTATCAGCTTAAGGACGAACACTTCTCAATGATTACATCCGGAATGGATGTTAAATAATAATTCAAGATGAGCTACACCGTAACAGTGAGATGCTGCGTAACGCCCCGTATGTGTTTGACTGAGAGCTGTCCGTCCCTTCACCTGGAAGGAGGCTAAATGGATGTAGGTCAGCGAGTAAACAGCCTGTTTACTCCGGGGGACAGTGAACGCCACGCTGTGAGTATATTTAGTAAGTGGGTTAGTGTGTGATCTCGCAGGCCGGGCCAAACCAGTCTAATCCACTTGCTAATGACTACTTTCCTTATTTTTATCTCTCTGAGGGGTGAAGGATTAAGGATGGCGACTGCAGGAGTGAAACAACCCACATCGGGGATGAGTTCTGATGAGCTGGCTCCATTTTGGATGCAGTTCCCGGCCGGCAAACTACCTGGAATTGTCCAACCAGCCAGCTGCATCTGACTGACTGACTGTCGCTGGTGTGAAAAGTTCCTCTAGTTAATGAGATGGCCTCACCTGTCCACTAGAGCTGTTGTATCTCTTCAGATGTTTGATGAACTCTGACCTCGACGTGTTTCCTACTGCGATCAACGCTGCACTGCCATTTGCCAAACTGTCACAAACAGGAAGTGCAAAAGTAGGATCAGTAGCAGCAACACGGCGACATGAACCTGCTAAACTCAACATTCCCCGAAGGATTAAGTGCTCATCGGGTACCTGGTGTTGGGTGCCAGTCCTTGAGGTGCATGTTGACTCAGACAGGGGATGGACATGATGCTGATGCTTAGATACAGGCCCTGATTGGTTGTCCAGGTCTCCTCCCCTTCTGTGCCAACCAGTCACAGAAGGAACGATCGGTAGAATCAAATGCAATAGACACACGGAAAACAGAACCCTATCTCTTTATCCTGATTTGTCTCACCTGATTCTGGGTCTTGGTCCTGGTCTCTGTGAAAAGAGATCTAATTCAGATTTGTACATAAAATAATATCCTAAAGAGAATCAATATGCCACATAAAAACCCATACACCTCGGTATCTGTAGCTCCACTGAGAGAAATAATCAACAGAGCCCACTTTCGAAGTCTTGAAACCAAACTGCATTGTTTTACACAACATCCTGTGTGTGCGTGTGTGCGTGTGTGTGTGTGTGTGTGTGTGTCTCACCTGTTTGACTGCTTTGCTGGTAGAAAAGACAGCAGACAGTCATCTGGTCTGATGGCGACAGAAGAGAAGAAGAACAAGAAATGAAGAACCAGGTTAGGACTTGTGTGATGCTTGACTAAGAAACACTAGCATGTTAACAATGACGGTGCCAACGCGGTTAACATTTGTTTGGCCTGTTGGCATAATTACACGGTCCAATTGGCAAAGAGGACATGAATGTCTGGCACATTTGAAAAAAATGTGATAAATGAATAAAACACCAAATCCCATATTAGCATTGCTGAAATGTACTATTTAATATTTGAAATTTAAAATGAATATTTTCTCTTAGTGGACTTAACATATGATCTCCATACTTGGAACCTTAAAGAAAATGAAATACCTAAATATAATTGAACTTTTCTGAGTGCAATTTGTGTTTATGCTTGTAGGTAACCTCAGCCTCGCCAGGGTCTTCACAACAGCGTACTCTCGTCGGCGTGCCGACGGCATCCACCTCTTCTTCTCCGCCCGCGCTAAACTCCGCCCACCAAAGCCAAACATGGCAGAGAAACCGAAACACACCAACTGCCCAAGAGACGAGAAGCTGCACATGTCCACCTGCAGCAGGTGACCTGCAGAGGGGAGCCGGAGGGGGGGACACTGATCAAAGAGTGTTTTTAATTATGAATACTCATTAGGAAAACGCAGGACCCTCCACACACACACACACACACACACACACACATTCTGTAAGAGGGGCCACGCGGTTGTATGGTTAGAAGCTAATTAATATTCATGAGGAGCCGCACCATGAGTGTGTGTGTAATATCTATAGACATCAGGAGGATCGCGTGGCAGCAGAGTGACCAGTCTCTGGAGGTTATGATCCACTCTGATGGACCAGCCTGTCTGTACATCTATACAGAACAGTTAACGTTTACAGCACATTTACAACAAATGGGTCCTACTCAGTGAGAAAAGAACATTAATCTGTTCCTTTCAAACAGACATATATCATAAAAAACTCACGTTTTAGTTTTTGTTGTCAAACATCGGGGTGTCTAGAGTGCTTATGAACCTCAGACTGTACACAATGACAACCCATTTATTCAACTCATTGAATAAAAAAATTCTCTTTTAAAATGTACAATTTACAATGATAAATGTCATTCTTTAGCGTCTGACACAAATTGGATCAGCGTGCGTTTTAATGTGACACTTTTGCACAGGTTTGTGAGGAAATGTGTATATCTTTATTTGTGCTCTTAAACATTAAACCATCTTAAGACAACCAAAAAATATTTTTTTTATAATTGTATTATTAATAGTAATTTCCTTCAATGACCCCATTTCACCATTAAGACCATTCAGTAACATGCTCAACACACACACACTCTCTCTCTCTATCTGTCGCTTGTAAACACACACACGCACACACACACACACGCGCACACGCATGCACACACACCTGCACACACACACACATACACACACACACACACACACACACACACACACACACACCATGCCATCTGGCCACATACCTGCTGTAACCTACTGAACTGCTCACTGCCCACCTGTCTGTCTCTCTGGGTAGCATTTGATTTCTTCTCCATATGGCATGTTGTGTGTGTGTGTGTGTGTGTGTGTGTGTGTGTGTGTGTGTGTGTGTGTGTGAGAGAGAGACGATCAGTCCACAGCAGTGTGTCCGTGAGATCCAACTTGCATCGCTCCTTAGTGGTGCAACCAATAATCATTTTGGTCGGCAAGTAAATGATATAAAGGAGTTTGAAAAAACCCCGACAACAAATAATTATTTTCTGTTTCCTGTCTTAATGAAATATTTTGGCCTGTTCTGTTTTGTACATTGTCGTTGGGTCTCATTTGTTCCAATAAATACTCCCATCTGTCCCACACACACCAGAACCACTATCTCACGTCCTCTCAGTCATTCAAACACAGCGGCCCGTCCTGCTGTCAGCTGGACAGGTTTACCTGAGATGTGAAGGGGGCGGGGCTACAGTGAGCAAAAAAGACCTGTGATTTCAAATGAAACTGAGCCTGCTGTTAGACATCTGTCTGTGTGCCACCTCCACAATCCAGCCACCCCGTCTGTGCGTCTGTTTGTTCTCAAACAATATGAGTGACCATCAGCCAATCACGACAAAGCTCAACAATAACACCAGCTTCTGATTGGTTCCCTTTGAGTTGGTTGAAGTTGAAGTAAATTCCAACCATGATCGGGATGGGACTTTATTCATAGAACACGTAGAATTACCCCAGAAAAAGAGAATTATAGATCTAGAACAGGTACGAACTGCAAGGAAGACGGATCTTGAATAGCTGAAATCCACCCAGAACAACATTACAGTTAAGAAGAGAAGCCATTAAGGATCATTAGGAGATACATCTAGAACAGGTAGACTACAGTCAATATTATGTGTACAGATCTAGAACAGGTAGAACTTTCAATGGATAATGTGACGGTAAAGTGGGAAATGGGAGAAGCCTCCCAGTACAAATAGACGTTACTATAGGTAGACCCACCAAGCACACGACTATGAAGTGAGGCCGGTTATGTGCCAACTAGAAGTCGATCCAAAACAATAAAACTATAAAACATAGAACAGGTAGAACCTACCCTATGGCTATGGATTTAGAACAGGTAAACCCAATTATACCCAACAGGTAACATTAGACACACAACAGGTAGAATTTAGCTGAGGCAACGTTTATAGATCTAGAACCAGTAGAACACAACGTATCCACTTTAACCATAGGCCTAGGATGTTGAACCTATAGACATGGAACAGGTAGAACGTACCCAGGACAATGTGCAGGGCTGCAGTGACTGGATCTCTGACTCCATGAACAGAGCAGGAAACCACGTCTGTAGAACCTGGAAAGATGGAAAGAAGGGCAAAACCCCCCGTCTGGTACCTTTTAGTGTGGATAGATGTACTTCTGCACAATGTTGGTCTAATGTTAGTATACATATATATATATATATATATATATATATATATATATATATATATATATATATATATATATACATATATATATATATATATATACATATATATATAGATATAGGGACTTTCCTCTCTCTCACCGGCAGGAATGATTCCAAGTGGCAGCACTGCTTTCACTGGTTTCTCTGGAGAATTAGCATCCAGCTGAGCTCTGAGGACTAGAGCGTGACACACCTCAGCCACCGACCCGTCCCCACCAACACACACCACCCTGACAGACAGAGTCAAACTAATCATTTTTGTCTTTGTTGGTATCCTAGAACTGTCTGTCAAGCCTAAACACCTTATTTTGCAATCTTCTTAACTTAAACTCCCAAATCTAAATTATAACACTTTTTTTTTAATTTAGAGAACACACAGCATTTAAAAGTATTGTCTTTATTCAAATACCTAAAAAAATAAAAATAAAAAAATATATATATACATACATACATAGCAAAACAAAATCTATATTTGTAGAAAGCAAGTTAGCAATAAAGTGTAGTTATGGCATCTGTACTAAAACTTGAAAATGCTTTATAATCCCAACTTCACAATATAATTATTGAGAATTGCTTTAATTTAAGACCAAAACATAGACACTGAAATAAATTAAACTTATATAATTGAAAGGCATCAATAACTGTTGGCACCATAGCTACCCTTGATGTCCTCTGATATTTCTGGGTATTGTGGGAGTTAATACATACAGAATATATATTTACATTATTACATACATGTTAAACTTATTTTTTAAACACTATCAAAATGAACAGGTAGAGTCAAAGGAAACGTTTGAAGTTTTAATAATAGTAATAATATAAAATGATTAATAATAAGTACCATTGGCAATTGAAGTAGAAGTTAGAGACAAAAATAATAATAATATTTTCTTCATTGTTCTCACTGATTTATCCATGTTTTTAGGAGCTCATTAAAAAGTGAGAAGGCTCATCTTTAGAGTTTGTGTTTCCAGTAAATGTGAAGTAAACAAACTCTCCTGCTGTGAATGGGATTACCTGAATCTCCGGTCACCACGGTGACAGCCAGCCTAATTGGCAAATGTAGGTTTCAACCAAATCCTGACCAGAGCAGCCAAACACACACACACACACACACACACACACACACACACACACACGCACACACACAGCAGCTAACTTAGCAACCCTGAGCTAATCTTCTATAAGCACGTTAAGCCTTATGAGGGCTGAGCACAAAAGCTGCTTACACGCACACACATACACACGAACACACACACACACACACAGACCATCACAGATATTGACATTGGGGGTTTGATCAGTTTTTAAAATATTTGTAGTTATTGTCTTATATTCTTTGTCTTTTATTTCAACAGAAAGCAGTCGCAGTTTGACCTCACATGTCTGCGTGTGTCAGTGTGTGTGTGTTTGTGTGCGTAATCAGTCTGGGTCAGTGGGTTTTGGTCATCCTCTGAGCGTAAACCACTGTTTAATTATCTAGTGCACTTGTATGTGGGATGAGGTCACATCTTGATTGTAAAATGTTAACCTGATCTTCAGTGTAAACGCTGCTCTCATTTTACAACTTAAACTATATATAAATTTAAAAATATAGCAACCCCAGACAGAGTCATTATCTGAGGTGCAAGTTTATTATTACTTTATTAAACACAGCTTTGTCTTTCTAAAGTATTTTGAAGTGTATTGTTTGATATAACGAACAATAATGAACAAATATCTGTCTTGCACAACTTGGATTCAATTTTAAATCACAGGAGAGGGACAGAAAAGCGACAACTGACCCATCATATTCATCCAGCTTGCATTCCTTCATCACTGAGAGAGCGTGACCTTTCCGTTCGGTCACTGGAGAGACAGACAGACAGACGGATAGAGAGAGACAGGAGGAGAGAGGGGGAAACAGATGGAGAGACATTGAGCTGGACCTCCGTCCGTAGTGTTCATATATGTGTGTGGTCACTAGTGACACTCATGTGTTTGATGGCTGCCAAAAAAAAAAGTGGGACAACGGATATCACACCATCTGCTTAGAGGAGAAGGGGAGATGATATGAGAAGGAGAGGAGAAAGGACGCCACATGGAGGTTTTTGGCAAAATATGAGGAGAAGGAGAGGATAGCAGCGGAGAGGAAAAGGATGAAAAGAGGAGAGGATATAAGGAGGAGGCAATAGAGAGAAAACAGGAGATAAATAGAGGAAAGGAAAGGTGAGAAGAAATGAAGCAGAGATGAAACAAGAAAAGAAGAAGATAAGGACAGAAGACAAGGAGAGGGAACAAGGCAAACAAGGAGAGGAGGAAAGAGGAAATAAGGATGTATAAAACTTAGGAGAGGACACAAGGAGAGGAGAGAAAGCAACCAAGGAAAATAAAGGAGAAAGGAGAGAAGAGAAGAGGAGACAAGGAGACTAGTAGAGGAGCAGGTTGCCTCCCTGTCACAGCAGATGGGCTAGGCTCCACCCCCTGTATCAGGTTACCTAGCGACAAGATACTGCCATTAACTCTGACCTTTGGACCTACTCCACACACACACACACACACACACACACGCACACACGCACACACACACACACAGATTTGACGTTGTCTCTAATATCAATAAAGAAGGACGGAGAGTAAAAATATTAAAACCACTACGACAACTCTGCTGCACATGCACATTATTTTATGAATACCTGTCTGAGGTACAATAATCATAATAAGTCTTATTTTACGATAAATAAAAATAGAAAAGTGGTCGGACTGACCAGTGATGTCAGTGCGGACATCAGCCATCCTGAAGAGCGGAGCCACATGTTCTCTGTAGATGTGGACGGCCTCCTTCTTGTGGCTCCTGGGGTTGATGAACACCTTTAGATACTTTGGACGACTGCTGGATCCTGCACACACACATACACACACATATACAGACACACACATACACACACACACAAAATGCAATATTTTACAGTAAGAATTGTCTGTTTTTTAGGTTTTAGATAGTCAAGTAACGATTGGATTTTCATTGCAATGTCAAATGGTGCTGATAAATAACAGCTTTGCAAATTGTGCAGTACAACAACATCCGTTTTATTTAATAATGATTAGGAAATTAATTATTGTATTTGTATAGATAAAATACCCCAGTATAAGTAATTTAAATAATGTACTCTATGTTGTTAAGAGCGTCACAAAGTTAAACCACTCATCATTTCCTCTCAATATCTATTTATGTTGCTTTGAAAAACATCTCCTTAAACACACAGATGTTTTATGTGACCCACACACGAGGAGATTTCACCGCACACACAGATGTGTCGATGCCGTAGCCGTTATATAAGAAGGTTGATGCAGGAAACATGACACCACAGATATTGCTGTCTGTTCAATTCTCATGGTTAGTACTTTTAAAATCGTTTAATCACCATATTCCAAGTAGCAATATTAATCGTTTATGTAATGAAATATCAATACTTTATTAAGATTAATTTATTAAGAATCAAGATGGAGAATGTCAAATACCTGCTGTATGCTATCATTCGTGTGTGCATGTAGCTCAAAAGAAGTGTTACAGCCATTAGCACAAACAATGGCCCTCTCGATGTGTCCACATTTGAAGCTTCTCAAATGTGAACATTTGTTGCTTTTCATTATTTTATATGTGAGGATGACAGACCGAGTGACTTCTGGAATTTGAGGAGGCAGACAAGCAAGACTTGGTCCAGATCCCAGAAAGGGTTTTATTTGTAAAAAGTAAGGCCCCTGGTACACGTATTGTTAAACAAATATACAAACAAAACAAACCTATTTGGTTTTTTTTTACAAAAATTAAATAACCCCCCCATGACTAATTCAATCACCCCCCTTAACCTACGGGGGTTTGCCGGGGCCCCCCCCCCCCCCCCCCCCAACAGTCAATGTCCTCTAACCTTTGTAGAGGACATTGACTGTTGGGGGGGGCAATCAACCTGCTCTAGGCCGCACCATGTGTACAGGTGACACCCATTAAGGCAGACTCCCTCCCGTATACGTGATCTAACTTGATGATGTCACTGCTGACATCATCCCCTGTATGAACACTAGGCCTCGCTGCCTGCTTTCCCCTTTAGCCTCTAGCAGACCTGCTGGGTATGGATCAGTACTCAAGACACAGACTTGGGGACAAAGGTGACCCACTTTGTCACATAGCTGTAAAATATATTAGCTTGAGGCTTTAGCTTTAGTGTGCTTACGAGGAGTAGACGCCTGCACACTGTTCTAACGTTGCAGAGGCCCGGTTGATGCAAAATATTCACCATATCGTTTAGCAACAATACACACAAGTGCTAGACAGCAATAAATGGTTTCATCTCCAAATTGCAGTCACAATCACGCACCCCTTACAGCTCGTCATTAGGCAGATTCAAAGGCTGCCTTATAAACCCCCTGAGACGAGCACAGATCAATACACACACACACACACACACACACACACACACACACACACACCGGCTCCATTATCTAGATGATTACTATAATCTGTTCCCAGAAGGCTGTGACCTCACCCTGTTAATGACCCCACACTCATATACACAGTGCAACACCCCCTGCCGCCCCCCCGGCTCTCTACTGGATCCCACCCATTACCAGAGGTTCAAGCCCTTTTGAGGTTCCCTCTTCCCCCCCACAAAAAAACATGGGGACCCAAGTCCAACATTAACTAACGCAAATCCACCTCAGCATTTATAGAACAGCATCAGGAGCCAGTGTGGCACCAAATAGCCCTTCATGACCAAACTGCTCCATGCTCTACGGAACCACAGCATCTTAACCTCTGAACCTTTTTGTAAATTACTGTTTACATTTCCTCCATGTTTAAAGAACTATGAAGATCAGGCAAACAGGGCCGAACACTGATATCGCTTTGTTGTTTGTATTGACTGTGAGCCTGCTGTTTGAGTAGATGTGATGGATTAATGTAAACGTGAGCAGCAGAGAGGAGACTGAAACAATCTTGTAAGCTCCAACGAGCATCAACATAACTCACCAACAGTTACCAAGAGGAGTCAAAACGATGGGATGTGTCCATCCATGGTCCAAATATTGACATGAGGTCAATATGTCAATATAAGCAGCAGGTGCTTGGACACACACCTCATGGAGGCCCTTCCGGTACTTTCAAATACTAAGCTCTTGATTGCCCCAATTAGCGTCAAAATTCGCACTACTTTACGCCACAAGTCAAATGTAAACACTGAGCCATGGTGCACACATTTACAGACTGTACATCAATATGTCGGAAGTTGACAAAAATAATATCGTTAGAATATCACGGAAAATAAAAGACGCTTCTTATGTTTCCGGAAGTTACCTGAGAAGCATCAGGTTTGAAGTTTTTCTTCAGTCTGAATGTTTATGAGTGACAGCAAATGGCTAATTTGGCATACTAGTGCCAAATAGCCAAAATGTCAAAATGGACCGCAAGAATATTTACATAGTGCCAGTATTTTCTTTAGTTATGGCACTGAAGAAAATAAGGATCGAAACGCGGCCTCTTTGTCTCTTTCTCTAAGTGATTGTTGTATGACTGACTGACGATGGGGGGTGTGGGGGGGGGGGGGGGGGGGCAACACACACACAGTCTCATAGGAAATGAGGTCATTCAATTTGTTGATATGTTTCTAAGAAGAAAGGCAGACAGACAGGTACATGTGAAGAGATCAAGTATCCATCAGATCATCTCCCTGCCTCGGCCGGCGGCAGGGTTGCTATGTCGCTGCTAAAACGTTGCCATGGTAAACAATCCCAGTGTTGTCAAGGAGAAGTGTTGAGTTTCTGAGAGAGGACCGAGGAGAGAAGCTGCTGGATGTTGTTGACAAAAACAGATTGTATCTTGGTGCACAACACCGAAGGTCAGCGGACAGAAGTAATAAAATACATGGAAACACTGTCTACGCAGACAAATGGACAAGACTTAACCCGAGGGCGAGCAATGTATTCAAGCAACATTTATTGTTCTTATTTTTTAAATTAACAACAGCAGTGAAAAAGTCAAAGGCTGTCATAATAAAAGAAGGAATCTGGCGTCCTTGGCTGGCTTGGATAAATAACTCATCAATTAATCTGTTTCTCATCTGTAAAACAAGCATTTTTTTTTCCAGCTCCAATGGAAAAATGACTGATTTACTGATTGTAAAGTGAATATTTCAGGCTTTGGACCGTTGGATAAAAGAAGCTTTTTCCCTCTAGGAAACCGAAGGACATTTTCCTTCACTTATGATAAAAATGGTTTCATAATCCCCAACGTTCGGATTTGGGAAGAATTCGTACTCTTGCAGCTTCCCATAAGACTAGATGTTACGGTGATTGGGTCGTTCCGGTTTTATTTGTATTTCCCTGCCTGCTGTGTCCCTCGGGGAACTTCACTTCCTCCCTGGTGTGTTTTTTCCTCCCTCTGTGACTGCCGGTCTCGTGCCTGATGGTTTCCTCCTGTGTCCAATCACCTTCACCTCCTCAGTGTATTTAAACCATGTGTGTCCCTTGTCGTTGGTTTGTTTGTCATTTTTGGTGCTAATGGTCCCATGAGCTTGGTCCTGTCGAGGCATTGGGTATCCAAGCTGTTAGAAAGTTATTTTATTTTTAACCTATTTGCACTTGAGTCCTTTTGTTGCCTCCCCGATACTTAAGAGGCTTTGACACAATATGCCCTTTTGAGCTAAATGCTAATGTCTGGATGCTAGCATACTGGTAACAGGTATAATGTTTAGCATTTCTGCGGCGCTTTTGTGTGTTTTTGACGTGACCGGGGCCCAAACCCACTGTCCCCCTAATCCCTGAACCCTGACCCCTCAGGGACTTAACCGACATCACCTGGTAGGAGGTGGAGTGTGAGAGTCTGTGAGGGCTTTAAATGGGGTAACTATGACGAGATAGCCTCAAAAAATATGATTTACAGTAAAGAGCATTTATATTCTACTTTTCACTCTGATTGGAACTTGCATCAGGCCCTTTCTCATAAAATGAGAGGTCATTTTAAATGTTTTCTGTCTTTTGTCAAATCTCCATCTTCAATTCTCAACGTTTAAATGTATACATTTTAAGAATAGTCTTGATGTTCTTTTTGATAACTAGAATTGGAGAGAAAAGATGTTTTGGCTTTTTCCCAATGGCGTTCTGTAGAGTTTGATAGACAAATCCATCACCAAAGTATTTTTTCTATTCTTTTCCAAATGGTTTGGTACTCTGAACCTCTCTGATGGTTACGTGTACCAAACCGCGGGTCGCGTTAGTTTTTGCACAACTTCAAAAATGCTCATGAAACAAGTGGATGGAAACACCTCAAGGCTCGGTAGTTTTCAAGGTCTTTCTGTGTAATCCAGTATTTTACACATTTCTACAGCCTAGTGTCTGTCCAGCCAGGGGTTTAGATATTTCTGTCTCGACCAAAGCATTAGACTGACCGATGGCGTGGCCATCATCGCCACGCCAAGAGCCACACAGCTGGCAAAGCTTAAAATGGAAATATTATTCACAGCGCTCACTTTAAAAACTCTTTTTTTTTCGTGTGGATGCAGCAAAAGTCCGTCGAAATCATTGAGTTGCCAGGATGCAGCAAAAACGGTGTGCAAATAAACATGGGATGAAAGGGTTGGACATTTGATAGCTGCTGTATATTCATCAGGTGGGTGGGTGGGTCCCTGTATGTGTGCTGCTGTGCAATAAAGGTTGTGTCCTGACAAACTAATAAAAGTTGAATATGAAGGAGAGAAAAAGGGGGACAGGTTTCTCTCTTCGTGTCTCTATGGAAACATTTGCTGACTTCATGCAGGCATCAGTTAATATGTAACAGACACACGAGGCCATAAAGCAGTTTATTCATTCCTCCTCACAAGGAACCGTCTCTTCAGCAAACAGTTTTATACTCGTAAAACCCTCAGAGAAACCAATTACTGGGATTCTGTTAAGTTGTTTTACAAACGAAAAAGTATATATTATAATAAAAATGGTTGGTTTCTTTTAAAATGATTTGGTCATTAATTATTGTTCGAGAAAAACAAATCAACAGTTTCCCCATTATTGCAGATTTGTTGCTTATCTGAGTTTCATCTCATAAAAAGTAAAGAACATTTGGATTGACTGTTCAGTTTATTCTCATTTTTAACAAGGTTCTTCTTGAGTCGGACATTTTTATTGTAGTGTGCTAACTTAGTCGTGAACCAGGACCTTTAGTCCGTGGAGTAAGTAGCTTGTGTGCAGTAGGCTGCAGCTGTGAATTGGACTTTCCATATACATTTCATATATTTAGTGCTACGCAATGATCACAATATGTAATCATTAATTTCACAGAGTTTTTAGGATTAATTGCAAAATTAAATAGTTAACTAAAAGTAGTGCATTCAGCAACAAATAAGGTGCTTTTCAAGAGCAGAATAACCTTAACACAATAGCAGTTGGAGCTGTCTTTAAAATTGATTTAATCAAATCAAATATAAAACCAAAGCTTTTCTTTACCAGTGGCAGAGTATTTACGTTTTATCTAGTTTAGAGTTAGAGTTGGAATTGGAATTTTCTCACGTCTTGTGCGTATTTAAAAACTCAACAGTTTACAGTTTACTTCGGTTACATCAACTCCTTGTCTGTATGCGCATTCAGAGCCAGTGGGTCACATTTTTTCCATATAACAATCATTTAAAAAACAGAGTTGTGTGTTACGTCAATGGTCAGCGTCAATGGCGGTCATGATGCTCATATCAGTCCCAACCGCAATTACTCTAAAACCCTGGACTTCTGCATGCCCAGCCAATAGTAGCCTTCAGTTAAAAATACTATAATATATATATATATATATATATATATATATATATATATATATATATATATATAATAAATAGAGAAAGAGAGTGAGAAAAGAGGAACCAAAATGTATGAAATGCTACAGAAGCAGATTCCTGCTGGCCGCTCTGTGTGCTGATGGCGTCACTTTGACCTTAAGGCACGTCACTGCACCACCGGGTCGACCAGACTGATTTCACCTTGTCGAGCTGAACTCAAACCAGCGCCTCTGTGAGCGAGCGGAAAACGGGCGTTAGATTGACAAGACAATTGATCTGGGAGGAGTCACGGCGGGCGCTGGTGCCCTGGGCGAGCTGCGTCTGGCCGTCCCGTGAGCTCCGCCGGGGCCGCCGGCCTGTCAGTCTGTTGTGCTGTTAAACAACTGCAGTCAATCCATCCCGCCGCCTGACTGCATGTATGGAGGAGCGACTATACAGCATCACTGCCGGCCTTTTGTCGCCCTGACTGCCATTCACTCTGCGCGCGGAGTTCTGCAGCTGCTTCACACAGCAAACCGCTCTCTGGAAACAGAAAAGTTTCCGTCCACCGCCAACCATTGTGCTGCTGAATGTTTTCGGACCCGAGGGGTTAAGAAGCGGCGGAGGTGGCGGTGTCAGCGGAGGGATTGCCTGCTCGGCGACGCCACGATTCGCACAACAATGAGCTTTTCACACTGACCCTCGGCTGGAAAATAGGCTTAATGTCTGCGCTGCATCAGAGCGGCCTGACTGTTTACTTTCCTCACACACACACAGGTTCCTCCACCGCGGTGTGCAAAGTCACAAAAGCCGTCACAGTTTGACGTGTGGTGTGACCACGCGAGCTGACACGCGACCTGCGAGCCATTCATGTGTGCGTGAGTGAGAGGCGAAAGACGACCCACTTAAAAGAAGTTGTGACTTGGCTGCAGGGCCTCGCGGGTAATCTGGCTTGACGGCCCGGCGGACGGGACAGACGGACAGGTGACCGGCGATAGCGTGTCACGCCGATGACACGGTGAGCAGACAAAGGTTGCGCGTGTGACCCGAGGCGATCCGTGGAAGGCTTGTGACGTCTCTGTTGCAGTGGACAGAGAAGAAAACCCGAAAATGTAAAGCGTTTTATTGTGAGATCCATACAAACTGAGCTCTAACAATCCCATTGTGTGCTCAGTGTCGGCCAGGCGACGCCCACTACCGTGCACCTGGGAAACCGCAGTCTGGGAACTTCAGCAGCAGCAACATCCACAATTTGATCACACTGTCAGGAGGTGGTTGACGCATTGAAGTCACGCAGAAAACTGCACGAGCCTGTGACATATTATCAGCTGCTAAAGTCGTCGTTGGAGAAGCCGGTTAGCAAGAAGCGACGCATTTTCTAAAACAATTCATTTTCCTTTTGGAGACTACATGTTGTAGCTCCACTTTCTTTGTGTTGTCTGTCTGACGCGTGATGCAGAGCATGCAGTGTAGCGTTTATTAAAGCTTTTTACATATTATTTTGAGAATAATCACTTTCTGAGAGTTTGAAACAAGGGGCAAAAGATAGATAAATGAAAGATGCCTTAATGCTCAGGTATAGGTTAACTCTATGGATTGGTGATAGTTCTGTGGGTCTGTTATTATGAGTCGAGTGATGCATTTTACATTACATAAAGGGACAATAGGATAGTTTACTAAATGCACGTAAATCTGACTTTTCCTTTAGTGAGCAAACAAAGAAGCGTTTCTATTTCATAATTGTAATCTATCTCATGAGACAGCAAAGTCATAATTATAAAATCCATACGGATTAAGGTTGAATGTGGATGTCCACATAGCGCCGGTTTCCACATGCGTGTCGGTTCAGACATTAGTTTGTCTAATCTCTCTTGCAGACGACATGACTCAGTTGCTGACTGCACTTTGCTTAGTGAGTCGTGCTGAATGTGTGTGTGTAATCTGAGTCTCTTTGTTCTGGTGGATTAGCAGATTGTCCCTACTGTCTGACGAAACCCTGACCCGCCTCATTAACCTGAGTGATGACCAAGCTGATGGAAAACAGTGAAATTATAACCCCAGCCGCTAGCACACACGCTGATGCACTTAACTCTAAGTCCACGCTAAACTGTACAATACCATGTCAGCGCTCCAGCTCCTGTGAGGGGGACAAGAATGACCCGCCGCATTGAACGGCAATCCATCCAATAGGCGTTGGCATAAAAGTATTACACCGCATTGTGTGTAATCATCTTACAGTGTTGACGCTCAAAGTACTGAGTCATGTTTCCAGTGTCTTGCAGTTCTTATATAAAACAAAAAAAGCTGACAATCTCACTATTGGCCTGGATTTGTTTTCCTCATTGCGTCCATGATATTGACAGCGGCTCCGTGTGGGTCTGTTCTCTTAAAGGGATGCACACGTAGAAAGTGTTCACTTCTTCTTCATCTGTTGAAAATGTAAAAATCCCCAAATATCTAAAACTACCTCTTTTCCTGGGGGCGGTCTGATTATATGTGTGTTACCTGTGAGCAGCTCCTTCAGGGTGTTGTACCAGGTTTGTGTGTGTTCTGCGGACGCGTTGTGGAGGTGCAGAGACTCCTCCTCCAGCCGCTTCCCCCTCCTCCGGCAGCAGAACAGGGCCACTCCGAGGACGGGACCCCCCGACTCCTGGCCCACCGCTCGCCGCCGCTTTACCTTCACCGCGAACACGTCGCGGAGCAGCAACACGCCTGGCTGCAGCGCACACGCCTCACCTACAGGGAGAGAGGTGGGGTCAACACGCAGTACCTGAACACAGCACGCAAATAACTTTACTAAGTGATCATGACATAAGGATTGTGTTGCTAACATCTGTTTAGTCAGGCTGCAAAGGGAAGGTTTCCCATTATTTTGTCCACCTTTTTGTCTCTTAAGTCAGCAAATGTAAGCATACTGCTACTGGTTCATCTGTGTCCACATTACATAATATGATCCCAGTGGTCGATGGCAGCTTCACAGCAGGTCGACTAACATCTGTACATGAAAAACAAACCAGATTTAAACCTCTTATACTTTACAGCCTGGCAATAGAGATTCCCCTTTTTATTTTGAAATGCAGCTATAGTTCAAAGGTATTCAGGTGATCATTGTTGGACCATTCAATAAAGAGCAAAGGAGGCATTTCTTGTTATTATAGATTATTGAATCAATCTAATTTATTGTTCAGATTTTGCGTAAACTATGGGCCAAAGCAGAAGTCAAAAATGATTTGTCTTGTTTTCAAAGATTAACAAATATAAAAAAATTGATGTAGCGAAAACATGAGTTGAGTACAAACAAGTCACTCTAAAGGCAGTGAAGAATCCTTCAGTTCACAACCGAAATGAAATGACAGAACGAGATATTAAGCAGCTTCTGTGCTAACAGATGATGAACTGAGACAGCAGTAATCAAACCAAACAAACATACCAACAGTATGAAATACACAATGAACAGCTTACAAGTTCTCAGAGGGGAAAGATCCATTAGCAACAAATTAGATACGATGATAGCTGATTAACTACCCTTCTCTGTGAAATACCCTCCTGCCGTTATCAGATACCAAAAACCCTGAACCCCCCACCCTCCTCCACCCGCAGAGGCCAGCGCCCATATGTCAGGGTCACAGTATGTGTGGCGCTGGTCTGTCTGCTGTTGTTGCTTCACCCTCTGCTCAATCACATTTTAACAGATTCAAGTGATGCACAAAAGGACAGTCCATCGTCATATTAAAGGAAGTCAAGGCATTCAGCAAACATACACAGAAACATCATAGTTTCTTTGCCGGAGACAAGGTTTATGAAAAATTCATTCTGGCCTGTCACATAGTTGCTTTCAATTCATTTGCGGAAATCAACTCGCTATAGGTTAACGATAAAGTACAGCCTCTCGTACCTTATCGCTTGAGTGCAGCGTGAGACATCCTTTGTCCTCAGACCCTGGCATGGAAACAGGACTCCGGCTGAACCATCACAGTTAATGGCCTAAGTTGTAATATCAGTTGTAAGCTCAGGCTTTGGACACCACTCTTTGCTGATGGTGACAAGGGTTCCACTGTTTCACATGCAGTAAAATACTTCTGTGTAGCGCTGGCGTAGGGTGTAGCGCTGGCGTAGGGTGGGTGTAGAGTTCAGTCAAGAAAGAGGGATTTTCATTGATGAATTATTTAAGTTGATAATTAGAATAAGTCCATGTCGACACCCCCGACCTCTCATTGTTTTCTGAATTGTAGGTCGCACTTCATCTCAATAAGGAACAAGGAAATATAAAAAAATAATAATAAATTGAAAGAGAGAGACAGATTGTCCATCTGTCTCTTAAAGATGGTAACGGTGATCTGAGTTGAAAGAACCCACAGAGTTTCTGCTCTCTCTGATTCTCACACACACACACACACACACACACACATTGCCCGTCACAGGTAGCAGATGGAGATGAGTTCCCCATCATGCCCTCACCGACACACGGGGCCAACCTCATCAGCATTTAAACACACACACACACACACACACACACACCTGTATATACATGTAGAGTGTACATATATATGTGGGATTCAACACTGTGCTTCTGTTCCCTCTCTGGAGGTCTTACCTTCTCCTAATTCCAAACTTAAAAGTTTACAAAGTAGATAAACATGTACAATTGGCATATCCCTACAACACACATGCAGATACACACGCACAGCCACACACACAGTGGCAGTCCGGTTCCATGGTGACCAAGCCATGTGGCTCACGGTGGGTAATTATGGATGATACCTAGTTTACACACACAACTCCCCCCCCCCACACACACACACACACACACACACACTGAGGCTGCAGCGCTGCATTGCTCCTCTTGTGTTTTGGTGACATTGATCATGTAAACTACTGCTCTCTGATATTGTACATTGATTAAAGTGATCAGCCCCCCCTTCTTAATTAATCTAGGTGGGTGTTTTCTGGTGTGTAATGGAATTATGAAGTGGTTCATTTCAATGAATCACATATAAATGTGCAGTTGATGGGCATGATCTTTCCTCAATGCACAAAGGAAACCGGGGTACCTAAAACAAATTGCAGATCTTTTTAGATTAATTTATGTTCATTTTCACTGAGAATGGCGAGTGTCCTCAACGTAGAAACACAAGACTTCCCTGGATAACAATCGTAGGTTTATGATCTGGATACCAGCTTTAACAATTTCAACTTGGTTTATTTCATTTTCAAGGTCTAACTAAATACTGCAGTACCCTTCGCCAGGCTCAGCCATCGTTGTCATGGAAAGGATGACTGAGCAAAGTCAAAATGTTTTGTTGTTGGCGTTGATCAGGTGCTGTTGTGCTGAATTCATCCAAAATTGACACAAAGCGTGTGAGTAAATGAACGTAACATGCAATTGGTATGATTCGTTTTGTCAACAGTCAACAGAGTGTATGTTAACAGCGTACATCACAGAACCCAAGCTTGGTTGATGTTTGTAGTGAACGTCTCCCCTTAAAATTTTTCAAAAAACAAATTATCTAACAAAATTGTTACTCCTTTGCACGGACTTTTCAACCAGGAAAGCTTCACACCGTTCGGGAATGCGTTCAAACTGCAGGTACTTCCGAGTGTCAGGTCCTGACAGACAGAGAGGCTGCTGGGTGTACCGGGATGCATTCATGTGTACAAATAAACAACAACAGCTGATGCATTTATATAGAAATATCTAATCAACACACACACAGCATGCTGACAGGCTGACTGAGTGTGAGTGTGTATGCGTGTTTGTGTGAGAGTGTGTGTTAATCTCCTCACACTGAGAGACTCTAATAACCCCCCATGGGCCGAACCAACTGCTCTATACTACTGCCAGCACGCACGCACGCACGCACGCACGCACGCACGCACGCACGCACGCACACACGCACGCACGCACGCACGCACGCACGCACGCACGCACACACACACACACACACACACACACACACTTACACACAGTTTTGGCTTAATGACATTTAGTTGGATGAAATACAGCAAAACAGATTGGCTTCAACCACACACACACACACACACTGTATTTACACCTTCATGCTTCCCCGCTAACGAGTTCTGTTTGAATAGATTTTAACTAAAAGTAATCCCACAATATATTGGCAAAATAATAAATGAAATACCACAATGATACTCAAATATAACCAAAATATTGCCACAGGGTGACTACACCAGGCTGCGTTAGGGTGGGGCAGTATATTGATATTATATCAATGTTGTAATACGAGAGGGTCATCTTACATGGTGCATATTGGAATATTACATAAATATTGTCTTTGCCTGGTTTTAAAGGCTGCATTGCAGTAAAGTGATGCCATTTTCTGAGCATACAAGACTGCTCTAGCTGTTGTCTATTGTTGTTATTTACCTACTGAGTCATTGTATCCACATTTCTTTTAAAATGTTGTATATATTCTAAGTATATATAAAGAAGCAATCGTCTGCCATACACTACGGCCCTGCACTAAATCCTGTACACTAAACCCTAAAGCTGTGTCTTTCATAAGGGTGTTTTTGTTGTGCTTAGTCTCAGGGAAGCTGCAGATGTAGCTGGCTTGATATCGAGCTTCTGCCATTTCCTGTAATCACAGGAGAAGGGATCTCCTTGCTGTGATCCGAGCTGTAGGACCAACAGAGGATTCTGGTGGTCCTGCAAAGACACCTGTACCTGCAATCAGCTCATAGAAGGAATCAAGGAAGAATGAATAAATAAATAACTCATGTAACAATGTTTCCTCTCTTCCCCTCTGAGCTGATTTTGAGTTTATTGACGGATTTCAAAAACTCAACACATCCCCATCCATATCAACGGGATGGAGGTTGAGCGAGTCGCCAGCTTCAAGAAGAAGGCCCATCTGTCTCCTCCGATTCTAGAGAATTTCTACCGCTGTACCATAGAGAGCATCCTTACAAACTGCATCTCAGTATGGTATGGCAGCCGCTCTGTCGCAGACCGTAAATCACTGCAGAGGGTGGTGAAACCTGCCCAACGCATCACCGGTTCCTCACTCCCCACCATTGAGGCTGTCCAGAGCAAGAGATGTCTGCGGAGGGCACGCAGCTCTCACCCCAGCCACAGACTGTTTGCCCTCCTCCCCTCTGGGAGGCGCTACAGGGTGCTTCGTTCCCGGACCAGCAGGTTCAGGAACAGCTTCATCCCTGCTGCTGTCATTCTACTGAACTCTGCCCCCCACCCCCACACACACCTCCCTCAGTGACTGTACTTCCCCCTCCACCCTGGCTTGACTGCTACACACCTTCCTCCAGCCACTGAACATTTGCACTGTTATTGTATATCCATTTCTTTCGCCAAAATGTCCTTTTAGTGTTTCTGCTGGTAGAATGGGCTTTGTCTCCATTCCTTTGGCCTTTGAACTTCCTGTCTGCATACGTTGCACATTAACATCTGCTCCTGTTATTGAACAAATGTGTTTGTGTTTTATTACAAAATCCTAAGTGGTATCCATTCAGAAAATGTCCTGACTCAACATGTCTTGTTCTAAAACCGTCTCATTTGGTTGTACGGTTATTCATTAAATAGTTGAACACATTGTTAATTAAATTAATTGTAACTTGAATTGTAATTGTACACCCTTGAGCTTCTAGTTCGACAAAACAAACATCAGCTTGTGGAGTGAAGAAAATAATGTTTATGACTATGACTTTTTTTTATCTAAAGGGGGTAGTGAGCACAAATAGAACAAATACTATCATTTCTCTTCATCTGTGGTTAAAGGAGAGTTGATGAAAAGCCATCAGAGCTCTCAAAAACATAACACAACATGAGCTAACTTTAACTTCATACCAAAGACATAATTTTCCATCTAATGTCTGTGGTGGTGCCAAGTCACAGATGTGGAGGTGGGTTTCTAAAAATAAAAATAGAATGAAAATGACTGAATTTTTACTATAAGTTAACTGTGCAAAGTGAGCAAAGTTCAGACTCAAATCAGTCAGAATTTGTCACCACCGTAGTGTACATGTCATCCATCCATCCATCCATTGTCAAACCGCTTTATCCTGCACACAGGGTCGCGGGGGAGTGTACATGTCATGGCACCCAATTAAGTGAAATGGTGGAGATATCAGATATTAAATATCAGGCACACTACCGAAAAATACGAGGATGATTTCTCAAAGAGCCCTGAAAGTCATCTTTGAAGAGGATGGACTATGTATAAAAACTGTAGTTAATAATACATTTTTTAAAAGTTAAGTATATTGTGAATACTTCATAAACCATCACCCAGACACTCATTTTAGCCGGTTGAAGCACCATTCTCCAGCATCAGTAAAAGAGGTTGCCACCAAGACATGTGCCACTTTCTTTTTTCTTTTTTTAAGCAACTCTGATAAAACAGAATCTACAGATTTAATAATAAAGAGCCGAGTGAAATGAAAGTTCATGAAAGTGGCAAAAAATGTTCAGAAGCAGCTGTTTGAATGATTTGAGATCCTTCAGCTGAATTAAAAAACAAACAACAGAAAGTGTCACAAGGATGTCTGAGACGGGGAGACAGGAGGACAAATCCAGTTTTAGCAACAAAAGAACACCGACATTGACAACAGACCTTCTCCAGAGCCAAGGGACATACATGGTTAAATACACAGGGAAGGTGCAGATGATTGGACAAAGGCGGAAATAATTAGGGACACGCCAGACAACCAGGCTGGATTTTAATAGTCAAAAAGGACTATCCACTTTTCCTTGACCTCTGTGCAAAATACGTCACAGGGTCAAGAAAAGATGGTTAGGAGAATTCATGAGGAGTTTGGGAAAGACAACGTGGTTGTTCAGGGAATCCAGGGACACACGATTCAGGAAAATACCAGTAAAACACCAGTAAATACCAAATACCAGTAAAAACTGAAGGATGTAACACCAACAACCTCATAACCCAATGAATACTGTGTTTGTGCGTGTCTATTTGAGGCGGTCTCAACTTGACAGAACGCACACACACATCAACAGGACCACGACGACGGCTCGGTCACCATGTTAACTGACCTGTGGGGGTCTCCGGGATGATGGGGATCCACGTCAGCCTGGTTTGGGTGAGCAGGACGTCATGACTCTTCTTGCCCAGTTTGAAGATGCCACGGAGGACAACACAATCACTGACACACACACAAAACACATTTATTACATTAGTATTAATCTTATTTAAAACAATAAAGTAAGTCTAAATATGTTGTTGCTTACACATATTTGTCAATGAGTTAGTCAAGTTAATAGTCCTTACTCCAAGGATCCATTGTTTTAGACTTACTTACAGTGAGGCTTTTACTTTGAAAGAGTTGGTTAATACGTAATACTGATGATAATGATTTATTTCGTCTGACTCATCAGTTTGTTGTGTGAAGAAAACGGACAGCTCTGTCTTCAGAGTGGAACCAGAATCTGAAGGAACCTTCAGAACAAACACTCACCTGTGCTCCTCTTCCTCTTCCCCCTCTTCCTCAACCTGCTCTTCCTCCCGCTTCTCCTCCTCCTCTTTCTTCTTCTTTTTCCTCGCGCTTCGTTTTTCTTTCTTCTTCTTCTTCGTCTTCAAGCTGTCCTTCTGCTCTTCCTCGAACTCCTCTTCGGGCTGCGACATCTTTAGCGGTTTGACCGACGAACAAACAAAAAACCGCTTTTGTTGCTCTTTGATAAAGGAGGTGGCGGATGGGAATACGGTAAGCGTATCGCCACTGACCGGTTGTTGTATTTCCGGTGTGTGGTCGCTATGGAGACGGCGAGCAGCTTTACCAGAGATTTCAGGCTCGCGGGAGATCCACCGGTGTCTAACAGACGCGCGCGCTTCCTTGTTTATCCAGCGGGAGCGCGCGCACTGTGAGGATAAGTGATTGTGTCCCGGTGTTTGCAGCTGTGGGTCATTTTATAGCAGCCTGCTGTACTTTTAAACGGGCCGACTTGTAGTTCTACTTTACTTGAGCATTTCAAGTGTATGCTACTTTGAATTCTGTGTTTAATGAGAATAGTATTGTAGAGTATAATTATTGACAGGATATGTAGCCTACATACCCTATTAATGGTGCTGCTGGTAGTCGGGTTGCCAGTTTGATCAACAGGCCTGTGGATAACTGTCTGTCTGCGCTCATATTCAGCCTGTTTTTACATTACAGGTCATTTAGCCGACGCTTTTATCCAAAGCAACTTACATTACATTTTTAACCCATGGCTTTTTACATTTTGCCCGGGGAGCAATTAGCGGTTAGGTGTCTTGCTCAGGGACAAGACACCTAACCTTTTGCTTCACCAAAGGCAGAAAGTTCAACAAAGTTTTTATAAGTTCTAAATATTCATGTTCGAGTCCAGTGTTCAGCTCTTATAATACAACCAGGATACGGTGCCAAAAGCTTTTGGAGGCCGTTGAGTATGTGTCCATATGCATGACACATAACTCCAATAAAGAGCAGCGCATAGCTGCTTCTAAAATTGGGGCTAAATATGCAGCTCAAAGCATGGAGGTTATTAGCTTAGCTTAGCATGGTTCCTGGAAAAAGAGGTAAATAGAGAGAACGGGGAGCTGTTATTGTTGTAATTCCATGCTTTTGGCCTGGTAAACATTGGCTTCAAAATACCAAAATACACACATATCAATACCATTGTACCATTTAAGTCTACTGTACTACATACACTCTTCTTTATGATTTCAAATGACACAAACCAGCCATTTAGAGCGCATGGTGTTTCCTTGCTTTGGTCTAAGCAATTGAGTAGCCATCTTATGTCTGTCTGTGTGTGTGTGTGTGCGTGTGCGTGTGTGTGTGTGTGTGTGTGTGTGTGCGTGTGCGTGTATGTGCGTAGATGGCAGATGGCTGGATTTAAGCTGCATTAATCAGTGTTATGATCAGCCAACAGACTGAAACACAAAACCTCTATTGCAAAGACTACTGCTGATGCTGCGATTGATTCTGCTCATACTGCGGACGCTAGTACAGTTATAAGCAGTGTGCATGATGTTTTTATTAAAAGCTTTTTTTTTTAAACAGCGTTGTACTTTTTCCAGAACACTATATCTATCTGTACATTTTTGTCATTATATTAAAAGCATCTTTTCTCAGCATTGTTTGCAGACAACTTTGTATTTTTCTTCCAAAAATCTCATAGGACTCAAAAGAATAGTTCCTGGATGCGTCTATACTGTCGTCTGACTTTCTGTCCTTATTATTCCATTTAAAGAGGGATGCTAAATGGTTGGATATGGCCACCATATTGTCCCAGTTGACAGACACACACACACACACACACACCTACACACAGCAGGACGTGGTTTGTATGGAGCCGAGCTCTCATGCATAAACAAGATCATTTTCATAAATTAAAATCTTGCCCGCAGAATGAACATCTGTGCCTTTCGTACACACACACACATACAGCGCACACACTCACTGATCCTGGTTTTGTCCTTCAGTGTGAGATAATGTAGTTAAGGTGTTAACAGGGTTTTCTCTGTAAGGAAATATGTGTTCTCTCCTCATGTGTTTATTGAAACTCGGAACTTAAGACCCACTTAAAAAACACTGTAGTCGCGTTGAAAATTAAAAGGACCTCCAAGTGTTCGACCACTAATCTCATTTACCATGACGGACATTGGCATGTTTGTTTGCTGGTAAATAATAAAATAAGCTGTTTATAGTGAATCGTCTGGTGCCAGATTTTTGAGATATGGGATGTTGTAATTATAATCATCATTTCATCTGCTGATCGTTTTCAGGATTAATTATTCCAGAAAAAATACTCAATCTGTCCGACCAACAGTTTAAAAGCCAGAGGATTCAAATATTCAAAAAGATACAAATATTCACATTTGAAAAGCTATTCAAATTATTAATCGATTATTTTGCAATGACACATTAAACTTGTCGACAATTATAGTTTCTCCAATGAAGATATAGTTTATTATTGTTATTATTATTATTATTACAACTCTTTGTAATACTTACATTCATTGTCCCTGGTCCAATACATCTGATCGATTAGCGTTCAAATGTGCAGTTCAGTCTTACTTAAGACCAGAACTGGAGATAAAAGGTTTATTATAAATCACCTGCTGCAATATTTTTCTTTTTTTGGAAATGTGGTTCAAACATTTTTAACGGCGTTGAATTCGATTAAAGTGAACTCGACCAAAGTGTCCCGAAGGGGAATGGACCAACCAGAGGAAACCGTTTACAACCACAAGGAAGCGTCCCGGACCGCAGGGGTTTGTTGCTGCGGATGAACAAGAGTCTCAGTTGCATCACATGGAATTCCTTTTAATGAAAGGCCTTTATAAACATCTATCTTATAAAATATGAACAAGAGTCACATGAAAAGATAACAGAACGCTACAGGAACGTTATATAAAAAGCAAAAAGTGAAAAACCACATGGACAACATGAACATTTGGGCCCGACAGCAGCCCAGACGCCGGCTCAAAGCCGCCTCACACACCCAAAAATAGAGAAATCTTTATTCTTTCAACATTTGGAATTATCAGCTGAGCGTCGCTCAGGTTGGAACAAAATTGCATAGTTTCCTCCAGATTATTGCTCATTGGTTCTTGATTATTTCGAAGTGATAACATGGACAACAACGAGACATTCAGAGGGCGTCTCCTGCAGGGTGAAGAAGGTTTCATCATCGATGTCGTCGCCCTCGTGAGGAGGAGTCGCAGAGCGGAAAGACGGGAAGGAAGGAAAGACGGAAAGAAAGACAACTATGAAACGACAGACACACATCAAACCGTCTGTCCCTCTAATAACTGTCTCTGTTCGTCTCTCCGTCCTCATCAGTCTCTCAGTCCCTCGTCCTCCTTCGCCTCAGGAGTCGTGGAAGATGGCGTTCAGCTGGGCGTTCATCATCCGCTCGTGGTGCGTGTGTCCGTCAAACCCCATCATCCCGTCCACCTGGAGCTCGCCGCACCGCGGGTTGGACCCCCCGCCGCCGTAGATGGCAGGGTGCCCTCCGGCTCCTCCCGCTCCCCCGTAGTGCACGCTGAAGGAGAAACTCTTGTCGTAGTCGGCGGCCGCGGCCGCGGTCTCGTGCTTGAACGACGAGAAGTTCCCGTTGATGCTGAGCGGCGGGCTGAGGGGCGGGTCAAACGCCTGGCCGTCCGTCACCAGGACCCCGTCGAAGAAGGGCTCCAGCGGGCCGTAGGGCTGACCTTTGACCTGGTGGAAGATGTGGGAAGGCTCCATGGTGCCGTAGGGCGGGCTGGGCAGGCCGGCCGTCAGCCCGGGGCTCTGGTACGAGTAGTGTCCGGGATAGGAGGCGGCGCCGGCGGGGGGCAGGTGGACCGGCAGGTCGGGCGTCTGCTCCGGCAGGAAGGTTCGAGGATTCAGCTGCAGGCAGCCCGCCACCAAGTTCGTGGTCGGCTGAGACAGACCTGAGAGCAGGGAGACAGTGGTCAATGGTGATCAATACAAATCCAACCCTCGTTTAGTCATAAGGCCCAATGGCGCTCCCCATTTTGGATGGGTGTTTTTTTTTCCTTGCATTCGGGTTGGCTTTGCTCAAATTTCAGAAGGAAAAAAACTCTCCGCTGCTGAGGCCACACGGTGATATTGTTTCCCTTCATCTTAAATTCATCCAACCAGAGATCCGGCCCCACACCCACCGGCAGGTTTGGTCAGCTTGTTGCTGTAAGCTCACACTGACCTTTGCAGAGCGCCTGCACAAAGCTCATGACGTCGGGTGCCTTGCCGGAACGCAGGACCTCGCTGAGGGCCCAGATGTAGTTCTTGGCGAGGCGGAGCGTCTCGATCTTGGAGAGTTTCTGGGTTTTGGAGTAACAGGGGACGATTTTGCGCAGACATTCCAGAGCGTCGTTCAGCCCGTGCATGCGGTTCCTCTCGCGGGCGTTAGCTTTCATCCGACGGACCTTAAACCTGCAGAAACACAAAGCAATTTATTTTTTATTTTTGTTTAAAAATGTAAATTGCTGCTGGGAATGTCAGGTGGTCTACTGTGGGAGGTCATTCTTCTATTTTTGCATTGAGACATTAGAACTCATTTGACATGATTTACCACAGAATTCAGTGTTCAAATAAAATTTGAGCTCTAACAATGAACAGAAACCTCATGGCAGGTGCTGAGGCTTCTGGGTAGTGAAACACTGGTCTGATTGTCCCAGGTAACATATTCTCAGATTCAACGAATGTTCTGATGATCGCATTCGTCTAAAGTTGGATGGATATTATTATGTATTTTCATCAAATAATAATGATTTTCTGTCTGTTCGGTGAAGACTTTTTTCTGAGGGTGCCGGAACAAGTGTGCAGGTCAGATTTCCATCAGATCTACTTTTCACATGTCCTGCTCCTCAGAGGATGAGCCCTGCACATTTCCTTTAGCGCCACCCTCAGGACAAACAGCTGAGAATTCAGGTTTTTAAAAGATTCATCACCTCTGAATACGGGCCTTCGTCATCTTCTTCTTCTTCGGACCTCGCCTCTTGGGCTTGTTCTCGCCGTCATCGTCCTCCTCTTCCTCCTCATCGTCCTCCTCCTCTTCCTCCTCGAGGTGGTGGGGGCTGTCCTCCTCCTCTTCTTCGCCTCCCTCTTCTCCTCCTTCTATGGGACTGTGAAGCTCCTGCGTCTGCTCCGACTCCACTGACTCCTGCTCCTCTTGCACTGACCGGGTCATGATGCTGATTCTCTGTTTTAGAGAAAACCAAATAGATACATTGATTATGAACAATTAACAACTCATCACCACAATTAATGTACGTAGAAGAAAGCCCATTAAAAGGAAATCATTAAACAGCCCTTTAGAGGCCTGGTTACAGTGTACAACATGTTCTTACCACTTTTTGAGCTTTTAAAAAAAGTTGTGACAAAATAATAAATGACCTCATTCGCTATTCAAGGTGCCATTTTAAATTTAAATTTTTTTAATTACAAGGCGGTTTGATTTTGTAATTGTTTGAGCTTCTTTGGATTTTAAGTTATGTTGGCTTTAACCCTACAATATCTTTATATCTTGTTTTTTGTCAGATACATTATCAGACGCTGCATTGATATGCTTATTTAATGATGAAAATATTTATTTCCATGGAATCTTACTTCAACGATTTATTTTAATTTATGTGTCGAACAGAAAACGCAGTACACGCAAATAATTTTACATCTTAATTCAGGCGGCTTTTTGTTTTGGACAAGAAAATAAGTTCAAGTGAGAATCCGTGTCCGCGCATCTCCGACAAATGCAGTACACGTGAACATCACGGTTACGGAGAAATAACCCGAGGCCTTGATGGCAAATAAATAAGACTGAAATAAGACTTATGACGATTGTATTTCATGTAGTGAAATCACACATTTGATACGGACGGCCTAACAATATTAACTGAAAATATGGGATCTTTATTTTGGGATTAGGCCTAATTAAATATAAAATCCAACCGTCTTCAGTTTAGTTGTGGATGAAATGCTCAAATCTGCAGCGTTGTTGGGCGTAATTAATAGACTTAATCTGTTGAAAGAATGTCGAAATTAAGTCCGTTAATATAAACTTCTCATTTTCAGAACGGAAGATTTACGGATTTGTTCCACGCACCGAATCAAAGTAGCTGCTGGAAGTAATCTGTTTCGATAATAATTGTTATTATTATACAATGAGTATTAAACGCTTTCCCGCTTTCTGCTTACTGATCCCATTCCTCTCCACAGACAGGTGGAGGTGAGACAGGTGTGAGGAGAATTAAGAGGCGAAAACGAATAACTACATTTAACTAAATTAAAAAATAAAAATAAAACTTTTATTTTACATTCACGGGCAGAAGAAAGAGCTGAGGGGAACAAAAACGTATTCATAGGAGTCGAAAAAATAAATTGAGGTGACCAACAATTTAAAACAATTAAAAACTAATCAGAATTTAAAAAATTAGGAATCTTCGTTTATTCTGGCTATTTGCATAATTGTCATACAAATGAGCGTAGTTATTGAATTACTGGATTGGTGTTAATGGTTTTCTGATTTAAATGAGCTTTGATGGATGATTTATTTGGCCGGCCATGAATAATTAATCGGAATTATCATCCCGAAGGTTAAATTGCACAGATCACTATCAGAGGAATCTATCATATACTTAAAGAAGAGAAGCCTACCTGTTGTAGCAAGCCGCTGTTCGTCAGATTGCACGCATCCCGCGCGCTCAATGTGCGTGACCGTGCGTGATCTGCAGTGAGCTGTCTGAGGTGTGTGCGTGGGAGGATGCTGAATTTATACTCCGCACCACGCAAACACCCACACGCTCACACAAACACGCGAACGGGAGGGGGTAAATTAGCATATCGAGGCCACGCCCTTCCGGCACGCGCCATATGGTACGAACGTCATTAAAACGGCCCCGGGGATCACGTGACAAATCTATTCGTATGAGCCGAGTCTCTCTCTCTCTCTCTCTCTCTCTCTCTCTCTCTCTCTCTCTCTCTCTCTCTCTCTTTGTGAGGAAAAGTTGACCATCTGTCGCCACACACACCCACGCATGCGCACGCACGAACATCATGCACATCGTGGAAGGCGTGTGATGATTACGATATGTTTTGAAAAAGGTTCAGCATTATTCTTGAAGTAGAACTAGAAGACAATTGTGAAGATGTATAGTATCACCCTGCATGGACCACTTCACCTGCACAGTAGAAGTCAGATTGCAATCTATTCTGGGGGCATTTAAGTATCTGCATTAATGTGGATTCTTTTATTTTTTTTTTTACAGATTATCAGGGGGAGATGGAGTCAAATAATTTTCTGTACTGCCAGGTAAAGTATTGGGACAAAGTCAGACTCCCTGTAGATATCCCCCCCCCCCCCCTGAACTGGACATAGTCCCACCGCGTAGCCCCAACACCCCACCGCCTCAAACCGACCTGCACCCGGTTGGTTTGATATGAGTTTATGGTGGAGAGGCTCTGGGTGGATGTTGGCCATCACCATTTTGGATTGAAGTCTTTTAACAAAATGGATTTTCATGAGATGTAGTACAAATATTTAGTGGATGGATCCTTATGGTTTTTGGTGACCCTTTGATATTTACCTTTGATATTTACTTGTCCAGCATGCATTTGAGTTTTTTTGGGAGATATACTAATTACCATTGGATGAACCAAAAAGGACTTTGTTTTTAGACATCTGTGGTCCCCTAACGATAAATTCTAAAGGTTCTAAGGTTCCCTTTACCTTTCAAAGAGGGATGTTTCAGAATATCGGAGAGCTGTTTGAGAGCAAGTCCAGAATTCAAGAACAGTGATGTATGAAGACCAAGGTGTTTGAGTTCATGCACCCATCTATGGGTGATGGTATTGAAGGCAGAGCAGAAGTCAATGGAGCGTGTCCTAACATATGCGTCAGGGTGCTCCAGGTGAGACAAGGCTGGATGAAGTGTGATGGAGACCACGTCCTTTGTCTGTTAAGTGACTGATGGCTGTCCAGGTCGACTGGGAAGACGTTTTTGATGTGCGATAGAATCATCCTCTGGAAGTACTTGGTAATGACTGGGGTCAGGGCGACTAGTGACAGTCATTGAGGCAGGGACAATGGTGATGGCCTTAAGGCAGGTGTGGCCTGTAACTTCTTGGAGGGAGAGGTTGAAGATGTCAATGAACATCTCAGCTAGCTGGCCGGCACAGGTCTTCAGTGTGCGACCGGACACTTTGTCCGGTCCCGCTGCCTTGGTGATGTCAATCCTTCTCAGAGCAGACCTCTCCTGGTGGCGCTGGAGGAAGAGTGTCTGCTCCTCCTCTGGGCCGGGTCTTCTCAGCTGTTATGAAAGCGTACAAAGAAGCGGTTGGCGGTATCGGGGAGCTCGCTGTCCTGACTGATCTGTGTGGTGCTGCTCTTGTAGTCAGTCAAGGTTTTGATTCCTCTCCTCATGCTCCGCGGGTCGTTGTTCTCAAAGTAGCTCTCAATGTAGCTGCACGTGGCCTCTCTTATGCCTTTCTTATGTCCCCTTTTAGATGATATAAAAGTATGTGAAAATGAATATAAGTCAAGAGCATTTAGAGTCACACAGTCCAGGAGTAATATTTAGGGTGGGGCAACCCAGTGATTGACAGTTAGAAACAACAACATGGGGTTGGCCGAATTTGAAGATGGAGGCGAAAACGGCAAACTTGAGGCTGCATAGCAACAGTCCGCAAACCAATGGGTGACCATGATGACTAAGTCCACTTCCTAATTACAGTGTATGATTTAAAAGTTATCTTATAGTGTGTTGGCTGGATTGACTGAATGTAGGCGTGGCTTATCTGGACAGAACGAAGGGTTTTATTCCATCAGTCTCCATCCACTGAGTTAATCCGGCTGCGTTTTGTCGATCTGACCATCGGAAAGAAGCAGCAGACTTTGGACCGGCCTGTTCTCTGGTGAAGAAGTTGCTGTGGTGACGCTAAATTGGTTGCTAGGAAGTTACCAGGCAACTTTAGAGGACCGGTGTGTTGGACCCATCAGCATTGGTCGTCTGACAGCTAATGGTTAACACAAAATCAATCCACCGGTCTCTGTACCTTCCATTCAGGATTAATGAATATAGAACTCGGTGCAGCTCATGAAACACTAGTCTCACACACAATGATAATGACGTCTTTCTATAAAACCTTAGTCGGACGACTTAATGTAAAGAATTAACTTACGGTGACTACCCATGATGGCCTTGAATGAATTTACATTTACAGTTCCAATAATGATAAAAATAAATAATTTTACAGGTGTTTATGAGGAGCAGAAACAAGAATGAAAACGAGTTTAAACTTTTGACTAAACAGTAGTGATGTGACAGATAACTTTTTAGTCTAAACAGGTTGACCTAATTGAGCAACTCAGTGTTGAATAAGAACTATTTTTTTCTGCTGCGAATGGTATGCGTGTATGTGGAAAAGGTCAGATTAACCTATTCATAAATAGAACAAAGCAGCCAATAAAAACTCAACACACACACACACACACACACACACACACACATACACACACACACATCTGAGACAATGAATGGTGGATCATATTGCTTTTAAACTTTAAATAGTTTCATTTTTTATTTTTTAAATAACAATTTACTTTAAACTAATATCCAGCGTAAGTTTATTCATACTCTAACATATACATCATGTTCTGTTCTAAATGTTTAGTATATTGTCTGTTAAGTATATTTTGTGTTATAAAAAATGAAGACAACAACAAGGGAAAAACATGTTCTCATATCTTTTGTATTATGTCTTTCAAGACAATAACAAACCGTAAAGCTTTACTGTTTGTTATACAAACTGTTTTCCCCTTTAAAGACGTTCATCTATTTGATAGCATGTAGTTCCACCTGGTGGTTAAAGGGAAGAACTGCAAGGGGACAAACAATTTCTTTCTTTTTGATTTGTATAATTTCATTACTAATACTTGATTCATTCCCAACTTTTATCTATTATATCGCGACGTAAATATTACATTCGTTAAGTAAATGTATTAAATCATTACTGTTCCCCCGCCACTGTGTAACTTCACTGTGTGACGTCACTGTGTAACGTCATGTATATGTGCATACAGAATGAGGAACGTGTGTATATGTAAATAACGTCACTGTTTCTGCTTAATAAATAATATAAACAATTACGATAGTATCTCCTTTTCAAACATCCACTTTTAACCTCAGACTTTTAAAAGCAGTCATCCAAAGATGTGCGTGACCTTGCCGAGTGTCCGCCGTCCGCCCGCCAGGTGTCGCTGTTTGCCGCCCGCCGCCCGTCGAGGACGCGCCCCCTCCTCCTCCAGCAGGTTCCAGGAAGCGGAAGCAGGAATGTCGGTGTGTTCTCAGAAAAAGTTTGGACAAGTTTGACAGTTTGCGGAGCGGCGTCTTTAGCCCGCGGAAGGACATGACGGCGAGGACCTAAACGCGTCCGACTGCAGGTCGCGCGGCTCACCGGGACGCGGACCGACGGCGCGCGGAGCTTCACTGCTGTCAGTCTGTCCGCTGACCGCGCGGACGCTTCACGGGGAGCGCGACAGTGATGGACGGACGCGCCGCTGCCCCAAATACGGTAAGTTGTACCTTGCGATACTTCGGTAACTAGAACACGCCGCTGTTTTACTTCGCTGTGATTATCTCAAAGTTTATGTTTTCTTAGTTTAAGAGGTCGCAACGTGCGGAGAACGTATGGATGTGATGTTTTATGTAACTACTGTACGATTCAACTACAATGATTCATCAATTTGAGGTTTTATTTGCTGCTTGTCATCGAAACGATTTGCATAATTCATTGGAATTGGTTCCCCTGGATTTCACTTTGGGAAGTTGTTAAAGCATTTTTCATGATCTTCATGATCAGCAAATGCTGAAAATAATGAACAGATCGATACGTCATGAAAATAGTCATTCGTTAATATTTCAAAATGACCTCAACCTCAACCAAGCATTGGCCGTAATGCACAAGTAATAATAATCCAAAGATATAATAATGCAGTACAAGGGAACACTTTCAATGCAGGAGTGTGCTGCCAGTACTTTTTACTTAAGTAACCCATCTGAATACTGAATACTCCACCACTACATATCAGAAATACTGCACTTTAGTTACTTTTTACGAGATCAAGATTTTACACAGAAAACACATGGCCATCTTCTAGAAATTGATATGTCTTTGGAATTAAGTAGATTTAAAAGTACTGTTTACATGGTAATACGTGATTAATAATTATCCCAACAAAATATTTAAGTAATAAAGAAAGCAGATTTTGAATTTGAGCTCTTTTCAAAACGTAAAGTACAAGAGCTTTACTTGCATAATAATGTTTTGTTGTGGTAATATTACTTCTACAGCAGTTGCTTTGAATACTTCCTCAGTCTAAAAGGATGTTTTCTAGATTATTTGTTTACTGAAAAATTATTCTGATTATTCTGTCAAAAAGTTACCAGCAGAGGAAGAAGTGCTGCCATTCTTCACGTAAATTAAGATTCATTGTACAATACTGTGAAAATTGTCAGTAAAGTAAATGAATTTACCCGTATACTTAATAAACATAACATTAGCATAATGCAGTTAAAGCATCAAAAGCTCTGATAAGCTGCAGAATGGCCCCTGTCAGGCTCATGCATTATATTATTGGATCATTATCACCGATGACACTGATGGCGGCAGAATAATGTTCTTGTATCTGCTTGGAAATGTGTTTATTGACTGCTGGGCGTTTCACACCAAGAACATTAAAGTCTTTCCTCAAACAATATTCAGTTACCTACTCTAAGCTAAACTACTGATTAGTTTCATTACTCGACGGTTCCTTTCAGTGTTGTTGTGTGATTGTAAATGATCTGGACTTATTATTGTTACGTAGCTGTTGTCCATTTTGAGTATCTACCTGAAAAAGTTATTTATTTGAAAATAATTGTTTTGCTCAGAATAACTGGCTTAGTGTATATAAACATATCAATGACACAATATGGCACAGCTTATTTTTTTATCAGCTACTCGATTAAAAAAACAAAATAGTAATAGTAAAGATCTTGAACACAGAACTGTTATTGTTCTCTTTTCAGCAACAATTTCAATTTTGTAGTTTGTCTATTGGGTAGGTTAGTAGTATACTGATATTTTATGTTTCTGTAAATCTGTAAATGTAGTATGGATTTATTGGAATAAAAAGTATAGTTAGTGTTGATTGATTTTTTTTTTTGAATAGTTAAATCAGTTTTGTTTTCAAAAACCATTTCAGAAAAAGAAACAAATGTCAGAAATGGCATTTATAAGCTCCAGGTGACTTCAAAATGCTTGAACAACTGACTGATCCCCAAGAAATCTTAATTTACTCTCGTATTTGAGCAACAACAAAGAAATGCTTCATATCGTCACATTTAAGAAATGCTTCAACATTTCTCTTTCTGCTTGACGAATGAGTCAAGCCACGGCTCGCAGGGGGGCATCACTGGTGCGGGGAACAGGCCTTTGACCGCGGGGGGGAAATCGCCTGACTCCACGCATTCATACGAGCAAACTTCACGCCAAAAAAGCAGACGTCAGGATGCAGAAATGTCGCTGCGATGCTTCACTGTGAGATGTGGTGGAGAAGCTCACGGCGTGCTCGTCCACTGTGATGGTTGTCTCCCGCTGCTTCAGGTGCCGCGGCCAGGAGGCCGTCCTGATGTTGCGAGACAAAGAGCCTTTGTTTGGCTCCCCTTTGACCTCCCTTGGGGACGTCCTGCGCTTTACTGCAGCAGAGACGTAAACGAGGCTCCGTGATAAGAATATTATTACTCATGTAGATTTTGTAGAACGTAATTGGTTTAGATTGTTTTTATTTCTGGTCATTATCGTTACGCAGTAGTAGATTATTTCCCTGAGCTAATCGATGGATTGAAAATAGTGACGAATTCCTTTTGAAACCACGAGCATAAAGTCTCACCTTCAACATGCGTAATCAGCCCATATGGTTTCAGCACTCCTTAGTAGGTCTGTCAGGTTGAGGTGAACACAACAATGAGGCAGCGTTTAGCGATGTTACGTCACAGCCGCTCCACATAAATAACAATGACGCGCTCGCTCGCTCTCTCTCTCTCTCGTCATAACCATTTAACTCATACCAACACAAAATTGAATGTCGAAAAAAGAAAGAAATTCCCAGCAACTCGTCTGCGTCACAGAAAACAATTCTGTGACGACTTTGATAATTGATCCATTATAATCATTGTTAGTAATATGTTGTTAAGAACAAATTATTACACTACAGTTCATTTAGCTGAGGCCTTTATCCAAAGCGACTACATTTTTAACCTGTGGCATTTTACATTTTTGCCCGGGGAACAATTTGGGGTCAGGTGTCTTGCTCAGGGACACCTCAACATGGGGCAGCCAGGACTCAAACCACCAACCTTGCGATTCCCAGCGCACCTCTTTACCCCTTTGCCACGTCGCCCCTGATTGATATTATGAAAGCTTTTTTGTCTAATATCGTAGTTGATTCTTATGACCAATTTTAGATTTGAAACCTTTTTCCGAGCTTCTTTTTACGCTTTAACTGACCGCATCCGTCACTCGTTGTCTTGGTCGGCTAACGCCGACCTCCCTGTCGATGGTTAATTAAATATCTTAACGCACCAAACAAGCTCACCAACCGTTTTGCCAACGAAGCCTTTGTCAACCTCAGAATGCAAACCAAACCCACCTCAAACCCTTTGCAGGTGTCTCCAAACATCAGGAGAGTTTGGCTGTGAGAGGACAGATGTTGAGGGTGAAGGAGAGTGATGTCTGCACACTGGCGCACTGCGTTTGTTGTTGTTTGTTTTCTGACATCCCGGTTTGTTTTGCATTTTATGAGAGGAATCTAAAATTAGACGAGTGCCTCCCGTCTCTGTCCCTCTCCGTATCTCGGACAGGAAGTCCTTCTGTTATTCAGCCTAAACACTTGTTTCCTGTTTCACACGTCCTCGTTCTAATTTGGCTGCGGATTCTTTGTGCTCTACTTTTCTCTGCCTCGTTCTGCGATCCGGAGTTTTCCCTCCCTACTATTCCATTTCTGTTTGTCGACGTGCTCAGCCGCATGCTGTGTTCCCGTTTGTATGAACGCAGGGCTGAAGGCCGGCGGCTCAGCCAGCCTTCCTCCTGCCAGACGCAGCTGAGGGAGTCGTTAGAGCAATAATAGACGGGCTTTTGATTGAGAGTAGCAGTCAAGCAACAAATCATCATATACACCTAAAAAAGGAATCGTGTTTAATTCAATTCATTTTATTTTGTATAGCCCAAAATCACAAATGACTAATTTGCCTCAGAGGGATTTATACATTATTCTGTACACATGAGACATCCTCTGTCCCAAAACCCGCAGATCGGCACAGGAAAAACTCCCCATAAAAACCTTTTGATGGGGAAAGAAGGGAAGAGACCTCAGGGAGAACTTCAGAGGAGGATCCTCGGGATGGACGGACTGCAATGCATGTCATGTGTACACAATGAACACTGTAAAAGATGTACAATACATTCAATTCCAACAGAAATGATTCAAATATTGGGAGTAGTAAGCCAGGTGTACGTCAGGACCGCTGCAGGGACAAACACCATCAGATAGAACCACCATCAGATAAGACCGAACCACCACCCACAGAGGCCTGTGGGGAGGGAGAGCTCAAAGACTTTAGCAAAGAAGAACATGTGTTTTGTAAGTCGTCCTTCAATCGGAGGCTCGGCGGTTCGATCCCTGGCTCTGCTGGGCCCCGTGTTGTGTGTCCTGGGGCACGACTGAAACCCAAGTTGCTGGCGTAGCTGTGGCTACGGCGTGTGAAACGGGGAGGTGTCAGTGGTTGAGGCAGCTCCTGTTGTCCGCGTATGAATAGGTGTGAATGGGTGATTATGACAGGAAGCGTTAAAGTCCTTTCAGTGGTTGTAAGACTAGAAAAGACAACGCAAATCCATTTGCAGTTGACCATTCTATGCAAAATGAACTTGCAGAGATTGTATTGAATCCGTTTGTGTTGCTGTTTGACAGGTTGAGTCTGCCAAACCTGATTGAGGACTTAATAGTGCTTGATTGAGCCTCAGATGCCAGAGTGCAGTCAAACTGCAGCTTAGCCTCGCTGCAGCGTCAGGCCCAGAGCAAAGGATCAGAAGCAGGTATCTGTGGCCCCCAGGAGCCCCAACAGAACCAGAGGGACGGGGAAGATCAGAGACCCTCAGAAGGACCAGGTGTGACTAATGTCTTTTGATATTGAATGTTAGTTATATTCTTAAAAAACAAAAGGCGTATTTGCTGTGATTTTCCTATTTTCTGCAACGTGCTAAAGTTGCTGCTAAACAGGCTAAATTATCATGCCGGTAACTGACCGCTATCGGTGTATAGTTAATCTGATAGGAGCAAGGAATTATGAAACTGAAATGCAGATGGTAGCATAGCAATGGTAGCATTAATGCAGGTTGACCAGTAATTCCTTCACCTCAGACCCCAGGGGGGCCTCCTCCACCCAAAGCTCCACAATGCCTGGCCCTGACTCGTGCAGTTGAGCTCAACAAAACCTTTTACATTTTTTTGCAGCATTCCAAGCAAGGAGTTGACTCCTCGTGTCTTCCTCTTCGTGCATGTAAGCATGCACGTGCATGTAAGCATGCACGAAGAGCCTCTAAGCATCTAATCTGTTTCTTGTGAACATAATAATAGAACAAGAAAAGAGTGCAATGAAAAAACAAGATGAAAAATGGAGCTCTTTGACTTTCCGGCATGGAACCGTGTGTTCATGTCATCTACTACTTCTAATGTCGTTTGAACATGTCATCTACAATCTGGCAAGTATTTGCACTACTTTCTAGTGATTGTCTGCTTTGTTTAGAAGATTGTGTGTGTGCGTGCGTGTGTGCATGCATGCGTGCGCGCCTTCCTTATCTGATGTTCTATTTTGCCAGAGGGATTTATGTATGTTATGTACGATATGTGTATATTTCTGCAGGCTGCTATCAAAACAAAATAATATAACATTCCTTATTTAGTGAATATCTATTTTATCAGATGTAATATTACCAATTGTATTGGCATGTATTGCATGCCATGTGGGATCTGCCTCTGTATTGTTTGTGCTAATTGGTATGAATTAATGTTTTTTTAAATATATTAGGGCTAGATAAGTTAACGGGTTATCGCATTGATTAATTAATGCAAACAATTATTTTATTGCATGTTAGTGCCATTTAATATATATATATATATATATATATATATATATATATATATATATATATATATTGAAAGACTTGCTCACTGGCGATGAATACACCTACAGATAAACCATGGGTCACAGGAGGGGTGTGTGTGTGGGGGGAGGGTGTTGGTCAGTATTGGCTTGGGAGGGGCTTCATCATGCATCTCAACCAATGAGGGCATTTGGGGGCGGGCCTAAGCATGATGCAGTGGGGACAGATAAAAGTAGAAACTCTTACATTTTCACTTTCAATCTCTTCCAGATGGCAGAGTTGATGGAACTTTTATTTATATGCGTGACTTTGTAACATCTGAGGTCTACAGTGTTTTGACCCAATGTGCTACATTTACAGCGCTCTTTATTGCTTTAGTACAGTTCCCGTTTAATGAACCAAGGAATGCGATGCATTCTCTCACTCCTCTGTCTCTCCAGGTGTTTTACTTGTTGCTAATGTTGCTGTAGAGTCTCCTTCGACTGACTGACCTCAACCAAACACACACAGACACAAGACAATATGGAGAGTGGACCTCTGGGAATGGACACCAACGTTGCTCCAGGTGAGTCGTGTTACATCAAGGCAAGCTTTGGCTTTAGCACATTGCGGTGTGGGACGTGTGGGAAGCGCCACGTGGCGGTAACACACAGGGAAGCCAAATATTCACCATTTGTGCGTAACACTCACATTGCAATGCGATTTTCTGTATTGCAAGAGTTGGCTTAAGTTATAAACCTGAATAAAAGCTAAAAATATGTTTCAGGGAATTTATTAAAAAAAAAAAAATACTGTCAAAACAATTTTATTCTGAGCAGTTTAAATAATTAGCTAAAAAGCAACAGGTAGCCGGTTGGAGCAGATAAACAGTTGTGATATTCAATGTTAGCTGAAAGTACCAGATGAACAGTTGGAATCAATAATGCTAGCTTAAAGTAACTAATACACCGTTGTTTATTTTAGGTTTTATTGGATGGCAAAGATGAATTAAAACTGAACTTTAGAGGACAGGGTTGAAACGCTACAGTGGGTCTTCTAATGTATTGAATTCTATGTAGTATTGAATGGTTGTTCAACAGTTATTATTAGCTGAGGAGAAGCAGATAATTGGTTGTAATGGTTTGCTTGAAGTAGCGGTGGAAGAGTTGGGACCATTGGCCATCTCCATACATAGGATGTGGTTGCATGTGACCAATCAGCTGGACTCTCCTGCTCTGTGTTTGGTGTTGAATCGGTGTTGCTGTTTGACAGGTTGAGTCTGCCAAACCTGATTGAGGACTTAATAGTGCTTGATTGATCCTCAGATCCCGGAGTGCAGTCGAACTGCAGCTTAGCCTCTCTGCGGCGGCGGGCCTGGGCCCAGAGCAAAGACTCCACCTGGCAAGAATCCGAAGGAGGCAGCTGTGGCCCCCAGGAGCCCCAACAGAACCAGAGGGACGGGGAAGATCAGAGACGCTCAGAAGGACCAGGTGTGACTAATGTATTATAACATTAAATGTTAGCTGTACTCTTCAAAACCAGAAGCTATATTTGCTGGGAGAATTCTATGTTCTACAACCATCGTAGCTGAGTGCTGGAGGTGCTGCTAAATAAGACAAATGATCAAACATCAATTGTCAATTCAAAATCCTCCGTCATTACAAAACACAGTAAATGCATTTAAAGTAAATAGACTTATTTCTGCTCGCTATATTCACTTCTTCATTGCCTTCATGACTTTTGCATAAAGTCACACCGTTTATTGAAATATGTGAATTCTCAAATATTTCTACGATATGTAAAAAACTATTGGATGGAGCGTCGGTAAACTACAATCCTTTGATAGAAGAAATTCAGGAAGAAGTTCTCGCCCCTCAGGATGATTTGTAAAATTACTTTTGTCTTCTCCCCCCAATTTCCATTTAACAATACATCAGATTTAAGACCTGTAAACAGGGGACTTATTGTGCAATGGTTATTTGTATATTGTGCTAATTAGCAACTGTTATCAAGATAACATGCTAAACTAACATGCTAAGCACGGAACACCTGCTAACATCAGCATATTTACATTGTAGTAGTGAACATGTAGACATTAGCATTTACCTCAAAGTACAGCTGTGCTGTCATCCTCAAAGAGCTCCTGGCACTGCTGCAGAATCCAGTTTAAACATGCACAGTTCTCTCAAGTCCTCTAAGAGGATTTCTTTTATTAATTATAAACAACTTTTGAACTTTAATAATCAACCGGATGTCAGTCACCGTGCAAAAGGCCAAACATTCACTCGTCTTTGCAAAAAGTAGTCCCTTCAAAATGGGCCTGTTAAAAGAATGACTTTAAATGAATTTTTTGGTCCGTAGCTGTCGCCCCTTGCAGCTTTCTCATGAGCCGCTCATACTAACACTCGATACGTTCTTAGTTCCTCAGCAATGCACTCGCCATGTAATATGCATTACACAAGCAAGACCCAGCTGCTATCGGTCAGATACTAAGGCAAGGTGGGTAGTCTGAGTCTGAGGCCCTGAACCAAATAGTTGGAGATGCATTAGGATGTTTACAGATGAAAATATTTGCAGGCTCACAGACAATCTTCAGCCGAGGCGTTGAGTTGTGTCCCAAAGTCTGGCACCGCTCTACTGCTTTTTAGCATGTTGTAATGACTGTGTCAGACAGCCTGTGCTAGCTTTAACATGCTCATCTGTCTTTCTATGTCAGGGCCCGTTCCCAACAACATCGCCAGCTGGCTGATTGATTGCAGGTATAGTATCATTTCACCACTTGATCAAAGCAACATACCGGTTTTTACGTCCTGTTTTAACCTGTTTGCAAAATGTCATATAGGACTTGTCAGATCAATCTGCACACGACGAGCATGTACTTTAATGCTGAGAAATGTTTAATGTTGCCAGTTACTGTCAGTGTATTTTGAAATGAACTGTTAGAAGGACGAATATCAATCACGAAACCGATGAACGAAGAATGCACATTGAAAAACGTTTCACAGACTGCAATACACAACATGTGTGATACCTTTTCCTGGTGTCTCGAGCCGTGTGTGTTCAGCAGCGTCGTTATCGGCTGCTGACGTCGCACCACACTGCCAACAAATAGGCTTACAACACACACAATCGCACACAGACACATAAAAGTAGCAGACCAACGCCCAGACATTGCGCACGAGGAGCCCTTCGAGGGTAGAGGGAAGCAGGAAGAAGTTTACAGAGGATGCAAAGAAGAAGCAGAAAAGCGAGTAAACAGAGGAGGGGTTTTTCCCTCTGTGTCAATACTGTTATCACGAACGCACACGGCGCTGGCTGCTGTCACTCACCTCGTTGTGACTCTACGGCGCGCCGGCGTGTCCTGAGCAACGACGTCACGCAGTAACATAACCGGCAGAAGCTAGATCCCAGGTTTCTATGGCAACGGCCGCGAGGCCCGGGGCTCGACGCCAACGTGGCCGCCGGTGGAAAGTGGGAGGAGCAGCAAACACTGCGGCAGCGCGCTGTCGCACAAACGTGTGTGTGTGTGTGTGTGTGTGTGTGTGTGTGTTAAATGGTGGCAGGAAGTTTTGTCCCGTTGATAAGAGCGGCAGGTTGTGTAATAGCTCAGTGTTCCCAGCGTCCGGCTGCAGACCGCTTGCGTGGTCGGTAGGACACCTGGAACGTTTTCCGAGAACAGCCCGGGACATTTAGTCTTGCTTGGTCAGTTGTGGACTACGTTAGCAGCCTCGTCTGACCAGCAGTTATCCCGGGTTACTCCGCCGTTGCCTGACAGACACCTGAGGTTGGGATCTCTAAACGTCACCGGATAGGCAGTTAGCCTGTGTTAGTTCATTTTTACTCGACAGGGAGTCACCCAGCGGTACTCGGCTCGACGAAGCCGTAGTCCCACATGCAGCTCTACGCTGTGCGGCTGAGCCTCATCCCGACAGGCCCGGCTTTACTTAGCCTGACATGCAGTTAGCCTAATCTACTTAGCCTTTCGTACTTAACCTGATAACCAGTTTGTTTTTAGAAAGTTTGCCTAGCGCTCGGCTAACGTTGACCCGGAGGGGGTCAACTGGCCAGGAGATCCATTTAGAATGGGGATAGGTCATGTTAGTGTGGTAGTTGGCGTCGGTCATGACCTCACGTGGGCTGATGGGTATTTTTTTTGTTGTTTGCGAGTCCAGCTGATTTGGACTGTCGAGGTATTTTAAACTAACGAGCATTGAAACACACAATGCTGTTCATGCTTTCCATGGTGAATTAATTGTTGGGGTTCGTGTATAACTCTGTCCCTTTGTGACTGGCACAGGACTCCCCTTGAAGCCGCTCTAGATGATCACACTGCTTCTCCCAGCAAAGGTAATCATCACTTTCTGTGTTTTCCTTGTAGTTACATTGTGAGGATTCAAACCTGTTTGGACACTTTAGCGGAATTTGATTCATGACTAAATACTCAAAAATAATTTGGTTTTGGATTAATAGGGGAAATTTCTCTCCGCCTATGTTACAATAGATGTGTTACTCAAGGTATTTCACAACTTTACAACTTTGCTTGTACTGTGTGTGTCTGTGCTCGTACTGTGTGTGTGTGTGTGTCTGTGCTTGTACTCTCTGTATGTGTGTGTGTGTGTGTGTGTGTGTGTGTGAGAACAGGAGCGCTGAAGAACGGCTGCAGCTTTGAAGATGACCTTTCACTGGGAGCTGAAGGTCAGTACAGAAAAAACAACCAAGATTAAAGTTATGTACTCATTGTTCACAGTTTCCCCCCCATGTTGTCATTCTGTATTTGAACTCATAGCAACTTAAAGGCTTTGGCATTTCAAAAATACTTTTTTGTTCTGCGTCTAGCCTAAACTCTGATTACTCCCACTTAACTGGAGTGAAAATACAAAGTGTCTCTGAAACAGAGGGCAACAGATTTTTGCTATCCCATAAATAAAAATGATCACACTACATGGTCTTAAGATACATTGGCGGTGAGTTTTATCCGAATGCAACATTGCGTATACACGTGTGATACAGGACGTTTGCTGTCACTGTCCTTGATAATAATAATAAGGCTAATGCGGTGCGACAGGGTCTGGTTCCAAAACGGTAGACTTAGATGTCACCAAACATCAACGATTCAACTGTTTAGTTATTGAGTAATTCAGAGTTAAACAGATGCAGTGTGTAATATAGGAGAAGGAGTAATAGCATCGTCAGTCAGGCTTAGAACAGCTTCCCCAGTGATGGAGTTGCACCACTGGTCGGAGTGAGCGATGAAGTAATAACATTACCGACGTTAGTTATATTTAGAGAGAGTGTGTTGAAATGAAACTGCAGCTCAATGTGTCTAAAGATGTACATGTGTGTTACACATCGATACACTTATCCATCTTCATTCCCCAGTGCAGCTTCTTAACAAAGATGAAAAGTCAGCATTCTTAGAGGCGCGGAACAGCATGCATGACCGCCTGCCGTCTGACTGTGTGCGTGTTTGTCATCACTCTTTTGAACTCCTGTGACTGTATCACTAATGGTTCAGACAGCGAGAGTGAGTGTGCGTGTGCGCGTGGGTGGTTTTGAGTTGACAATAGACTTTAATGACTTTATGTTGAACCACCCAACACTTACTGGGAATGCTGCTTGTGTGTGTGCGTGTGCGTGCGTGTTTGTGTGTGTGTGTGCATGCGTGTGGCAGCTGGTGGAATCTGAGGCTGAATAGATGCTAATGAGTTGATACGGAGAAGCCAGTTTGCATTCATATGAACGGAGACATCTTGTTCTGTCTCTCAGATGAACATGGTTGAGTTTATTTCTTCAAACCCTTCCCAGTCCTTACCATGAAAAAGTTTTTTAGGTATTGCAGGTATTTCGGCATGGTGCCGACAAAGTGCAGACACTCTTTTGAGAGCTTTGCCTCGTGCGTTTCTTGCCGCGAGGAATTTGGCGGATTTTCCTGTTCCGTTTACTGAATTTGTTTACTTCAACACTTAGCAACTAACTGGAGGCTAAAATAACCACTAATGGCTCATTTCACAGCTGCTGCCAACCGTAATCCACTCCCTTGTCTACGTGCATGTAGGGAAGAACAAGATGAACAACTATGAAGTTGATCAGATAAGACGTTAATTTGTTATTAGTGTATCGGGCAAGTAAAGAAAACACGTGGATTGATCGGTTGACCGTCATCAGTCTGGTGGTTGCGGTGGTGTTACACAGTCTTTTCACTCAGACTTGAGCGCTTATTAGCGAGAGAACCGACAAACGTTTCATTTAAATCACTTTGATGGTTTCTATAAACCACTGCAGGAAAGATCTGTCCCATCAGTGGCGGCTGGTGGAAAATGTTCCCAGGTTGATTTAATGCAAAACAATGAAGGTACCAAAAACTCTCTGTGATAACCAGCCTTGACTACATCACAGCAGCGTGGGGCGAAATTCCCCAGGCTGAGTCTATTTAAGGACGCTGATTGGCTGAACTGTATGTCACACATTTTTCTAATCGTATTTTACAAATATTACAGGCCATGTTTTCCAAACAAATCTTTTTAAATCTTTTTTTTCTCCCTTTTTTGGAGGGGCTCCAAGTTGCCACCGTGTCCCATCTGCTTCCAAATGCAACAACTATTTGCTAACTTTTGTTTATCTCCCACTTTGACAATGTGGTAGTGTGGTAGTCAGTTTCACTACAGAGGTGAGTGATCCAGAATAGTTTTGGGTGGTGAAACCAAAGCAATGAGCCGACATCAAGCAAGCCAGTCGCTGTAAATGTTCAGCGCGTCCTGCTCCACTCTTACACGTTGTCCTTCACTAGTTTCGAAGCCTCACGTTTGCCGTTTTGTCCGTCGCTGTCTTGATTTTTTGCAAACCTGTAAACGGAAGTGACCTTATTTGGACTTTTGAGCTCAATGTCTTTGTGTTCACGTGGACGATACAATCAGGGTGAAACGATAATGGTACCATTTTTACATTATGGTGAAGTATTTGTAGAAAATCCATTGAGTTGAGTGGTTCTGGCTGCTCCTTGTCATCAGCCTTAATCTCCGCTCACGTTGTCATGTCCGGGCGTTAAGTACCAGCAAGTAGAAATCGCTTTAGTGGGGCAGAAGACTTTGGATTGTTGTGTTTGAAGACATCCTAATGGACTCAAATGATGTCAAACATTATCGGGACAGGATGGGAGGGAATTAGTTCATTAAAGGATCCCGGGTGAATTGGATGTAAGTGAGTCAGTGAATTACACTAAGAAGGCCAGTTTTTGTTGCGTTAGGCTCCTTTAAACCAGAGGAAAATACCAAAGGAAGAAATTCAGTTGAAACTCCGTGAAAAGAAAGCGAGCGATCCATTCAGAGAAAGACATTGACAGGGCGACAAGTTCCAACAGGTTCTTTGGAAAACCGTCACACCTCCAGTTGTAGATGATTTTCCCTGACAGTATGGCAGTTAATGTGCTTCAGCAATATTTATCAAGTTGAACTGAAGCAGATTCAACATTTTTGGAAACAGGAGCTGGAGAAACACATATTGTCTCATTTTTAACCAGCAACTGTTGACTGTGCTCAGTGTGCCGTTTTTATGTCAAAGTGAGCTGGCTATTGAACCTTTGCTCTGTGAGTTGCTCTGACTTTTTTAATACTTCCAGTTCACTCCTGTTATAATTGTGCACGTGCATACGTGACACGCTAATAGACCAAAGCTAATGAAATATGTAACACGTTGCATGTACAAATAAAGACGTATAAATGAGAAAACGGCATACTTTCTGTATTGCAGAGCACATCTAGTTAGTCTTCAGAATTGTAATAAGGAAACATGTACTTGTTGTTGTGTAGTTTGTGTTGTGGTTTGTTGTGTAATCCTGTAATCCTGTCTGGCAGCTTAGATCACATAGTGAGTCATGTTTTGGAACGCTATCTTTCCCTTTATTTTAACATTATACAATAACAGGACTTTGGGGATGAGCACTGACCGATGTGCAACGTTTGCTCCACTAGCTGGAGTGTAAACTTTCAAATATCTGTGCTGCAGAGCTGCTCGCCTAAAAAAGTGTTTTGCTAGATAGCAAATGTGTCCTTCTTAAAACGATTAAGAACGTAGAAGATGCACGTAGATGTTTATCTAAAGCCTTAGTAGCAGCTTTCTCTTTGAGACTGGACCCTGCTCGTGTGGCCCCTTCTGGAGTCGCTTTTAAAGCTGTTAGTGACCAGGGAACTTGTCTCCATCTGATTTACTTCCACAGTTATGAGCCCCCTGAATATGTGCAGTCGTGTTTTTTCCTTTGTGTCTCTGCACCAATGAAAACAGGCAAACTGTGTCAAGTATTTAGGAATTTCTGGGCTTTTGTAAAATGAAACTCCAAATAATCGGCTATTTTCATAACGGTATAATGGACGTCTCTTTTTCAATGCTTGTCTATGGGGAATTAGTAGACGCAGGCGTACTTTGTTATATCGTTTTTTGATGTCTGATTTTGTTGACACATCTTTAATTTCCTTGTTTTTATCACTCCAGCCAACCACCTTCAGTCCAGCAACAAAAAATCTAAATCCTGGTGAGTTCGCTTTAATTTGACCCCCAACGTGAATTGAATAAAGTTGATAACTGCGTATGTGTGTTAATGCTCTTGTGTGTATGTTGATATTCAGTTTTGATCTCGCGGCGGATCAGAAGAGGAGTCAGTATAAAGAGAGAGGAAGAAGTATGAACTCCACTGGATCAGGGAAGAGCAGCACTGTGTCCAGGTCAGTTCACCGTCCTCCGCCTTCAGACAGAGGAACTGACGGAGGTTTCTGCAGGAAGTAGAGCGGGGCGGAGACACTGAGCGCCGTTGTTAAATGACACAATGGAGAACTCAACCAAAAGAAGCTCAGGCAAATAGGGAAGTGGTTCCTACGCAAGGGGTGCCAGGATGAAACTGGATGGTTAAAATAAAGTTATGATGAGTAGGATGGATTATATTATATCATTTTGTTCTTTTCAGCAGTGTACACACAGTGTATTTACATTCAGTAGCCACCTGTCTGTGTTTGCACATGTTCTAATACACACAGAGTAAACAATGCAGCATGTGATCCAGAGTCGCTTTTTAAAATGTTACATCATTCATATCAGCGGCACTGTTTGCTGTTCACTCCACCGCAGCGTGCGTTTAAATATTATTCCACTTGTATCTGGATATTCACCCCGGTTGTCTCCAGACACCATTAACTTCCACTAACTCCAATGGACAGAAAGGGCTCAGCAGTCCAGCGGGAGCGACAGTCTCTTCTCAGACACCAGTTTACTACAGTTACTGTGGTGCCTGATTCCTTCATCAAAGGTTAGAATCCAGGTTCGGCCGGCTATGGACACGGTAGACATTGCAAAATTTGAAGAAGTTAAAAGCAATGACAACGTTTGTCCAAACCTTTGACTGTTACTGTATGTCAGCTGTACATGAGTGTAAATATATTAATACACTAATGATTTGAGTGAGTACTAAATCTTTGAGGAAATGGTTTTGCTTTCTCTCTCTAATATCTGACGCTTCTTTTTTATGACCCTGACAACAGATGAAAACCACAATACACTTTACACCCCAAACGACCATCTGCCTCACGCCACCAAGACCTCAGCCTTTTTATGGGGCCTCCCACCACAGAGCCCTCTCGCTTACTCCCCCACTGACCACCTCACTAGCAGACTATTGGATGTCTCCCTCTTTATCCTGCAGTTAAACTGACTGGTACTGACTGACCGGCTGCCCGTGTGTGTCCACAGTGTGTCGGAGCTTCTGGACCTCTACGAGGAGGACCCAGAGGAAATCCTGCTAAGTCTTGGTTTCGGTCGGGAAGAACCTGACCTCGCCTCCAAGGTTCCCTCCAGGTTCTTCAGCAACACCTCCACGGCGCGAGGCATCGACATCAAGGTGCGCAGTGTAGCGGCGCATTAGCGCTGGAAACCAACTACACGACATAAAATGTGGCTCGTTAGTGTAACAACATTGTCTGCGCACACTGCTGGAGTGCAGACAACCCAGATCACTCCGAGTCGCCTGCACAAACCAATCCGAACCGAATGCAATGTAGAACGTACTCCTGGTGACCTGAGGGAACATCTCATGGGTCATGAAGGCCCGTAGGAGTCATCCTCCTGAGAACAGGAATGTTTGTAGAAAATGTCATGAAATCCATTCAATATTTTTGGTGATTTTAGTCTTGACCAGAATGGTAGAGCTAGAATTACTCCGCATATGCACACTGTTAACTGTGACGTGTCCCCTGCTGGCCTCGCAGCGTTGATTACTGGTACTGTCCTTTAATGACATCACTTCCTGTGGTTCCCCCCCCCCCCCCTGCAGGTCTACCTGGGTGCTCAGCTGCAGCGCATGGAAGTGGAGAACCCCAACTACGCTCTGACTAGTATGTGCCGTACTCCGTACTCTGCATACTTCATCTGCAAACTTGTCGCCTTTTGGCGAAATTTGCCGTTTAGAAATCGAAATATGTCATCCACGTGAATCATGTACATTCAGAGAGGTTTATTTTTTGGGGAGTCGGGGCGTCAAGTGGCCGGCCAGAGTTTCTGAGATCGGAGTGAGACAAGAAGAAACGGTGATGTCGTGATCGTCCCAATAAAACATCTTTGATGCGACGTGTCGAGTCTCGGCCAATCGGCGTTACGGTGTCTACAGCGTCTTCATTTCCCTCTAACTTTTCATCCTTTCACTCCAAATTACCGATGCTACTGGATCATTATTATTATTATTATCACCGTACGTGTTTCGGCGCAATCCATGACCATAACCAGATCAGTTTAGACTTGAACAATCAAAAGCTTTGTTGCTCATCAGACGACGGGGACGTGTTGTGGAGGCCAAACACGGTTTTGCCCCAATGTGAAGTTTGTTGTGGAGGTTCATGTCCTGAAACTCTAGACGGAGGAAGAGAAGCTCAAACACTGTGTGTGTGTGTGTGTGTGTGTGTGTGTGTGTGTGTGTGTGTGTGTGTGTGTGTGTGTGTGTGTGTGTGTGTGTGTGTGTGTGTGTGTGTGTGTGTGTGTGTGTGTGTGTGTGTGTGTGTGTGTGTGTGTGTGTGTGTGTGTGTGTGTCCTGTTCCCAGTGTCAGTAGGGTGTTTTGTGGGGTCCTTAGGTCTTTTAGCTGTTCTGCCAACTGCCCGGACAACACGGGACGCAGGGACAAAGATCTGTTTGTCCCGGAGAGACGCACTCACACAATTACACTCTCACTCATGCGCACACACAAACCTCCGCTGCTAACATCCTGGCCTCTTTTGGGTTTGCAAACTGGAGTTTGCAAGGAGGTGCTGGCTCGCTAATTGAACATGCACATATATCCAGAAAGTATGTCGGTACCTCTAAAGTTGTATTTTAGTGTTGATGGCCGTTCTGGGCAGTTCTACTGGTGACAGTTTGAGTGTTGTTCAGCCGACGGTTCTAAATATTTGCACTTCACCATAAAATACATTCGACTAGAGTCTCTGATCTTTTACACTTCTGTATATTCTTTGTTGTTTAGTGCGGTACATTTGAATTTTTTTAAGGTTTTACTGATCTCTTGTGGGGCGGCAAGTAAAAAGGTGCCGATCGGTTGACGCAGCCTGCCGTACATTTTACTGCACGACGCGTACCAACCCTTCTGACCACGAATATTGGAACTGTAATGTGACCAGATGGAATAAAAGTGGATGTTTGTCAGACCGCTAATGAACGTTTGCTTTGGCGGTCCTTCACGCGGTGCGTTATATTGTGTCACTGGTTAAATATTTGCCAGAATGCCGTTCCAAAGACATCGCAGGCAGCAAAGGTCCACTTACACGATGTAACACATTGCCGCGTTGAAACTACGTTGAAGATAAAACAATAAAGTCGGAGAAACTTTTTTGTGCACATCAATTCTGATTATATTTTTTCCAAATGCTTGAACATTCACATTAAAGTCTTAATTATTTTGTTTGACAATATGATTGTAAACCATCTGATCAGTCATTTGTTTGGGATTGAGATTTCTTTTCAGTTTTTCATTCAAAGGTCCCCCTGAGTTATTAACCTGGATTTTCGGGTTGGCCTGTTATCTTCTACAGACTTTCATCAGGTTCCCTTATCTCGGGAAAACAGCCTAATTCTATTGTTATCTGCAGATAACCACAAAATGAGTCACGCAGTGTTTGGTCGCACGCACACAAGCTCAGTGAGGAGGAGAACACAACCCAAGGTGTCACAATAAAGTGGTGAAGGAGAATGCGTTAAAAGCTGGAAGAAGAAGAAGCTTCACAGCTCTTCATTGTACCTAAATAATCGGCCATCTAATTTCTGTTAAAAAAAAAGGCTGATTAAAAAGAACTGGAACGTGATTACTAGGTTAGTCTGCGTTATGACGGAGCGCCTCCTGGTCCAACCTGACGCAGCGCATTTAAACCGCAAGCTGCAATGACTCAGAATAGAACTGGATCCGTTTATTTTTTAAGTGAACTGTTCCTTTAACAATTTCTGGTCAGTCTACGCTTCCTGGAAGATTCTTTTTTTAATTTTCCAGAACATTCTCATAAAGTTTCATCGGTTCCCCAGAACCTCTGTGTGTGTGTGTGTGTGTGTGTGTGTGTGTTGTTTGTTATGTAAACTCTGTTCTCACCATCAGAAATAATCTCTAGGGATGAAACTGAAAAAAAGGCAGAGAATGTGTCGTTTTCTCTTATTCCTCACGTCCTGTTTTGGGATCCTTCGAGTGAGCGTTAGTGCCGAGTCAGCAGTCAGCAGGAAACCGACTCACACAGCACTCCTATCATCGCACACAGCTGCTATAATAAGGGGTTCATGTTCTGCAGTCGTGTCCAGATGGGACTGTATACAAATACTACAGTGCATGACTGACTGGTTCGCAGCTTGAACGTCATTGTTTCTCTCCTGTGTTTTTAAATAGATGTTTTCTTTTTTTATTCGTAGCTTTTCTCACAACTTGTTTTAAAAGGCACATTAACACATTTAGTTTTTGCCTTTTTGGGGCAGCAGAAAAAACCCATGACTTCGCTTGCCTTTTATCTCTTGTTTGCAGAAAAACATCTGGCTCTTACGCTGCTTTTTGTACCACTTTGTTCATCCGCTAGTTGATAAATTTGTCTAACTGCTGTTTGCTAGAAAAGTACTGTTGATGCTTTTTCTTAATTTACATTTATTTACATTTTGGAAAATTTACACTATTAAAAGTATTAATAGCAAATTAGCTATCAGCAGTTCCTGTTGGCAATGTGCCTTTGGACCCACAAAAAGCCACCAGCAGATCACTTTCATCTGGAAAATAGAGTCTCAGGCTTTTCAGGCGTTCCCCATTTAGTCTTTTTTCTATGATGTCCAAGTATATTTATAGACCTCATGTAATTGCAATGAGCATATGAAGTATTGGTATGTGTACTGATATGATTTCTGACACACACCACGTGGCGGTTTGGTTGTGAGGTGTCTCACAGGCCGTGTGAGTAAACCTTTAACAAGGCATTATGTTACGTTATTATGCCTGGAGGGAATTTCTTAAAATCTGGTAAACTTCCACTTGGACTCAAGGATGAAATGATTACATTTTTTAGGTCAAAGGTCGCTTTGACCTAATGTCTAGGAAATTTCAGGTAAACCTGAAGAGAATTTGGAAGCAAAGCTCCACTATTGCCTCAAGGGTAAACTCGCCCTAAGGGGTTAAAAGGGTCAAGGTCTCTGTGACCACCCTTTTAAATCATCTTTTCGATACGTCCGATTACTCCTGTAATTTGCTGTGCTACGGTCCGTGCTACGTTCTTCAGGTGACGACATCAAATCGAGTTAAATGGTGGCAACAGAGTGGTCGACAAAAGACAGAAGTCTGTGTTTTGTAACAGACTGACAAGTATTTAGACAGCGAGGTGGGGCGGGGGGGGGGCACGGAAGGAAGGAAAGTATGCATGTAAGTCATCATCCTGTTAGAGACGAGACTGACAGCTCGACATACACAGCCACAGAAGGAGGAGGAGGAGGAGGAGGAGGTAGCGAGGGAGGAGCGGCTCTGACGTCTCTGTCCAGTCCAGACATGAAGCGTCTTTTGCTGCTGGAGATAGTTGATAGTTGAAAACCAAAGTCTCCTTTTTGTAAAACAAGTGTAAAAATGTTCCAATGTGATTTGATGTTTCACTTTAGTATTTAGGATCGTGGAGCTTTACAAGTTTTACCAACACAGTGGAAGACATTAGTCTCTATGCAGTTAATCGGGAATGGTTTTGGGATATTTGGTCTTGTTTGAAGTCGCTTGCACCAGCTTTCTGGAAGCAGACACCGTGCACTGGAGCCTCTATGGGCTTGTTTATTCTGGTTTAAGATGAGGGGGGGGGGATTGTCATGAGGCTTGTAGAAGAGGGGGGGACAAGCACAGAGACCAGAAAACATCTAACGTGTCTCAAAGGAGGAAGAGCGCTGCTGGACGTGGACGTGTTCAGACTTTTAACCAAAGTGAATCCTGTTCTCCTCGCTGCTACTTGCAGGTCCAGTGTAGCTTTCTTCAAACATTTTCAAATAAGCCAAATCCGAAACGTTTTTTTTTTTTTTTTTTAAATGACAGAAAAGAATTGGAACAAATGGTCCTACGTCTTTGCATTTGGCATCTGTGTAATTTGTTTTGTTTTCTGTCTCTTTCAGGTCGTTTCCGTCAAATTGAAGTCTTGACCACAGTCGCCAATGAGTTCTTTCAGCTCTACAGTCAAGTCTCTGGTCAACCTGTCCAATGCATCAGCTCCATGGACCAAGGTAACCATGGCTACCACAAACCGTACACTTGTGCTGGGTTTTTTGTAGTCTAGACTTTTAGAGGATCAGAGTGCCAAAATGTCCCTTTTAGATTCTTCGTTCCAAGACCATGTTTTTTTTATTATAAAAACTTTTGTCTTGTTTGCAATTTATGTTGACAAATTCTTATGTTAGTTACCTTACATTAGAACTATATTGCTTGTGTTGTCCTGACATGTCCCGTATCTCCATCAGGCGGAGAAAGAGGGAGAGATGAGTCGGCTCCTCCTCTAAAGAGGAACGGCTCGACTCGTAATGTCGCCAAACTCCTCAAGAATACCATCAGCAGACACAACCTGCTCGCGGCCGCCTCCCAGTCCCCTGAAGCACACTCACCGAGCCAACAAACGCCGCTCAGCGGACACGCCGCCTCTGCTCACACACCCACCAAGGGTCTCGCACACGCCGCTCCAGAGCAGGAGGTCTGCAGCACCGACTCCGGCCCCCAGGCCGAGGCAGTCAACCAGAATCACCTGCGCAAGAAAGACAGCTGTTCCCTGGCGACAGTCGCCGAGGAAACCAACGGGGATGGAGACGACAGGTACTGCTGGACAGTCCGGTAGCGACGGCATTCTCCACCGCTGCAGTATAGTTTTATTGTGGGGTCTAAAGGTACTCAACATAAGTAGAAGATTATGTGTATAGAGGTTTTCTTGCTGCATTCCATCGGGCCACCCGGTCGGATTCCAAAGAAATCAGACAAAATCATGCAGGTCCACTATAATCTCCGACAGACTCTGTCTGATCCTTTGATGGGGACTAAAATTAGAGGGTTTTACGCTTGTGCCCCCATTGAACAAATTCCCTTTCTGCGTAGTAGCTTTACTTCGAGGAACAGTCGTTTTAGTATGTCAGCTTTTGAGTATCAGCACAACAGGGTAAAAAGTTAAAGTCCTTCATTGTAAATCCTATTTCAGTTAACATACAGAATTATTATCAAAGGGAAGCCGATTTTGACCTCCATAACATCTCGCAACACATCAGTTCTGAACAGAGCAGAACCGCACCAGCGTCCGATGGAGCGCAGCGACCAGAGTCAGCGGAAGGAGCCAGGATGGTGACCGAGGAGCAAGTGGAGGAGAAGATGATCCTGACCTCGACCCCAGAGAAAGCTCCTTCCCCCCTGGCCCCGCTGCAGCTGGCACAGCTTCGCGTGGAAAACGCAGACTCCTTCGACATGGAGGAGGTACGCTGTTCTCCCGGGTTCTCTATGCGTTCTCTATGGTTCTTCATTCTGAAAAGTCACAGGTGAGGTGTAAGGTTGTGCTCCGTCACGAGCTTATCACCGATCCTTCTTCGTCTTTGTTGATCATTCAAATCCCCCTTAACCAGGATCACCCTCAGCCACAGAAATTGTTAGTTGACACTTATTTTATTCTACCCTCTTGCACAACAGCACAACAGACCACTGTAAATATTGTGTATACAAGAACTGTTCATTACATTTCTTGGAAACAAAAAAAGAAAAGAACAACTGTTCCACTTTTTTAAGAAATAAAGGAGGGGAACCTCTCGCACATGCTGAGGACTTGTGATGTTCTCCTGGGTCAACGACACCGTCTCTGCATTAACAACATTATTTGTGCCCCAAAAATACCGTACACCAGAATTGAAACATGTGAGAGCTGTTTTCATTATTCATTGAGTTTATCTTCCCACGTGCCCGTATTGAAACCAGAAATCTCACTGTGAAAATAGTGGAGATTGTTGTCTGCTTCCTGTGAACCCTTAACATGCCTCCTGGGAAAGAAATAAGGACTGGAACTGAGAGACCGGTCACACAACCTGTAAAAGGTTGACCTTTTACAGCGATACCCCTCTTTGAGTGGAGTTAGATGGAAGCTCTGCTGGCGTGGCTGAACATGCATTTGGACCCAATGTTTTAAGAGTCCTTGTGTGGCCTGTGTTTCAGATTCAGAGTAATGAAGACGACACTTTGCCACCCAGGACGTCCAAAGGCACTGGTGAGTTCACCTTGCCCTCAGCCCTCGATCGTTTCCAAGTTTATAATGTTCTTTCAAACAAATGCTGTGTTGATATTCAGTGTCCTCTAAATGCATTGTGTGTCTTGTAGGATTCAAAGAATGTGTTTGTTGAACATCTTGGAACCTACATCTGATAGAACTTGCTAGTTGACGTCTCTTTGCTTTTCTTTCTTGGCTCTGTTCCAGTGTATCTATGAGAGTTTATGTGCTCGGCCTGTTTCTGTTTCTACACATGCTTCCTGTCGCGTCTCAGTTCACCGAGGACACGCTGTCCCAGCCTCTTCGTGCTCAGCATAACTTATTCTTCCCTGCCACCATTTGGACAGGCGGGGTACTGCCGGAATAGCAATCGAGCGTCTTGTCTGTGTGTCTCCCTCAGACCTGCTGAGGACCGTCAGTCAGCAGTCGGACAGCAGCGGTTTTGCTGAGGAGCCCTCCGCCGACTCCAACTGCTACCTCAAGGTGTGTGGTAGCAGTGTGTGTGTTCCCTGCCCGTATCTCCGTTTAGATCACCAACAGGGAACCTTTTAAGTTATTTGAAGTGACTCATAAAAATACCATCTGGGCCTTATCTCACCAGAACGTCCCTGTTAATCATCCACATGTGGACGTGATTTCCTGATGTGTAATCAAACCTTTTAAGGCAGTCCAAAGCATGAGTCTGTGCTGCGGGTTCTTTAATGTCAGAAATAGATGGAGCCCAACAGAGAACAACTGCAATGTTTGTGCTGAACACATTTCTGCATGTTCTCCACATTTGAGTGAACGCTTCATCCTTTTTGTTCAGTCTTCTTTGACTTGTGAGGAGGGAATACAGATTATTGTCTTCACGCTGCTGCTAAAGCCTAGTTAGTCTTTCTCTGCAGGTTCTCACAACCTTATTTTGCTACAATATCTGAATAATACTGGTGGAACTGGTCGGTTATTTATATGTTTTTTTAACTAAGCCTCTCAGATGATTTCACTGAGATAACTTTATTTATATAAAGTTAAATTATCCAGCCTACCCACCAAAAAAATGTAGTATATTTATAGACCTTTTTAATCATTTTATGACTCATCAGATTTATCTTGTGACCTTATGGATGGGGCCCAACCGATAGATAACACCCAATGAAACTACCCAACTATGTTAAGTTGGTAAAAGCAACTGCACCTCGCCCAGCTGCAACGGTGGAATGCCGCTCAGACATTGATGCATCGATTGCAAATAATGCGCCAAACTGAGCTTCGACTTAATGAGGAATGTTACTCCATACTGACGCTCGTAATGGAGTATTTATAGATTGTTGTATTGGTACTCTTACCTAATATGAGGACGTGAGTACCTCATCCAGCACACGTATTTCATTGACAATTCATTGTCAATAGGTGCAGGAGAGCAGTGACAGCTGTGACAGCGAGACCACTGTGACGTCACACCTGTCTCTAGAGGTGACCACACCCCTCGCAAAGGATAGACCAGCCTTCGAGCTGCCAGAAGGCCAGGAGGGAGGGGCGGAACCTGCTGTCGCTGCTGAGGATAAAGGGAGAAGGAGCTCCAGGGAAGGGGACGCCCAGTATTGTAGTTCAGAGCAGGTACCGCAGTACACGGCCCACCACCTCCCTGGGCACCGACCAATGGGAACGCAGCATGGTGAGACTGGGGAGGAGGAGGGAGTTGAGAGTGGGGACCAGACTGCTGCAGAACTAGAACCACAACCACAGTTAGAACACACTCTGAATCCGACAGCTTCAGAACAAGAACCCCAACACACTCAGAACCAGAATCAGACCGTCACGGATGCAGAACCCACAAAGGAAGCGGGTTCTGAGGACGAGGTCAGAGAAGAGCAGGTATTCTTGGCTGATTGTGGTTTACCTCCTTCTGCTCCTTCGTCTCCGGTTCTCAGTGCTCTGATCCGAGCTCAAAAGAAACAGCTGACCAAGTGTGAGCAGCTGGTCCACATTGGGCCCAATAATTTGCCCCAAACCCCAGGAGGAAAACGTGGTATCCCTCTACAGAGGTCCTCCTCCTTGCCCTCAGCGTTCCTATCGCCCTCCAGGATCGTGTCCTCTGTCAGGATCCAATTTGGTCGTGGCCAGGCCTCCTGCACTAAGCCTACGTACTCCGTCAAACACTCCCATGGGGGAGGGGGCGATGAGGAGGAGGACGAGCAGGAGCAGGAGGAAGGACAAAACACATGTTTGTCTACTCTGATCATAAACCCTGCCCCCTCGTCCAACTCTAACAACCAACCGCCGAGGCTGCTCACAGAAGCGCCCATCCCACCCAAACCAATCCCACGCCACCTACTGCGGTCAACCTGTTCCCTCCATAGCTGCAGCCCTCCGCCTGACTTGTCAGCAGGAGATCACGCTCACTCCTGGAGCACCCAGAGTGTTCCTGATCTCTCCTCCAATCGGCAGCAACCAGGCCAGTTTCAACACAACCTGCATGCCAACCTAAACCAGCGGAATTGGAATACAGGGCAGACAATGTTCCCTTATCCTAATCCTACATCTCAGTACTTTAACCCAAGCCCCAACCCTTACCACTTTGCTCAGAACCCTCCCCTGCCGTACCCATCACCTCACCACGTACCTCAGAGTCTTCCTAACATCCTCCGTCACCACAACCCGACCCACCATTCTAGTCTAACCAGCCTCTACCAACCTACCTCTCCCATAGCCCGTCAGCACGGCAGCCTCTCCAACTTGCATCAGCCTTCCACTTCCACGGCTCCTCACCACTTCAATGGGGGCAACTTCCATCCAGGAACTCCACCAATGCACCACCAGGCGTATCATCTGCCAAGTCATCAGTTCCCTTACCACGCCACTCCTCACGGCGCACAGTTTGGATCGACCTACCTTGGTAGCCATCTATACAACATGACCCCCCACCTGCCGTCTCCCTATTCCGTCACCCAGTGTACGCCGTTGGCCCCAGAACACAACCTCCACCCGGGGCTCACACCTACCGCTCAAGGCTTCCTTCCAGGCCCGGCCTCATCCCTCGGCCCGGGTCACAGCTTCCACCCGGTGTTCACTCCTCCCACCCAAGGTTTCTCCCCAGGCGTCCCCTCAAGCCTCGGCCCAGGTCACAGCCTCCATCCGGGGCTCGCTCCTCATCCTGCTCCAGGTCCAGGACCCAGCCAGGGTCCATCCAGCACTGAGATGCAGCTAAGGAGGGTTCTGCATGACATCAGAGGAACGGTTCAGAGTCTTGGCCAGGTTCGTCCTTCTCAGTCCTAGTCCCCTTCGTCCCACTATCTTTACCTTTGTTTTGATAGCCCTCGCCGTAAAGTTCCAATGGAATAACTAAGGCAGCTGGTCAGATGATCAGACCGGTGGTAAACACTTGAGCTGTAGAGGTTAGATAAGCTGCCGCTATATTTGGAGGTATGAGTGAAAGGACGTCCGTAATGTTGTGGATGTTGGGAGCAGTAACTTCCTTAAGTATGCAACCCATCGCTTTCTGTCCTAAAGTCACTGTCCCCTCTCCATGTAGAAACGAGGAGACATTCCGGACGGGTTCATTGAACACCGAGCAGATCAGCCCAACTACCAGGTATGGTTCTTGTGATGAATTCAGACGTGGGGTTTGCTACAAGTTCTTGTAATTCTCAGAATACACAGCTTCCATTGGACTTTTATGACACAAACACAAATCGAAAGTTCCCTTTTAAGGCAGATATGTTCAATGCGCCAATGCTCAATACACACAGATTGCCCAACACTTTAAGTTCAGATTTATATATTAAAAAGCTCAGATGTACACTTTTAGTTTGCAGTATTATGTATTTAAACCATTGTATATATGTAACCGCTGTAGTTGCCTGTTGTCAGCTTCATTAAAGTGAGTTAGTCTCTCTCTCTCTCTTTATGTACAGTCCTTGGCAGAGTTTCAGCAGAAGAGGCAGAGTTTGAATTTATTCCGCAGTCAGATGACTGACCTGGAGGAGTCCATCATCCGACAGCAGGCCCTGGTCTACAAACACCTGAGCCCTGCTGACCGGTGACTCGCTAAAGCAAACACATTCATGTTTCATAGCAGTGTGGACATACTTTATACATACTTTATACATGTGTGTGTGTGTCTGTGTGTGGACACGCAGGATGGAGGTGGAGCAGCTTCAATCTTTGCGGTCCGCGGTGAGGGAGGAACTGCAGGAGCTGGAACAACAGCTGGAGGACAGACTGATGGAGCTGACATATCACACACAGCGCAGGGTATATAGACCAAGAACACAATGCAGGGTATATAGACCAAGAACACAATGCAGGGTATATAGACCAAGAACACAATGCAGGGTATATAGACCAAGAACACAATGCAGGGTATATAGACCAAGAACACAATGCAGGGTATATAGACCAAGAACACAATGCAGGGTATATAGACCAAGAACACAATGCAGGGTATATAGACCAAGAACACAATGCAGGGTATATAGACCAAGAACACAATGCAGGGCATATACACAAAGAACACAATGCAGGGTATATAGACCAAGAACACAATGCAGGGTATATAGACCAAGAACACAATGCAGGGTATATAGACCAAGAACACAATGCAGGGTATATAGACCAAGAACACAATGCAGGGTATATACACAAAGAAAACGCAACGCAGGGTATATACACAAAGAAAACGCAACGCAGGGTATATAGACAAAGAAAACACAACGCAGGGTATATACACAAAGAAAACACAACGCAGGGTATATAGACCAAGTAAACACAACGCAGGGTATATAGACCAAGTAAACACAACGCAGGGTATATAGACCAAGTAAACACAACTCAGGGTATATACACAAAGTAAACACAACGCAGGGTATATACACAAAGTAAATACAACGCAGGGTATATACACAAAGTAAACACAACGCAGGGTATATACACAAAGTAAACAACGCAGGGTATATACACAAAGAAAACGCAACGCAGGGTATATACACAAAGAAAACGCAACGCGGGTATATACACAAAGAAAACGCAACGCAGGGTATATACACAAAGAAAACGCAACGCAGGGTATATAGACAAAGAAAACGCAACGCAGGGTATATAGACCAAGTAAACGCAACGCAGGGTATATAGACCAAGTAAACGCAACGCAGGGTATATAGACCAAGAAAACGCAACGCAGGGTATATAGACCAAGAAAACGCAACGCAGGGTATATAGACCAAGTAAACACAACGCAGGGTATATAGACCAAGTAAACACAACGCAGGGTATATACACAAAGAAAACACAACGCAGGGTATATACACAAAGAAAACACAACGCAGGGTATACAATACAAGTCAAAAGTTTAGACACACCTTTTCATGCAATTGTTTTTGTGGTGGAAATTTGTGAATTTAGCCCATGTGAGAAATCAAAAGTATCTTGAGCTTGCTTTGTGATTAAGTATTTATTACTAACTAGAATATAGGAAAAGATAAAGAATACAGAAATCATCAGCACAAGTCGTAAGCACAGACAGAAGTCAAATGACTACAATTCCGCTCAAAAGGGACAGATGTTCCTTCCCCCAAAAGGAGCAGGAAGATCTGACAAGTTAAATAGGAGAACAGGAGCTTATGTACACTTCAGGGAGGTTTGTGCTGCCTCAGCACAGGAGAGCCCACCCCTCAAGAGGAAAGTTGGAAAAGTACCAGATGATGTAGGGGTGACCCCGTGACCCTCCCTTTATGGACCCATACAATCAACAACATCTAAAAGTCAGGGCACGTATGATTTCATCTGTGTCTTATCTCACCCTGGACTGCCTTAAGTCACCGGCTCACATCAAAGGTCACATTCCTGAGAGCCTCACCCCACGCAGGCTCAACAATTCTCCCCCAACAGTTTTTATTATATTTTTTCTACATTGTAGATTAATATTGAAGACATCAAAACTACGAAGGAACACGTAGGGAGTTATATAGTAAACAAAGTGTTAATCAAACCAGAACATGTTTGTTCTTCAAAGTAGCCACCTTTTGCTTTGACACACAAATAACGTAAGTTCATTTGTAGAATATCTTGCCTTCGTAATGTATATAACACAGTGCAGGATATATAAACACAAGCACACACGGCACACAGTATATAAATACAACTGACGTTTTGAGCGATCAGATGTGATATCAGACCAGCACAATGAGCATTGAACAATGAACCTTCTCCCTCCTCAGGGTCACCATAGGGACCGCAGTTTTGACAGTCTGTCCAGCAGCTATGCACTGAGGGCAATGGAGCCGGTGAGCATGCATGCACACACACCCTGGTTAGGTAAACACAACAATGACTACATGTGCATTAATGTGCAACTGTTTCCTTTCTGTTCTCCAGGTGTCAGACCTCCTCAGAGAGCAGCTCCTCCTACAGTCAGAGCTCAGCTACAGCGGCCACGGTGCCTCCACCGCTCCTTCCTCCAGAACCTCCAGTCCGCTGCCCGCAGGAAGAGATGGCCAGCAGAAAGGATGCGTGTACCGCGCGTCAATTAACATAAACCCTGTGCCACCTCCTCGGCCCAACACACGCACTGAGGAAGAGGAGACAGAAGAAGGAGAGAGGGACAGGGGAGGAGCACCAGAGGAGGGAGGAGCATCAGGAGGAATGGGGGACCTGCAGCAGCTCATCAGAGAGGTACCAGTCAGCACTTTTAGTTAACTTGTTCACTTGTATATTTATTACTGCCACTGTGGGAAGTTTAAATGTAAACTATGTGGTGTTAGAGAATAAATACAGAGACACAATGTCCGTCTTTTCAATCTTCAACATTATGATGTTTTATCTATTAATGATTAAATAATAATTAATGATTATTTAAAACATTAAATCAGCTTTTGTAATTTTTTTAATTATATTTGAGAGGAAGAAAAAAAGATTTAACATGTTTGAATGAAGTAAAAGCTTTACAGCTGCAGAATGCTTCTTACACATTTACATTTAAACGTTTTCATACAGTCACACGACTTTAGCACACAGTGATGTTTTCACTTCCTTTAAACTCCAGGAGCTTTTTGCAAAATGCAGCCTGTTTTAAGGAATATTTTTGTCTGTCTCCGTGTTTACCAATTCTGCCTGTGCTCTTTTCCAGATTCGAGAGAGCGTGGCGCAGGAGGTCCGAAAGGAGATCTACAGCGAGCTGCTGGCCGCCGTGTCGCCGCGGCAATCGCCCCTGCCCGGCAGGCAACACCCCTTGTAGTCACGGCAACAGCGGAGCGCTACCCCTTTCGTTTTCAGCCTTAGTAACCACAGCCTGAGCGGCAAGACTGTCCGTCTGTATCACTGTATCGCTGAGTAACACTGTCCGCGTGACTGTAACACTGTATGTCTGTAACACTGGGGACTAAATGAGCACATCGGCGAACGTGTGATAAGGCCCGCCCACCACTCCTGAGGAGAGGGGGGCCGCAGACAGGACTCGTGGAATTCTACAGGTCTGTTTGTTTCTTGCGTAGTGTGATGCATGCTGGGAACGCCAGCTGATCAGCGGTGAAGTGTTGTCGTCACATCCCGTTTCTTCTTTCTAAGATGTTTTGATCAAAGCCAGGCCTCAAAGTACTACTACTTCCTCTAGTACTACAAACACTGGCTAAAGTAGTACCGCTGATTGTACTCTGCCACTACTACCACTCCTAGTGCCAGTCCTGTGAATTTGTTTGCTCTTTGATCCCACTCTGGGATCAGATCAGTAAGTATTGATGATAGTAACAATAATAATTATTATAATTGTGATGACAAGATCAATAAATCAATAGTTTATTAATTAAAACATATCATTTCAATTGGTCATTTTCCTGAACAACATTCCCTTAATAAGTGCCTTATTGGTGATATTTTAATCTAAGACCTTTTTGTTTGAGGCTCCATTCCTTAGACATTTTCTGTCACTCCTCAAAGTTATTCATTCATTTACATTTCACCTTCATGTTGACAGTTTGAAGATGTTCTAGAGATACACACGGAAATGATAATGCTTGTACAGCTCTCATTGCCCTTTTATCATCATCATCATCATCATCATCATTGTCATCATTGTTATTGTGCTTCTGCTCCTCGAGCCTCATTCGCTGTTAACCTTTGTCAGTTTTCATTTTTTCTGTTTTGTGTCCAACAAAATGTTGGACTCTTGGCTTTGTGTCTTCATTTGTTGGTTGTTACAGAGCAGGTAGTTGGGTTTGTGTGGGATGTCGTTAGGTACTGCTGAGGTCAAAGGTCCTCCTGCAGCAGCAACAGCAGGTTTCAGTAAGTCATGGTGACAATGATGATGATGATGCAATGCCTGGTCAGTAGACCACCTATGGGGGAGCAGGCAGAGAAGCTCAAACCTTAGCTGCATTAGCATGTTAGCTGCGCTAGTGTGTTGACTTCCCACTGTCTAATGACATAATGTGCAATAATATTAACATACGTATTGATTACTTCTACGGTATCAGTAAATCACGGTTAACATATGTTCCTCCTCTTTGCACAGAATCCACATAAGTGATCAAAAATCAACTGAGTTCTGTACTAATGAGCCCTTACTCACCATCGGTTTTCTTTAGCATTGGCCTGTGTGGCACCTTGCAGCTTTTCAGATCAACATAAGTGTTTTAAAACTGAAAGTCTCGGGAGAAGCTGTGTTGATACAAGAACTCTGTACCTCTTTTTTATCTTCTTCACGGAACAGTGATTATAAGAATTTCAAGACAACCTCACATTAAAACTTAGATTGCATAGTGAAAGCTGAACTTTTGGGAAACAATGTATTGATTGTCTTTCAGTGGGTTTGGTTTGGATGTTTGGGACCAATATATGGTGACGAGGATCTGAGCTCACGGGTGATGAGTCTGAGCGGCTAGCCACATCTCAGTTTGTTTTTGATGCTCTAAACCAGTGTTAACTGGACCTTTAGAACGTTTATTCTCATAATCATTAATTGACTTTGTTTGTTTGATACTTATAATTTTCTTTGCTGAAACAACGCTCACTGTGAGCTCTAACTTTTTAACTGATCAAGAAAATCCTTCACACACTACTAATTACCCTTCACTGTCTGACTATTGGTGTCTAATATGTACTTTGTATTGATGTCTTCTCATTGGGATGGAGGGAAGGGATCACTCGAAATAAGAATAATAAAGATGTATTTATTTTCAGTACCAATGAGTATTGCTTAATTTGATGCTTGATCCATTAAGATAGGATGCATTTTTTTTTAGAGTAAACTACACTTCAACTGATCGTTCATCTCCTTCCAGTGCTTAAACCTCAGTTCTTACACTTTTTAGAATAGCATATCCTTTGCTTTTTCAAATTCTTCTGAAATATGAAGTATATTTAGACTGCCACTTCAACAGTAGCATTTTCAAAAGTTCCAAATGCATTATTACATTTTTTGTGTTTGCCATTTGTATGTACATTAATTTAGACAGATTTACAACATTTCTACGGTTTTTGTGTCCCAAAATACAATCAGAGTGGACCGACGAAATTCCTTTGTGGTGCTCAGTAATCACCACCAGGGGGTGATCAACATAAATCAGATACATTCAAGCAACCACCTGACTTTTATTGTGAAATCCGGAAGCCATCCTTAACCTGGAAGTATTTCAATTATTGTAGGAAGTTTTCCGCCATAAAACCGACACTGATTTGACGGACATAAAGGCTGAAAATAGAACGGTAAGGGGAGTTTAAAGGGATTAGAAAAAGCAGATACCGAGTTTCTCTTCAGAGATGCATGAAGTAGTCAAGGAGGCTTCAGCTAAACAAACAACTAGCATCTTAGCTAACTAGCACAGCTAAAGTGGGATTAGCTTACAAGCTAACTAATGCGCACCCAAACACACATGGCGAAAACACTGACTTGTTCTTTGGAGTTTTGGTGATATTGTTATAAAAACTGGGGCATGTGACTCGTTTATCCGCAAGTGTGTAAATGTGTACGTTATATGTCGGAGACGTGGACACTTAACGTTAGCTTGTCTGTTTCTGGACTTCAGCTTCAGGTTCATTTGACTCCACGTTAGCTCACGTTAAACGCCTTTGATCCGGTTACTTTTCATGTGAAACTCTACAGATTCAAAATAAACACATTTTACCTTACCGGGGTTCTTTAGTAATATTCGTCTCGGCACAGACCGGTATTTGGAAAAAAAGTGATGGGTAGCTGTATTAATTATCCAAGTATCCATAGTCTTGGAAAGACATTACAAACGTATTAATTTGTCATGTTTAAGAGCCAATACTTTCATTGTCCCGGCTTCTTAAAGTGAAACTAGTGTTTTCATTCGTTGTAGTAAAACGATGGACTCTTTTAAGACATAAAACCATTTATTTTATCTTGGCCTTCAAAGAATTATTATGCACTTTTGCAAATTCCACTGATTTCCAATGTGTCATATGATGAATCAAAAATTGGAAGTTAGCTTGATATGATTGTCAATGTTTTAAGTCAAGCATGGACAGATTGTCATATAAACACATCTGTTAACCATCAGTATGGTAATGCTACTGTGAAACATCTTTTAGGAGTGATATTCAAAATAGTGAAAACATACAGCAGCCATCTGTTTTTTAAGAAGTTATCCAGTGTGTTTTCCAAAGGAAATCACGTATTTGTGAAAAATTAGTAAATTTAACTAGTGGTTTGGGTGTTTCCGGTTTTATTGAGAGATGGACTGAAGCGTATTGTGAACTTTTTTTTGTGATTAGATAGCAATAACAACAAATTGAATATTGCTGATAATAAGGCCTGTTTGATATTCAATGAAAACCCATACGTACGAGTTCATCTATGATGGCTTTCACAATATTTATTAGAATCATAAATGTGTATGTGCGTGCATTCAGGTATGGACTCTCCAGGCAGAAGTAAAAGTCCCAGTCCTGTTGAAAAAGAACAAGGTGGTGAGTAAAATCTGCGGTGACTATTTTATGTTGTAACCGCTACAGGACTGGTGGACATTTCTTTTTTTACATTGATCCAACAATGCTGTTGTCAGGACCTTCAGAAGACGAGTCCAGCAATGCAGCGGAGAAGCCTCAGCAGGCCGGCTCGGTTGAAGGAAGCCCCAAAGAGAAGTTGTCCCCTCCAGCCAGTCCTGCAGGCCGTTCCCCCTCTGGCAGTCCCCCCTCGGGGAGCGGTGACTGCAGCAGCTCAGACGACAGCACCAGCAGTGATGATGATGATGAACATCATGGTGCACTGAAGAAGTTGAGGAGCAGTGTGGCTCAGATCAAAGTAAGCAAGGATTACTACTGTTACTGGCTGTTTCTTTTAGGTTTACAACTTTAGGGATGGCGGACCAGCGGGGTTGGTCCGCAGAACGGACGTGTTTGGGGGACTGAGATGCTACGGATAAAGTTAGCAAGTCTGCTTTATGATACTGAGCAGTGAAGAAACCCCTCCAAACCTCTGTACCGACACGCACTGTCTGCTCTTTTGAACTTGGGCTCTTTTGTCATTTCACACGGGGGGGGGGGGGGGTGAAAAAGAATTGCTCTTTCCTTATAATTCCTTATGTATCTAACACACTGCTCAATTGGTCGGGTTTTAAAAACGGACCCGAAGGACTCCGGGTGACACTTTTTTTCTGTCCTGACGGTTCAGAGGTTCAAGAACCATGTCCAAAGAAAGAGACGGATCCATATCCAGGGAACGAGACAGATCAAGGTCGCAATCCAGCTCCAGGTCCAGAGAGAGAGACCGATCAAGATCCAGAGGACGTGACAGATCCAGGTCCAGAGAGCGAGACAGAGACCGGGGGCGCTACGACAGAGGCCGCTATACACGGTAACAATGGTTTCCACAGACCGCACTGAAACCTTCTGACGTTTTTTAATTCACACACAACCAGTTCTTGAGTTCAGACTTGAGAGTAGTTTAAAAAAAAAAAAAAGTGGGAGCTAAATTAGTTTTTTGAGGTCTGCTCGTCTCCTCCTTGCTACCCGACCCAGGGATCGCTATGATGATCGCCGTGACGATAGGGACGGGCCGTATGACCATTGGAGCAACCGGGATGCGGAGTCAGATCACCGGAGGCGAGGTCGCTCCGGCTCCCCCCCAACGGACAGGGAGCCGGGGGCTGCAGAGGAGCCACCGGTTAAGAAGAAGAAGGAGGAGATCGACCCCATTCTGACGAGGACGGGTGGAGCTTACATCCCCCCCGCCAAGCTGCGCATGATGCAGCAGCAAATCACTGACAAGAGCAGGTAAGAATGTTCTCATTCATTCAGAAAAACTCAAGGATGATTAGACACATCCTTTAGTTCAGTAACTCCTGGGGTCACTTTCCAATCAGCCATCAGTTTGTAGATTTATTTATTTCTTCCAGGAAACTATTCTTCTCTTGAAAGTCTAGACACTTGAAACTTGCTGCAGAGGGAGTCATCATAGCAAACGCTCATTTAGCTCGGTATAAACCATTGTTAACACCTTCATCTCGTGGTCCCTGTTGGAATTGCCCCAGTGTTGTTAAATTAAATTGCTGAACATACACTCAACTAAAGTCTTTTCAATGTATCAACTGACATTTTATCGGTTAAAACGGATGGAAAATTGTGGGAAAATGGACGTGATTTGAACCTAAGGGATTGTAGAGAACTTATAGAGAGACTGCTTAATTGGTTTATGTGACTGTGATGGACATTTGTGGGTAAGATTCTTATGAGAAATCAAAAGTATCTTTGACTCGTTTTGATAAAGTATTTATTACTAACTACAATATAAAAAAGGACACAGAAGTCATTAACACCAGCCATTCAGACAGAAGTTCAGTGACTCAATTTGGCTGAAAGGGACAGATTCCTTCTTCCTTACAGGAGCAGGAAGGTCTCACAAAGCTTCTTGGTGCAAATAGGAGCATTAATACAGAGAGGTTTGTGTTGTCCAATCAGAAGACACCTCTGCAAAACGCAACAGTAATGTAACAACGAGCTGTAGCGAGATCCACTCAGTTCCATCCAAAATGTTCTATCGAAATGTCGACTATGTTCAATGCGACTTCATAAAATGTTTGTCGTCCCCGACTCCCCCTGTGCAGCCTGGCCTATCAGAGGATGAGCTGGGAGGCCCTAAAGAAGTCCATCAACGGTCTGATTAACAAAGTCAACGTGTCCAACATCGTCCAAATCATCCAGGAGCTGCTGCAGGAGAACATCGTCAGGGGGAGGTGAACAATAACACACAGCAACATAAAACTTCACATCAATACTAAATAGCTATTCCACTAAAACGAGATGCTTCCCGATTAGCTTGTTTGATCGGAGAGAGTGAAACGGAGGAACCTTCTTTCCTGAGTATTCGGCTGAACGTTATGACTGACTGTCTGTCTTCCTGCTGTGTGCGTCTACCTGTCTGTCTCTCAGGGGTCTGCTGTCTCGCTCGGTGTTGCAGGCTCAGGCGGCTTCGCCGACCTTCACTCACGTGTACTCGGCCGTCGTCGCCATCATCAACTCCAAGTTCCCTCAGATCGGAGAGCTGATCCTTAAGCGCCTCATCCTAGCCTTCAGGAGGAGCTACCGCCGCAACCTCAAGGTACCTGTCTGCCTGACAGCCTGTCTGATGGAGCGCGGCGCAGAGGGTGTAGTATTCACTGCGCGCGGCAAAAAAACGCTTGGGAAATGCAGAAGCAAAGGAACCTTCACAGCCATTCCTGACATTCTTGGTCATTACCTTACTCGGATGACTGGCACTGATTGGAGTCAGCCAGGTTTGCTTTTAATTTAAATTAAATGTCATGTGTCCGTTAGGAAGCAGGGGTCGCTAATCAACACTACCAAGTTTTCCGTTCTCTCTTGGCACCGCTGCTTGGGAGGGACAAGCGCATGTAATTGGGAGAGAATCCGGTCATTTTTCAAAATAAAAAAAATACCCCGGAACCAGGTGGCCCTTGGGACCGGTACCAGTGGTTGGGGACCACTGTCTTTAGATGTAACTTGACTGAAGGGTTTTATTTCCTGTTTATTTCTTAAATTAATTGTGGCTTCCTCATTCTATACATCTCTCTTGTGTCTTTTGTTTTGCAGCAACAGTGTCTGACAGCCTCAAAGTTTGTGGCACATCTCATCAACCAGAATGTGGTACGTGCTGCTGTGTGACTTCTAGTAATACGAAGAACAGACTATTGAGTATTTGTGTTCCGCTCTAATGAGGTGTGTTTACTCTTTAGGCCCATGAGGTCCTTTGCCTTGAGATGCTCACTCTGCTGCTGGAGCGTCCGACCGACGACAGCGTGGAGGTCTCCATCGCCTTCCTGAAGGAGTGTGGACTCAAACTGACCGAGGTTTCCCCGCGAGGAATCAATGGTAGATACAACGGTTAACTCGTCCGGTTCAGGTCTTGGTTCAATGCCACACGCGTCTGCTTCACCCCTTGTTTCCTGTCAGCCTCTTCACTGAGTCAATCAATTTTAATAGAAAGAAATGAGTTTTTACTCGTTTTCATTTCCAAGCACATGTTTTAGATCTCCCCTTTGCATTTAAGCAACGCATCAACATAACATAACAGGTATTTCCGGAGTTCAGTCCTTTACCGTTTTCCTTTTTATTTTAATCCTGCTGTAAGCCTTATTAATTTCTATCTTCACAAGAGAAATAAAGGAAAGGAGACGCTGTTGGGAGCCAGATTTAACAAACCTGCCTCATTAACGGTTCAGGGACTTTGTTTCCTCTGAACTTGTCTTCCTCAGACTGTGTGCCACAAGCAAAAATATCCCCCAAATATCTCAAACCTATAATTCTTATCTTCACATGAAGCGGTAAACTTACATTTGTAAGAACATATGGCTTTTTAAAATTGAACTACATCCCAAATAGCAGCGCGATTAATTGTAAATTTGAATCCTAACCGTGCCGTCTCTCTTTTCAGCCATTTTCGAGCGGCTCAGGAACGTCCTGCACGAGTCGGCCATCGATAAGAGGGTCCAGTACATGATCGAGGTGATGTTTGCCATCAGGAAGGACGGTTTCAAAGACCATCCAGTGATCCCAGAGGGCCTGGACCTGGTGGATGAGGGCGACCAGTTCACCCACATGCTGCCGCTGGACGACGAGTACAACACTGAGGACATCCTGAGTAAGACCCGAGTCCACGAGGCCCTCTGCAGAAACACGTCCGTCGATGTCATTCTAACGTGCGTGTTCTTGTTCAGACGTGTTCAAGATGGACCCAGACTTCCTGGAGAACGAGGAGAAATACAAAACCATTAAAAGAGGTCAGAATTTGCACAAACACGAAACCGTCCAATCAGCCGTCGCTTCCCTGCTTGTTTAACCAATCGCCTCCCGACAGATATCCTGGACGAGGGCAGCAGCGACTCGGGGGAGGAGGCCGACGGCAGCGACGAAGATGAAGACGACGAAGAGGAGAATGCGGAGGAGGGAGGAGGTGCGACAACACCGTTGTATGATGTCTTCTGTGGCTCAGTCTGAGAAAACAATGCTGGTGACGTCGCGGTGATGTCATCAGGGTCGTCCCGGGTTGTAACCCCGGCGGTGTCGCTCTTAAGCTGCGTTACAGAAGCGTAAGATCCAGTGTTCCAAGTCAGAGCTGGTTTCAGGAATAGTTTAACATGGGGGGGCTTTTTGGAGAGAGTTGGATGAGACGATTGATACCAACCTTTCAGAATGTGGTTACTTCAAACTTGACAATAGATACGCAGAAGCGTAGTAGTTACACTACAAAACAATGTTGGTATTAATATCATACGTTAATTTTGTTTTGTATATGTTAACATGATCTTAACCACACACTCCCTTCCCTCAGATGAGAAGGTCACCATCTATGATCAGACAGAAGTCAACCTGGTTGCCTTCAGAAGAACCATCTACCTTGCTATCCAGTCCAGGTACACACACACGCACACGCACACAGTCTCACACACTGAACGGTCAGTGACTCTTCTCTCAGGGCGTTGGCTGTTCTGTACAGCTCCCTCTATACTTGATTGGCTTGGAAGCTGATTTTAAACCTTTTGTGCGTGTGTATGTGTGCGTGCACCCTGGTTACCATGGTTTCCTTGTATAGTGGCTTACAGGATGAAACACTGAAACAAATTGAGAAAATGACACACAGACACACACACAAGCTCTCTGATGTAGGCTTACTAATTGATATTCTTTCCTTTCTTTCTGTAGTTTGGACTTTGAGGAGTGCGCTCACAAGCTCATCAAGATGGAGTTTCCCGACAGCCAGACGGTAAGTACACACACACACACACACACACACACACACACACACACACACACGGCAACAGTAGATATAAAGGCTTTAGTGACGCAAACCCACCCAGACGATGATAAATGTGAAAACATGTTCTCTTTTTCTCTAAATCTGAAAATAGTGAGAAGTGATGCCAGAGCAGAAGATATTATTCAATCAATTGTGACAATTAGTTTAAAGGTATTTCAATTAATGTATTAACAAAACACTGGAGTTCTAAAGAATGAGAAATGATTGATTTTTTTCTATTTATACCTGGAGGACACGTCATCACATCTGCTCGTGACAAATCACAAACACGCTCAATACAAAGCGTGGTTTTCCCTCTTAATTAAGCGAGGAACCTCATCTTGGCACCGCCTTGAGGATTTCACACCTGGCTGTTTGAGGTCACATTTGAACTTTGACCCCTTTTAACACTGAGCTTCCAGGGAGCATCCCGTCGGATCACAGCTGGTTGAGAAGCCTGAACAACGAATGGGTCAAAGATGCAATTTGACAGTTAACATAACTGTTGGTCCCCAAACCTCAGATATTACAGCAATGGCAGTGTGGATAATGGTGTGATCGCTCATGTCAGGTTTGTGTTAATACCATCTGTTGCATTTGTGTCTACAGAAGGAGCTTTGTAACATGATCCTGGACTGCTGCGCACAACAGAGAACCTACGAGAAGTTCTTTGGTCTGCTGGCCGGGGTGAGTGAAACACTATCGATCCGATCCAAACGCGCTGCAGGTGAAACGACGTGCTTAGTTTGCACTGAACAGGTATCTTCCCAGATACAGTTTCCCTGTTACTGTGGATGATTTGTTTTTGTTTTCAGTGCGTAAGAATTTAGCAGCTCTGCGTCTTGAATTATACCGTCTAATGCGGCAACATTGATCAGATCAAGAATATCGATTTTTATCATGATATTTTAGTTTTTCGGGTGGTTTTCTTTAGTACATCAAAACAGATATTATTATTTAACAGGATCCGTGCTTTACTTTGTCGAAGCATCTAATGTGGTAATCGGTAGTATTTAAATATATGTGAGGCAGATGGTGCACGTTTCTTATTATGGTTTGAATAACTTCCCGTGATGTGATGGTTCCATCGTGTGTTTAGTCTTGCTAATGGTAACCATGATGAGTGGCATGGGATCCTGTTGGGATTGATTTCCTCCGTCCAAACAACCATCTGAACCTCATGTAACTGTTTTTTGTCTTCAGAGGTTCTGTCTGCTGAAGAAGGAGTACATGGAGAGCTTCGAGGGGATTTTTGCGGAACAGTACGAAACGATTCACCGGCTGGAGACCAACAAGTTGAGGAATGTGGCTCGGCTGTTTGCTCACCTGCTCTACACGGACTCCGTGCCCTGGAGCGTAAGGACACACACACACACACACACAAACACACACACTAACCCACAGTAACCGGGCTGCTCGTTCTGACTGATTTTTCCTCACAGTTCATTGTTCTCTCTCTCTGTTGTGTCTTGTGAATGTCTCTCGACCGCCAGGTGCTGGAGTGCGTCCGGATGAGTGAGGAGACCACGACGTCGTCCAGCAGGATCTTTGTTAAGATTCTTTTCCAGGAGCTCTGCGCCTACATGGGCCTCCCCAGACTCAACCAGAGGCTCAAAGACCAGTACGAACACACACGCGCGCACACACACACTAAAACACAAGATCTGCACGACTGTAATTAATAGTAAGATATGAACTCTTAAGGTAGCAGACGTTTTTGACGTTTGTGTGTGTGTGCGTGTGTTTCAGGACTCTGCAGCCATACTTTGAAGGTCTCTTCCCTCGTGATAATCCCAGAAATACTCGCTTCGCCATCAACTTCTTCACGTCTATCGGACTGGGAGGACTTACGTAAGGAACACATTCAGACATACTGTATACACACACACATATACACACACACTATACTGTGACCAATGCCCAAATCCACATGTGCTATACGTGATGGTTAATAATGATTTTCTTAATCCACAGGCATTAATCTGGTACTAACGATATCTGCCGGCCTTGAACGGTGTTAAAGCTTTTATTTATTTTCCTCAGAGAGTTTAATTCTATAAATTAAAAGTTTGATTGTGTCGACAGCGAATAATGCTCTCATAATTGATGAATGCCACTTTAAGTCAAGACCTTTTAATTAGTTAGTCCATCCAGCCCTTTACAAGAATTGAAAATGATTAATATAATATTTAATTAGTATCGTATTAGTAAAACAGGCATTGAACTGAATTAGGTTGGTACTGTTTGAATTAGTTCAATACGCACAAAAGACGTTATGTTGCTTTCTAAATGTAATGTTTGATAAATAATATCTTTGTGAAATTGTAATTTGTATTTTTTTAATGTTGTGCATGTACAAACATTTCCGACACACTTCTGTCTCTCAGGGACGAGTTGAGGGAACATTTGAAGAACGCTCCCAAGATCATCATGACTCAGAAACAGGAAGTGGAATCCTCAGATTCCTCCTCATCTTCATCCTCCTCTTCGTCTGACTCCTCCTCCTCCTCGGACTCCTCCAGTGAATCAGACTCCTCCAGCAGCAGCTCAGGTATGTCATACTGTTTTTAAGTGTTAAATTGTGTGCTGTGTTCTTCTGAAGAGCCTGATGTGTGTATTATATTCCCTCTTGACCTCCAGACTCAGACAGCAAACACAGAAAGAAAAAGAAGAGAAAAGAAAAAAGCGAGAAGAACAAAAAGAAGATGAAAGGGGAGGAAAAGACAAAGAAGAAGAAGGACAAACAGCCAAACAAGAAGCGGGTGGGACGCAAGATCGACAGTGACGAAGACGGCGATGAAGAGAAGCAGGCGAGGAAGGACGGGAAAGACCTTGCACGTGAGGTGGTGGGACGTGAGCATGCACGTGAGGCGGAGGGACGTGCACGTGAGGCAGAAGGCCGTGAGCGTGCACGTGAGGCAGAAGGCCGTGAGCGTGCACGTGAGGCTACCGGCCGAAGCAGACGGGACGAAAGGGTGGAAGAGGAGGAAGAGGGGCGGAGACAAAAAATGGACTTTCAAGGCCGACCAAGAGACGGAGGGAGGGACAGAGAGAGTCAAAGAGACGGGGGGAGGGACAGAGACGGTCAAAGAGATGGAGGGAGGGAGAGAGACGGTCAAAGAGATGGAGGGAGGGAGAGAGACGGTCAAAGAGATGGAGGGAGGGAGAGAGACGGTCAAAGAGATGGAGGGAGGGAGAGAGACGGTCAAAGAGACGGAGGGAGGGAGAGAGACAGTGAAAGAGACGGAGGGAGGGACAAAGACAGAGGGAGGGAGAGAGACGGGGGGAGGGAGAGAGAGCATGAGAGAGACAGAGGGAGGGAAAGAGAGAGCGATGATAAAAGAGAGGGCAGGCAGGAGGAGCCGAGGGACAGAGAGAGGAATAAGGAGAACAGGGACAGGAACAGGGAGCGAGAGGAGAGGAGGAGGAGGTAAGACAGCAGTGATGGACTGACGGGTGACATCTTTTTTCCTTTCTTTCATCCCTCGCTTCTTTACTTCATCCCGTCACTCTGGTTATTTCGGATTAGAGACCGGCGTCTCTCTCTCTGTGCTTGTGTCCCGTCTTTATCGGTTGTCTGTATTTTCTATTATACATTTTGTTGATGAAATTTGGAGAAAAAAAACAATAAAGTTGTTGTTTTTTAACCCTGCTTCAGTTTCAATTTTTTTTCAGCTCCTACAAAGGTTTTTGTTCTTGTGTGCAGTCACACAGGAAGTAAAAAAACATTTACATTACAAATGGTGGAGTACAAGTACCTGCGTGTCTCCATCGACAACAGAGTGAACTGGAAGGCCAACATCAACGGCGTGTACAAGAAGGGGATGAGTTGACTGAGTTTGATCGTTATTTAAGATGTTGGCGATGTTCTACCAGTCTGTGACCAGTGCTCTGTACCTCGCCGTTGTCTGCTGGGGGAGCAGCATTGGAGCTGGTGAAGAAGGAGCCGGCTCCGTCATTGGCCGCCAACAAGAGCATCCAGAGCAGGTGGTGGAGAGAAGGACATTAAAAAAACGGTTGTCCAAATTGGACAACCCGGACCACCCTCTTCAGGACCCACTGCTGGGACACGGAGCACCTTCTCCATCAGGATGATCCGGCTCCGCTGTCACAAAGACGGATACAGGAAAACATTCCTGCCAGCTGCAATAAGACTACAACAAGACACCTTCGGCTAAATGTTTGTTTGTTTGAAAAACCACTGCACTACTGTCTTATTTAATATCAATAACATTGCATTACATTACTTAATTTTATACATATTCCACCCCCTGTGCGTATTCCTATCTCACTTTCACTTATTAAGTATTTGTCTATCATCAGGTGGAGGAAGATACTCTTTTCACATGAGACCAAAATGGAACTTTTTGGCCTCAATGCCAAAGTCTGTGTGGAGGAAACCCACCACTGACCATCACCCTGAGAACACCACCCAGCAGGGAACATGGTGGTGGCATCATGCTGTGAGGACGCTTCTCTTCAGCAGCTACAGGAAACCAGTCAGGGAAAGAACGATGGAGCCAAACACAAGGCGATCCTTGAAGAAAATATGATGCCGTCTAAAAAGGACAATGATCGTAAACATGGAGCCAGAGCTACAATGGAAAGGCTCAGATCAAAGCATGTTCATGTTTTAAAGTGCTCCACGCCTCAATCCAATTCAGAATCTATGGCAAGACTTGAAAATAGCTGTTCAGACGCTCTCCATCCAATCAGACTGAGCTTCAGCTTTTTTGCCAAGAATGGAGGAACATTTCTCCTGATGTGCAAAGCTGGTGGAGACAAACCCCAAAAGACTTGAGGCTGCAATCGCAGCAGAAGAGGGTTCAAGTGTTGACTGAGAGGGCTGAATACTTGTGCATCCAACGGATGCCAACTTTTATGTTCTCATTATTTGTGTCACAATAACATGTATTTTGCACCTTCAAAATACAATGGATGGGATCTGTCGATCAAATGGGATGAAGTCTATTCCAGTCTATTTTAATTCCAGTTTGTGTGTGTGTGTGTGTGTGTGTGTGTGTGTGTGTGCGTGTGCGCATATACATACAAACGCATGCACTGAGTAGAATAAGTGGAAGCAGCTTTTTAAAATTGTCCAAACATTTTGGTAACCGGATGATACCAGTGCCTAGGAACAGAATGAGCAGGGTAGCAACAACAGCTGAAGACCAGCTCAACCTCTTTGTACCTCGGCTACAGGTGTATCCGCCTCATAGAGGCTCACCTGTTCCGGGAGTCACAACTAGAAAAGCGAAAGCTTCACGCTGCTCAAGGCAGCGTTTTTGTTAACAGTAAACATCGGCGCCGGCTTGTGTCTGTGGGCCGACGCCATGAGGCTCAGTGAGGGAGAGTCACTTCACAGAGACAGAGCTGGATAAACTCCATGAGTAGGAAGAATCCACCACCGGATGCTGATGATGATCACTCACCTGTTTTCACCTGTGAATGTATAATATATAAAACGTGCTATGATAATAGATTTTCTAATTGACTTCCTTCACGGAATACAAATAGAGACAGAGATGTTCACTATTTTATTTTTATGAACACTGTACATATACAGTATGTTTTGACTTCCTATCTGCTGTGAACAATCAGCTTCAGTTGAGAGGTGGCATTTAACTTTAATGTTATTTGACTTGTAAAAGTTGAGCTAATTGCCTCCTGGCTTGAGATTCATTTTCAGAGTACAATTCACATATTATCTTCAGCAATGAAGAGAAGCATTTAAAAAAAATCAAAATGTCAAACCTTTGACTTAGGAAGAAACGTCTCTTACAGGAAGTGCATAAGAAAGTTTGCACCACACATGAAAATAGTATCTTTTATCATTGTTTGTGCAGGTTTTGAGTCATCTTTCTTTCGCTGTACAACCTTAACGTGATGTTCAAGGTGAAACGGGGGGGTGCGTATACTCAGGTAAGTGGGTCACTGCAATGCTGGAGTGTGATTGGCTGGACGTCCTGGAGGCGCAGATGAACCAGAGTGGTTTGCTGCTGGAGCAAATGGAGGAAGCTCCACTGGGACCTGAGAGCTGCAAGGAACTCTGGGAAACCATATCAAGGTCCTACGGGGTGATGGGGGGAGGGGTTGGGGGTGCCACCAGGGAACTGTGCAGGATCATATAGAAGATGATCTCTGTCATGTAAATTCCATTATAGACCCCAACTTTGACCCACATGTCATGGCTCAGATATCTACGCAGATATGTGGAATATTCTGATTTGAGTTATTGGGCTAGAATATGAAGCTTGATGATAAATGAAAGTACATCTGCAGCCACTTGCTTATTCATGCATTCAGCAGCATGGTAACTGTTGTGAGATGTGAGTCTAAAACGTTGTTCATTCATCACTAAAACACCTTATATATAAAAGAAACACATGAATAATGATCGAAGCCGCTTGGAGGAAGTTTGAAAATGTTGTCTGGGGTTTAACCTGCTGCTGTGCATTTTTATTGTTTAATACTATTCCAAAGAATTGTTGCAATAGTGTATCCTACTGTATGTGACATAAGTATAATTTTGATGTGCTTGCACTTTACTTTTTCACTTTATAATTTCATTCCTCTGTATTTCAGAAGGATATAAACATATTATAAACTACCCAACAGCAAATAAGAAATATTAAAATTGCTTCACCTTATCAGCTCAACATAAAGTGCTAAACATATTAACGCAGTGATGCTTGTTATCCAGTGGGACTATTTTTTTTTCAACTGTTGTTTGAAACAAACTGGTCTGGAGTTTGTGCCACAGTTTAATCTCAGGAGGAGATATGGAGGAACATGGGGAAAGGTCCTTTTACCTGACCCCCTCTGACGTCATGAACAGGTGAGTTGACAGTAAATACGGAGAAAATGAGACGGGCAGAAACTACCCCCGCCCCCCCCCCCCCCACACACACACACATATACACACACACTCACACATACAAGCAAGAAACAGTAGTGTGTGTGCGTGTGAGCAGCAAGTTGACTCGAAATCTAAAGTAAAGGTCTCGAGCTTCCTTTATTCGTCCCATTTAGGATGTGATCTAACTCTCGTCCCTCTCTCCCTCCTCTCTGCGCATGCGCAGTCCCGCACTCTCCTCTCGGAGCGGCGCAGCGCGCGCGGCTCTCCGCTGAGTTGAAGAGCCGTGTGCGGATACCTGATGGATGGATAGACGATCGATAACCCGATCCCCCAGAAGCCCCGCGCGGACTCGCACACACACACACGCGCGCGCACACACACACACAGGAACACGCGCGCGCACACACACCTGTTCTGTATTTCGTGATTAATGAGCGCCTGCTGATATTTATCTATGTGAGTGGAGTTCCGCGCGCCTCTACTTTCTTCATCCATCCATCACACCCTCCGGTAAGTCACCCTCCTCCTCCTCCTCCACCTCCTCCTCCTCTTCGTCCTCTTCTTCCTCCTATTCCTCCTCCACCTTCTCCTCTTCCTATTCCTCCCCTTCGTCCTTCCCTGTCTCCCCCCTCTCCCCCTTCTTTCTACGATGTGCGCTGTGCTGGTTGAAGGTTACAAAGGTACCGGAGACTTTTTGTTCTTGTTAAACTGAGACAGTGTGATTACTTTCTGACTTTTACCGTCTCGCAGTGAAGCCGGTTCGTGTTTTCCATTTCTCTGAAAAATAGTAACAATTCGGCTGAATTGGGAG